TTTTTTTTTTTTTTTTTTTAAAAAATCTTACTTAATAATATAATTTATATTATTAGTGTAAGAGACGGTGTGGTGATTAAATAAAATTTTTAAATGGTATGTGAGAGGATTTGTATTGTTATAGGTATTTGATTGGGAAATTGATCAAAGTGGTTTCTGGTAATTTATAGAAGGTTGATATTTTAGATCTAATGGTTTGGATATGGTTTGAATTTATTTGCTTATCTACTTTTAGGAAGTTGTTGTAGTTTGATTGGATCGTTCTTGCATATTCTAGTGAGGCGAGTTTGGTCCATTTGTGTTGGATGTCATTATAGTTTAATGATTTAGCAATTGCATTTGGGTTAATCTCTTTGTTAAATAGTTTGGTGCATACCCAAATCCAGACCTGGTGGAAGATAATTGAAATCATATTTCTGTAGGTCGGTGTTCTATCAAGATCGAAATCGAGATCTCTATAGCACCATCGGAATGGTTCATCTTGAGGGTGTATATGGTAGTCGTATTCGCTGCCACCATAGATGGTTTGAGTTTATACTGTTACAGGTGCTTTATAAATTATTAAGTAATGATCTTTGTTCATTACAATGATAAATGGATGCTTTTATTTTTTTAAAAAAAAAAAAAAAAATTATTTTTGACAGAATCCAATTTTTCCCGGAAAGACCCATGGTTCTCTAATGAGTGGGTCTCTCCAGATCATCATTTCATTGCTGTAAGGAATTCTTGAAAATATATTTCAATTTCAAAATTTATTATCTCAAAAAAAATAAAAAATATAAAATTATGGGAGAATATCCTCCCTACCACAATCCAAAAAAAATTTCAAAAAAAAAAAAGTGAGTGGGAAAAAAAATTGAGAAAATGGATAATTTTTCGAGCACAGTTGGAAACATCAAATATTAACCAAAACGATAACTTCTGACTATCTATAAATAAATAAATAAATAAAATTAAAAATAAAGAATAAACTCTGGAATATTGGTGGAATTCCCAACAATATCTTCATGAAATTTATGTTATCATTTAAAAGGATTTGATTAATGTCTATTATATCTAGTCTTCTTTGAATCAATATTGTCACTTAAATCTGTTTTTATTTCCCTTTAGAATTTTAATGGATTCTATAACATTCGCTAATTGATGTTGCCTTAATAATTTACATTCTTCTATAATAATATTTATAAAAAGAAAAAACTAATAAAAATATTTTAAATTTTAAAAAAAAAAAAACTCTTATATACAGATTTATTTTTATTCATAGTTAATTTCATTATTGTTGTTATTAATTTTGTTATTATTGACCATATCATTATCTTGATATTGTTGGTGTTGTTGTAATAATAATATTTTTTCTATTTGTTTTATAATATTTAAATCGATTTGAGGTTTTGATTTATATTTTTCGTTCCATCTCATGTAGTAATTTGACCAAAATTGTATATCACCAATAAAAAAGTTTTCGTAAATTGGTTTTGGATCTGGGATGAAAAATGTGTTTACATATTGTTCGATATTGGAATTAATAACACTCCAAAGAGATACTAAACCACCAGTAGATTGACTTTTTTGGACATACGATAGCCTTTCTCTTTCATTATTGAACAAAAAGGTTTTATAACGGCAATCGTAAACAGAGTCTAGAATCTTGATAAGGAATTTCTCGTTAAATTGGAATGTTGTTGGTAAAAGACATGTAAGTTGCCAAACCGCATCGATAAACATTAAAAAGATTGGGGAGAAATCATCATCACCATGTTCAGTAATGATATGACCGCTACGTGTTGTAAAGAGATGGCCAAATGATAGCCATTCCTTTTCGATAAGAATTTCGAAACCTTTAATGGTTCTATAGTATGGATCTAGTAATAATTGAGATAAAGCTACAAGTTGACTGGTACGATCCCAACCATCGGAACAATGAGTAAGTACTGATGAACCATTTTTATCTACTAGCTCGACCACCATATTGGATGAGTTGATTAATTGGTAAATATGCTCCAACCATTGGGTATTTTCTATTTGCGAAAACCAATTGGACGATTCTGGATTTTGAATTAATAAATAGAGCTTTTTATAACTATCTCTCATTACATGAATATTACCAATACCAAGGAATTGAAGTTCCATATTTTGATAGAGACTTGTATTTTCATGACCTTTGCCTAATAGTGTATTTGCTTTTGCATTTGCCATTGGCCTAGAGTCCATAACGTATAGTGTGGATGAGTTTGAATTTGATTTGGTAATAATATTCAAGTATTCTTCATCTTCCATTGATCTTGCACGCGCCAAACCAACTCTTGGTTGACTACATCTTGTAATGGTTGAATTATGATTCTTATGTATCCAACAAATAGCTGGTACCCTTCCTTTTTCTCTAAACTGTGCTACTTTTTTTAATTGTTCATCTGATACCTCTGCTGGTACAATAAACATTGATGGATATGTAGGACATAGACTATAATCAAAGTTGCAATGTGTAATTCTCCATTTATCTTTAGGAAATTCTAATCTTTCAAATTCTTCAAAAATATTATAAATTACATCACTATATATAGTTTAAGAGTAATAAATTGTTAATAATTTAGTTATTATTAGTTATTATTTTTATACTTACATTGATTTATCATAAATTTCAAAATTCTTAAATGCAAAGGTTTTTGTAATTGCTGTATTTTGTAAAATTTGAGATTTTAGTGTGTGCCAAATAACAGGGTCTGAACAATGGAGTGTCACTACTTTAAAGTTTTTACATTGAATTTCGATAGTGCAGTTATCTTTACCATTTCTAACTTTTAAGATTGTTGTAATTGGAATATCACAGTCTTCTTTTGTGAGGTCTACATATGATGATCTATTTGTAGCGTGGTAAATTAAACGGAAGTTTGTTAACATAAAAATACCTTTTTTATGTTGATTAGATTGTAAAATTCTTTGACCTTCCTTTCGAATTATTAAAACTTCGCCAGGAATAAGAGGTGGATCTTTCATTGAAGCGAATGCCAATGCTGCTGCATTACCAATATTGGTCTCGTGGGATTCTTTAAATTCTAAATAGTCATTGGATGTTATGTCAAATGTAATTTCGTCAAAACCAATATGTGATGATAAACATATTTCCAATCGTCTATTTTGTGATCCTTCTCCTTTAATTAAAAATAACCCAAATGAATCTGATTCCCTCTTTGTTAATGAATCAATATTTCTGCTAATTAAATCTTCTAATTCTGGTATAGTTGTAAACTTGCCATAGACGATTGTATAAATTTGTGATTTGCAATAAAGTTTAATTGTATGCTGAATACCTTCAATTAATGAGATTTTACAAATTGTTGGTTGTGGTTTAAATTCGACGACAGTCTAAAATAAAGAAATAAAAAAAATTAATATTTGTTTTTAAAATAAAAAAATATTTCAGTGTTAAATTTGGGCTCTAACCCATAAGATTTAAAAAAATGTAAATAAAAATTATACATACCTCGTTTGGTAAATTATATGATATTAATGTTCTATTACCTTCCATCCAAACACCCGAACCATTTTTCTGGAAATATAAACAATATTTTTGAGCTTCATTTTGATTTTCAAAAATATAGTTATTATTTGTATTTGTTGTATTATTATTTAATATGGCGGTGCTTGATAGCTTTAGTTTTTGTTGTGGTTTATTTTTTTGGGTGTTTAATGGAGAGTTTGGATAGAATTTTGGTGGTGATGATACAGGTGACTTTGAATAGCTATGCGGGTTATTATTTTCTTGTATATATTCAAAGCCTAGGTTTTCAAAATCTAAAGTATTGTTAAGATCTAAATTATTGGTTTGTTCCGAAACAAATTCAACAGTTGATGTTAATGATGACACAGTTGATGAGGTTGTTAAGGTAGATGATAATGATGATACCAATAATGTTGTTGCTAATGGTTGGTATTGTTGTTGCTGTTGTTGTTGCTGTTGTTGATGAGGATTGATTGGGTGTGGTGTTACAGAATCTAAAATTGTTTTAATAGTTTCATTTACAGTTCTAGTGGGTATAAAATGAAATTGACGATATGTTAATTTGGTTGGGAAAAGTACTGTTAAATTGTAGCCTTCATCTTCGTCCAATATATGTGGTGGAGTATGATTTGAAAGGTCAATATTTTTAACTGGGGTGTCACTAGATTTTGATAGTAGGTTCTTTTTCTTTTTAAATACAAATATTGAATCCGTTGGTTTATAATTACAATTGATTAAAAGCTGCTTATGCTGTAATGCTAATAGCTTATTTGTGGATGAGTCTTGCAAATATAAAGCATAATATGGAACCATAGTCATAAAGGTTTCCAATTCTTTGGTAGTACTGGAGTTGTTTGTAGATGATGGGAATAAATATTGAAGAATTGTATATACAGCATCTCTTATAGTTGTATTGGAGCTACATGATATGGTAAAGAATGTTTGAATAGGATCAATCCAGACTATGAAGCTATAATCAATACCCAATAATAAACAGGTTCTGTTTTCAAATCTTAATGAAAAGTCTATATACTCCTGCTTTGATAATTCAGAACCAATACTGTCTTGCATTGAGAGGGTCTTAATAAAAGTTTCGTCAGATGAATTAACCCTAGCCTCCCATTTATCCTCAGGTTGCACACTTGAATCTATAGTTCTATTATCTAAAACATATGGAAATTCGGACTCGATTTTTAAAACCACATCATATACTCTTCTTGCTTGATACCAATTATGATTATGTATTGGTGACTCCATTGAGCTTGGTATAGTATAATTCCATTGAGTTGCTGATGACGGTGATACTGATTTGGGTGATGATATATTACTATTATTACTATTATTATTATTATTATGATGCATTTGATTAAAAATAGGTGATGGATCTGAATAACTACTATGATTACTGTTGTTACTATTCGAAATTGTTCTTTTTGGACTATCGATGGTTAATAGTTTATTTGATTTAATATTTTGAATAATATCGTGAATATTAACAGCGTTTCTTGAGGATAGTGCATGAAATGGATCATAGAGTTTCTTTTTTTTATTTGAATCTAAAAATTCTCTGTCAGGGTCTAAATGCGAGTTTAAATCCCTTAAAATTCCTTCCAACTCATTTGATGGAACAATAACTTTATAAAACCATCTTGGTAATTGCTCTTGTGATTGATTTTCTTTATTATTGATTGGGATTAAATTTAACTTTTGACCATCCAATAAATTATAAGTTTTAATTGTTTGATCGTTTGATAGTAATAATTTCTTTCTTTGTGTAATAAGTTTATAAAGACTATAATTTGTTAAATTTCTAATTTTGATATCATTTCCTTTTTCTTTAGAAAATACAACTATATCGCCAATCTCCATATTAAGATTTTTAATAAATATTTCCTGTGGCTCGTTTACCCATGGTATGATGGTTATAACTAATCTAATAGTTTCATAATTATTATTATTTTTATTATTTATTAAATTTATTAAATCTAAATATGAATTATCATTATTATTATTAATATAACTATTATTCATATTACTATTATTCATATTACTATTATTATTATTATTATTATTACTATTATTGCTTTGATTATAACTATCACCAATATTACCAATTTTATTATTGTTATTGTTATTATTATTATTGTTATTATTGTAATGATATTGATCGTCGATTTCTGTTGGTGTTGGGTTGCTATAATCACCAGAGATATCTTTAGATCTCACCATTTTGCAGTTGTATTTTTGTAATCTATAGTTTGTTTTTATAATCTGCTTGCTGTAGGACTATCTAAATGTTGAATATTGTTTTATTTTTAACCAACTTTAAAATTAGAGCAAAACTTGTTTTTTTTGGTGGTTTTTAAAAAATAAATAAAAAAAAAAAAAAAAAAGATTTTTTTAAAAAATTAAAAAAAAAAATTAAAAAAAATAATATTTTAAATTTCTTTTTCTTTTTCTTTTCTTTATATTTTTGTAAAATATATCAAATAATGTGTGAATTTTTTTTAATGATCAAAAAAGGAAATAAAAAATATAATAAATTTATTATTAAAAAAAAAGAAATAATTGAATATCTAAAAATAACAAAAAAACAAAGAAAAATATAATTATTTATATTTTGTAATTGGTCTGAAAATAAAATCTAAAACATTAATGTTTGTTTTTTTTATAAATAATAAAATTTAATATAGTAATTTTATTTTGAAGCTTGAGTTTTAACTAAAGTAACCAAATATTTATAACGAGCAACGCAATCTTTCTTTGATTTGCCAACTTTAGCAGCAATTTGATCCCAACGATCTTCAGCAGATTTATCAATTTTTTGTAAACCTTCTTCTAAAAGTTTTTGTTCTTCTGGTGTCCATTCGACAGCTTTTTCTTTTTTAGCAGCTGGTTTAGCAGATTTTTGTTCAGCTGGTTGGGCTGGGGTTTCGGTGGTAGTAGAGTTGGTAGTTGTAGCAGCGGTAGTAGTAGTAGTAGCAGCGGTGGTAGTAGTAGTGGCAGTTGGTTTATCAAGTTCACTTGGTGGTACTTGACCTAAATCAACCTTTGATGACAAAGCAGATTTAATTTCTTTTTCACCAACTTTTGATTTTAATTTATCATATTCAGAACCGACAACTTGAACGACTGGCTTAGTGAAAGCTTTAGCTTGAGTTGGTTGGGCTGATTTAGCTTTAGCAATAACATCTTTTAATGATCTAGTTGGAATACATTGAGCAATAGTTTCCCAACGATTTTGAATACCTGGTGGGAATTTTTGAATAGCTTTGGCTAATTGGTGGAGTTCTTCTTCAGTCCAAACTCTTTCTTCTTTAACTTCTTTTTGTTGTTGATTTTGTTTACGTGATTCTTGGAATTGTCTTTCTTGTTCTCTAACTTTCTCTTGAATGATATTTAAATTGTTTTGGAAAACTTGTTTCTTTTGTTCACCGTCTGGTTTTGAATCCATTTCATTGGTGATATCAACCAATTGGATGTTTTCTAATGAAGCAATAATTAATTCGACATCTTCAATACGTGGAATTGGTTGTAAAGAGTTGCAGGCATTTCTAAAATTAACTTTATTTTTCTTGACGATTGCTTGTTGTTCTTGTTTAATACGTTTCTTTTCATCGGCTTCTTCTTTTTTCTTTCTTTCTTCAGCTTCGACTCTTTCACGTTCAGCTCTTTCAGCTGCTTCTTTTTCTTCTTGAGCTTTTCTTTTGGCTTCAGCTTTGGCTTCTTTAGCATTTTTCTTTTTGTTTTCTTCTTCTTGTACTTTCTTTTGGATACGTGGATCTTTTTTGTAAGCCATGTTTGCAAGATCTTGAATTCTAGTAGCTTCAGCTTTACGTAATTTAGCACGTTTCTTTTCGTTTTCTCTTTCCATCCAACGTTTTTCTTCTCTACATTCGGCTTGGTCGTAATCGTGGTCATCTTCGAATGAAAAATCTCTCCATGATTTGAAACTCCACCAGAAATTATAAAATTTAACAACTCTATCGTATGGAGTCTTGTCGTCACCAAGTTTTGGTGCTGGTTGGATTGATGACCAACGTGAGTTCATTTCGAATACTGGTTCAAATACCTTGTAGAAATTACCACTTTCAACATCTTCAGCTGATGGTAAATCGTCATCGAATGGCTCTGATGAATCATAAGCTCTTCTTTTCTTTAAGTCACTTAAAATATTGTATGATTTAACCAAGGCCTTGAATGCTTCATCATTACCACCTAAATCTTGATTTTTATCTGGGTGACAAACTAAAATCATCTTTTTGTCTTTAATTTTAAAAAAAAAAAAAATTATAATTAATATTTTATATTTTAAAGAAATATTATAAATTAAAATAATATATTTAATACTTACAGGCTTGTTTGATATCATTATCGTTGGCTCTCCAACGTAAATGACCTAAACCCATAATTTCATAATGATCTTGTTCAGCTTGTTTTGCTAATTGTCTACTGTGATATTTCTTTTTGAATTGTTCTAAATCCTCACTTTCTTCACCTGATGATTTATCTTCTTTATTTTCGGAATCACTGTCGACTAAACCGATGACTTCGATATCACCTTTTTGGATTTTAGCCCATACTAATTCGAATTGTTTACCAACTGGTTCGATAAGATGAGTGCAATTGTCCCAACCTAAACTATCAATAATAAATTCTTTGTCATCAGATTTTGGGGATGATAATGAAATTGTTAATGACATTTTTATTTTTCTTTAACACAGTTGTTTCGGTTTACGCAAAAAAAAAAGAAAATGAAATGAATAATTTAAAAAAAAAAAACCTTTAAAAAAAAAAAATTTTATTTTTAAAAATAAAAAATAAAATAAAAAAAAATTAATTTTTAAAAAAACCGAAAGATTTAGAGTTATTTTTAACTTTTATTATTTATTTATTTTTTTATATATTTATTATATGTTTAAATAAAATTTTAAATAACAAAAAAATTAAAAAGTTATTAATAATTAAAAAAAAATAAAAATAAAAAAAAGATTTAAAAAAAAATAAATATTTAATTTTATTTTTATTTTTTTTTATTATAATAATTATATTTTATTTTGTAAAATCGAATATTTTTTTATTATTATAATAATTTATTTTTTTTTAAGAAAAATGAGCATCTAAATAAGAAAATAAACTTAAATTTGATTTAGTGTGCGACATTAAATTGTAATATTCCCAAAGAGCTTTATATAGCGATCCAACATTTGCCTTTTTTTGATGAAGCAAGGCAACCATATTTGTTAATTCATTTGTAAATTCTTGATCACCAAAACTATAGTAGCATATATCCCTACCGGCTTGAGAAGCTGACATCAACTGGATAATTGATTTTAAGTGTTTATCACCACCAAAAACACCACAACCCCAATTACCAGTTGCGATAGGTGGTGGTATTGTTACGGAAACTCGATCAAAGAAGCCACATAATGATTTGTTTAATTCACGTTCGATATGGTTTGGTGAGAATTGCTGGAATGGATTTCCGTGAATTTTGATAGCGTCCATTGCGACAATAGTTGTTAATCTTCTACCCAATTGATCTTTTGGAGTTTTATCGTCATATGGTCCATCCCATTGGAATGTTTCGTGACCGTAGCCCTTATATTTTGAAAATCTTTGAGCACCCGTTATAATAACTGTTTCATTTTCTTCAAGAATCGAAGTGAATAACATTGATACCAATAATTCTGGATTAATTAAAAATCTAATTTCCTCTTGGACACAACCATATCCTAATGCTCCTCCACCAATTGATTTATTTGCAAAATCGACTTGTAACATACCAATACCATCATCTTCAATGGTACCCTCTGCAAATGCTGTTAAATCTCTTAAATATGCTGTTGATTTTTCCCAATCTGGTATATCAGAATCATCAAAAACTTGTCTATGAAAAGAAATATTACCATTTGGTACTAAAAAAATAATAAATAATATAAGTAATTGATTGGTTGGCTAATTAATGATAATATGGTTTTAAACTTACTCTTTTCAGTGATTGTTTTAAAATAATGTAAAATACATTTTAGTTTTGCTGCTCTACTTGAAATCATAGAACCAGAATAAAGTGAATTAAAATTAAATGTTGGATATGAGTCGCTATTGGAGGTTTTTTGATATGGTCCTTGTCTTGGAAAAGTACAGAGAAAAGCATTTGCCATTAAAGATGCAATTTGTTTTTGTGATAAAACGATTTCTCTATCGACCGATTTACGTAAAAGTGGAATTGGACGTGGACAAACAAATGGCAATTGAAGTGCTAATTTAATAATCTTTGGAAGTGTATTGCTAAAGAAATCTTTGGTTTCTGACTCGGTAAGTTCGCATTCAAAGAAATCATGTAGCCCTTGGAAGTCCCATCTACTGTGTTTATTGTATGATTTAATGGTTTGTTCCAAAGCTTCAGAATCTTTGATTGGATTTGATAATACTGTATTGATTAAGTACCATTTACTAAGATATTTAACTTCTGTAACTGTTTTAACATCACCTGTTGATACCCCCGATGTAGATGAGGATAATGATGCTGACGATGGCTGTCTACTTGTAGTTTCAATAGTTGATTTATATACATTATTTTTTGAACATGGCAATTTAACATACTCTGAATTCCAAACATCAATATATTTTTCATCACTATCTGATGGTATTAAAAATATTGTACTAGTTTGTCTTTCTTCTAATACAAAATCATCTAAATCATTGTTTGGTGCTGTAGTGGTAGTGGTGGATGTGGTGCTGCTATTTTTAGATTTCTTTAATGGGTTATTATTATTATTATTACTATCATTATATTTCTTTGGGAGACTGTCGGTATCCATTTCTTGGGTTGCCTCAATCTCTTGGTCTACGCTACCACCTTTTAGTGTTGATTTTTGGTTTGATAATATTTGGGTTTTTTCTGAATCTAAAAAGTTTAATTGCTTTTCATCTACTATGGTATCTGTTCTTTCAATCTTTTTTCTTTTATTTTGCTGCTGCTGATCTGGTTGCTTGTCACTCTCGTTCTTTGAAAAATAATTGGTAATTTTATTTCTATTATCCATTTATCTTTTTTTTTGGGAGGTGTGATGGGGGTTATGTTAAATGTATGTTGGTGTGTGATGATTATCACAATATAATACTATATGTAACAAATAGTTTAATATACAATAATAAATGAATAAATGAATAAATAATTAAATAATTAAATAAATAAACAATTTATAATTAATTTATTATAATTGATATAAATATACAAAAATAAAACAAAGATGGAAAAAATAAATTAAAATTTAATAAAAAAAAATTTTAAAAAAAAAAAATTTTTAAAAAATTTTTTTTTTTTTTTTTTTTTTTCATATTTTTGATTTTTATTGGAAATTTTTTTTTTTTTTTGTTATTTTTTTCATTGCTTAACGAATTTAAATAATGAATGATAATGAAATAAATAATAATAACAATAATAATAACAATGAAATAAATAATAATATTAATGACTACCCAAATAAAAGAATTAAAAATTCTATACATCCAAAACAATTTAATAATTTTTTAAGCAATTTCGAAATTAAAAATAAAGTTTTCTCGATAGGAAATGATAAAGTATTGCTACTATTAAAAGAGGATGAAATCATATATTTTCATGGTTTAGTTCAGATTCGTACAATTATAGGGTCTATAGATGTTTATGGATACTCTGTCAATCCAGGCAATCAATATTATCAACTATATTCACCATTTTGTTCACCTGCATTATCAATCTCGCCAAATAAAGAACACCAACAAGGAAATGATATATCTATAAACAATATTATCAACAACAATATCAATAGTAATATAAAAATACCCGATTTAGTTTTATCAAAATTAAAAGAAAATCAAGATGCAATCAAAGACTTCTCAATTCATTCAATAATAGTATTAAGAAGACTAAACGATACTTGCGAAAACCCCAAAATGTTTACAAAAAAAAAGGTAGATTTATATAATGAGTTTAAAATAATTAAAGGGTTCTATCCACTCTTTTCACCCGATTTCTCTGTTCAGCCTTTAAGCATCCCAAATCAATGGCTCCAATTAATAAATAATCAATTTATTTATAGTAACGAATTTGACTCAAATCTATCAATTTTAACATGTGGCGAAAGAAATGTTGGTAAAAGTACTTTTAATAGAATTTTAATAAATAAACTATTAAAAAAGTAAGCTATTTTAATTTAGTTACATTTACATATAAATATAAACATTTATTAATTCAAATATTATAATATATAGATATTCAAATATAGTATATATCGATACAGATACAGGACAATCAGAATTTACACCATGTGGATTATTATCAATTGATATTATTAACTCACCATTATTAGGACCACCTTTTACACATTGCAAATTAAATCCTTTAAAAACATACTTTTTTGGAGATACATCACCAAAAAATAACCCAGAATATTTTTTAAATCTATGTTTCCAATTATTAGAGTGTTACAAAACTATAAGATCACAATATCCAAATATTCCAGTTATTTTAAATACAAATGGTTGGCTAAAAAGTTTAGGCCTACATTTAACCCAAGAAATAATAAAATATTTTAAACCATCAGTAATAGTACAACTATATAATCCAATAAACAATAATAATAGTTATAATGATAATTTTAATAATAACAATAATAATAATAATAATAATAATAATAGTAATAATGGTAATAATAATGATAACAACAATTATAATGGTGAAATGGATAATAATTTTAATATAATTTTAAATAATAATAATCAATTTAATAGTAATATTACATTTACACAACAAGATATTGATCAGTTATTTATCGACGATGATAATAGTAATACCCAAATTTCAAAACTATATTCCATTTTAAGCTTTAATTATTTTAATCAAGCAAATATCAAACCAGTTTATAATTTAGGTTCTTTTGATATTAGAAACCTAATGTTTAAAAAATATTTTAAAACAGAAAACTGTTCATTAACTCATCAAGTACCGTATCAAGTATCTTGGAAATCGTTAAAGGTTAAAATATTGAATGTTGATGTACCACCAAGCCAAACAATGTATTCTCTTAACGGTTCAATTGTTGGCATTTGTATAGACCCTGTCGAGTATAACACTCAAAGTTTTAAAATTTCAAATAATTTACCAACCATCATAAATAAAGATATTCAGATATCCGAATGCATTGGTCTTGGCCTCATTCGTTCAATAGATATGGTAAATGGTTACTACTATATTATCACACCCATAGAGGAATCTTTACTTCAAGAGGCAAATGTAATACTAAGAGGCTCCATCGATGTACCTCCAACACTAACCATATCAATCTCTTCAAAAGGTACCATAGTTGTCCCATATCTCCAACTAGATGTGTTGTCCTCCTATGGCACAGGCTCCGATGTTATGAATAGACCAAAAAATTTTGAATAAAAATAAAAGAATCAAACCCTTTTAAAACAATTGTTTAGTTTCATAGTTTTTTTTTAATGTAAAAAAAAAAAATTTATATTTTTAAAAAAAAAATTTATTTTTTTGAAAAAAAAATTTTTATTTTTTTTATTTTAGAGTTTCATACTTTTCTACCCATTTTATTTATTTTTTATTTATTTATTATTTTTACTATTTAATCAAATCGGGGACATGTTTTCTTTCTGGTATAAAGCACTTACAAGATATCTTGGTTTTCTATTTTAGTTTTTTTTATTTTGATGTTAAATAATATAATTTTGGTATCAAATTATTTGTTTTTTTTTTTGTTTTTTTTCTGTTATAATAACAATAAATATTTTCAATACTATCAATTTTATTATAACTATTTTTTTTTTTTTTTTTTTTTTTTTTTTTTTTTTTTTTTTGGTTCGATAATTTTTTATTTCTCAATAGAATTTTCTGTAATCCAAAAGGTTTTTTATATGTGGATGTGGCTGGGTGCACATAAAAAAACACATCCACAAACACTTGGTTGTGTCTAGATGCACAAATTTGTAAAACAAAGAAAATATCCCCAATTTTTTCGTATTTTTTTTTAAAAATAAAATTTTATTTTAATAAAGGCATTTACCCAAATCTCATTTATTTATTTATTTTTTTGGTAATACCAATGATAATTTGGTGTATGGAGCATTTTTGTTCAATAAATAAATAATTTTTAAATATATACATTCAATAAAATGAAAAAAAAAAAAAAAAGTTATTTTTATAAAAATATCTTTTAAAAAAAGTTTTTAGATATTTATTTGAGCCTAAGCATCTGTGTGGAATCAAATCAAAACTGTAATGTTTTTTTTATTTTAAAACTAATTTTATTTTAAAATAAACAAAACACCATAATTCACATATTTACACAATAACTTGTTATTCTCCATTTTATTCTTGAGAAAAAAGAAATGGTTTTGATTTAAAACAACTGAAGGTTTTTTTTTTTTTAAAAATTTATCAAAACTGTGTGGTGTGGTGTGGTGTGGATTTATTGGTGTGAAGGTGGTTTATTTTTAAAATTGATTACGAAACAAACGTAATAAAATTATGATCATGCTGGACCCAAATTGGAATCAAGCCTGGTTTCAAAATGAATAGTTGGGGGGAGGCCCTCTTAAATTTAAAAAATTGTCAGTTAAATAGGACTCGATATTATTAAAAAAAAATAAAAAAAAATAAAAAAAAAAATAAAAAGATTTAATATAAAAAAAAAATAAAAATAAATAAATTTTAATATAATTCCATAATAAATATTTTATTAAAATAGTTTTAACTACTAATTTGCCTGAAAAAAAATTGAAAAAAAAAAAATTCGGTTAAAATAAAAAAAAAAAAAAAAAAAATTTGCAAATTACACAAAAAAGTGATACCTAACAAACCTATTTATTTTTTTTTAATTTTTATTTTTTTAAAAAGAAAAAATTTTAAAGATAATATTTTTTTTATTTTTTTTTTCTTTAAAAACTCATTATTGTTATTTTTTGTGTAAAGGGTCCTAGCGTATGTAATACAAATTCATTTAAATATTTAGTTTTTAATACTCTCCACAAATTTGTAATCGAATATTAATAATAATAATATCAATAACAAAAATAACAACAATTGTGTTTTTTTTTTAATTAAACAATTTCTTTTGCCTTTAAAGGAATCTTTAATTAATGATAAAAAAGTGTGGATAGTCTTAAAATAAATTTTAAAAATTTTCATTTTTTTTTATTTTTATTTTTTATTTTTATTTTTTTTTTCATTTTTTATTTTTTATATGTGTGAAGATGAAAAAGCGTATTTGATGTCAAAATTAAAATAATAATAATAATAATCCTTATTTACAAATAATAATAATCAAAATAATAATAGTAAAAATGGCATCCCAAATAATAATCAATGTATACATTTTTAAAAATAGTAATATTTTTTTATTATAATAAAATATATTTTTATAAATAAATATCAATACACATTAAATATTTTTCAAGTTATCATTTTTTTGTTCAACCCCCATCTTCAAATAAAATTTTAATATTTTAATTTATTATATTTATTTATAATGTACTTAGGTGTGTGGTTTGTGCGTTATTATTTTTTTTTTTTTTTCATTCACTTATAATTTAAAATACTTTGGTAATGTTATATATTATATATTATATTTTTTTATTATTTAGTTAAAAATAATTTTAAAATTAATAAAAATAGTAATAATAATAATAAAAGTTAGACACACATCCCCACCCCACATACATACATACACAGTTATATTTTTTTATGTGCAAATTCAATGTTTTAATGATGACTTGGGTCTAAAAAAAAAATAAAATAAAAAATAGTTATTTTTTACCTTAAAAAAAAAAAAAAATCGTTAAATTAAAAAAATCATAAAAAAAAAAAGATTAAATAATTTTTGCAATTAAATAACAGTAAATATTTATATTATATTTTAGAATTTGTTCATACTTCATGCATTAATTTTTTATATAAATAAAAAAATATTATTATACCTTTATTTTACAACCAAAAAAAAAAATTTACTATATTCTACTATTATTACTACACCAACACCACACACTCACAATTATAATTTCTATTATAATAAACAACAACATGAAAATATTTATTATTTTTTTTATTTATTTATTTTATTTGTTTTTTTAATTAAATTTTTAATTAAACCATAATCATTTTTATTTATATTTATTTTATGTTTTTTTTTAAAAAATATATTAATATATAAAATATTAATTTTTTATTTATAAATATAATTATTATAGCTAGCTATAAGAAGAAAAAAAATAATAATTTTATATATTAAAAAAGAATATATAAACTTTTAATTTTTTTTATAATTTTTTTTTCAAATTTTTCAGAATATTTTTTTTTTATATATTGTACATAAAAATCAAAACAAATCAAACAAATCAAACAAATCAAACAAAATCAAAAACCACACCCACCCCCAACAAATAAATTTATATATATATACAAAATAAAATGACTCAAGAAATGGAATCCATTGTAATGGATCACATGGGCGAAGAGTTTAATATAAGTGTTGAAACACTTGGTAAACTTGTAGATGTACCAAAAGGTTTTGATACACTTCACGAATTAGGAGGTGTTCAAGGATTAGCAAAAGCATTAAAAACAGATTTAAAGCAAGGTTTACCAGCAATAGAAACTGATTTAGAAATTGCAAGAGTTAAAAAGTAATTATCATCGATCGATCAGCGTGGTCATAATTAATTTAAATAATAGATTCATAAATTAATATATATATTTTTTTTTATCTTTAGATTTTCAAATAATGTTTTACCACCACCACCACATCAACCATTATGGTCTATTGTTTTAGATGCAATGTCAGATCATATTTTAATTCTTTTAATGGTTGCTTCAGTAGTTTCAATTGTTTTAGGAGCTGTTCCATATACTTCACATGATCCAAAAACAGGTTGGATTGATGGTGTTGCTATTTTGGTTGCAGTTATTATTGTAGTAACAATTACATCTATTAATGATTTCAAGAATCAAGCTAGATTTAGAGAATTAAATGAAAAGACAAATGATAAACAAGTTAAAGCAATTCGTGGTGGAGAACAATGCCAAGTCTCAATTTTTGATGTCAGAGTTGGTGATATTGTCACATTAGATACTGGTGATATTATTTGCGCCGATGGTGTTTTCGTTGAAGGTCATGCTCTTAAAGCTGATGAATCATCAATCACTGGTGAATCTGACCCAATCAAGAAAGGTCACCCAGAAGATAAAGTAGATCCATTTTTAATTTCCGGTTCATTAGTTATCGAAGGTATGGGTAATATGTTGGTCACCGCTGTTGGTGTTCACTCATTCAATGGTAAAACTATGATGAGTCTTAGAGTTGCTTCAGAAGATACCCCACTCCAAAAGAAACTTGCCACTTTAGCTAGTCGTATTGGTTACTTTGGTATGGCCGCTGCTATTTTATTATTATTAATCGCCATTCCAAAATACTTTATCGAGAAAAAAGTTAAAGATGAGGATATTAACAGTGATGCCGCTTCAGATATTGTATCTTTAGTAGTTTGTGCTATTACTATTGTCGTCGTTGCCGTTCCAGAGGGTTTACCATTAGCTGTAACCATGGCTTTAGCTTATGGTATGATGAAGATGTTCAAAGAAAACAATTTAGTTCGTAATTTAGCAAGTTGTGAAACTATGGGTTCAGCCACTACTATTTGTTCAGATAAAACTGGTACTCTTACTCAAAATGTTATGACTGTAGTCACTGGTACTGTTTGCGGTAATTTCCCAGAAGTTAACGAATCATTAAAATCTAAAATCCCACAACACGTCGCTCAAATTCTTACTGATGGTATTGCCATTAACTCTAACGCCTATGAAGGTGTATCAAGTAAAGGTAAATTAGAATTTATTGGCAGTAAAACTGAAGTTGCTCTTTTAAATTTCTCCAAAGTTCTTGGTTCCGATTACAACGAAGTTAGAAAACGTCTCGAAATTAAGGAAATGTATCCATTTTCAAGTGCTCGTAAGAGAATGAATGTCTTGGTTAAACATACTCCAACTGAATCACGTCTCTACACTAAAGGTGCCTCTGAAATCGTTTTAGGTTTATGTGATAGATACTTTGATCAAAATGGTAATGTTATTCCATTAGATGCCTCAGCCAAGAAATATTTCGAAGATCAAATTATGGCTTTTGCTTCAGACGCTTTAAGAACCATTGGTATTGCTTACTCAGAAGTTAAAGAAGGTACCGAAGTTAAAGATGCCCCAGAAAATGGTTCAATCTTTATTGGTATCGTTGGTATTAAAGATCCATTACGTCCAGAAGTACCAGATGCTGTTGCTACTTGTCAAAAAGCCGGTATTACTGTTCGTATGGTAACTGGTGATAATATTATTACTGCCAGAAATATTGCTAAAAATTGTGGTATCCTTACTGAAGGAGGTTTAGTCATGGAAGGTCCAGAATTCCGTAAACTTTCACAATCTGAAATGGATGCTATTCTTCCAAAACTCCAAGTTTTAGCTCGTTCATCCCCAACTGATAAACAATTACTTGTCGGTAGATTAAAGGATTTAGGTGAAGTTGTAGCCGTAACTGGTGATGGTACAAATGATGGTCCAGCTCTTAAATTAGCTAATGTTGGTTTCTCTATGGGTATCTCTGGTACTGAAGTTGCCATTGCAGCTAGTGATGTAGTTTTATTAGATGATAATTTTGCTTCTATTGTTCGTGCAGTTCTCTGGGGTCGTAATATTTATGATGCTATTTGCAAATTTTTACAATTCCAACTTACAGTCAATGTTGTCGCCGTTACAATCGCTTTCTTTGGTACCATTACCTATCAAGAGTCAAGAGATGTCGAAGGTCGTGGTCCAGGTTCACCACTTACTGCTGTACAATTATTATGGGTAAATCTTATTATGGATACTTTAGCTGCTTTAGCTCTTGCTACCGAACCACCAACACCAGAATTATTAAACAGACCACCAAATGGTAAGAATGCTCCATTAATCAGTCGTTCAATGTGGAAAAATATTATTGGCCACTCTGCTTTCCAATTAGCTGTTCTCTTTACTATTCTCTATCAAGGTCACAATATCTTTAACCACTTTATCCCAGAATCAATCGAAAGAAAACAAATTGATAGTGATATTTCATTAGCTTCATCATCTTCAACATCAATCGATGGCGATGGAAAGATTATTCCAGAAGGTTCAGTACATCATTATACTTTATTATTCAATACATTCGTATTCATGCAATTATTCAATGAAATTAACAGTAGAGTATTAGGTAGCGGTACAAATCCATTCAAAAACTTTTTCAACAATCCAATTTTCATCGTTGTTATGATCTTTACTTTAGGTGTTCAAATTCTTTTCGTTACTTTTGGTTCAAGTGCCACCTCAACTGATTCACTCTATATTCTTGAATGGGTTGCTTGTATTGTAGTCGGTGCTTTTTCACTTCCATGGGGTCTTTTCCTTAGAAAAATCCCAATTAAAGAACCAGTATACAAAAATGAACCACCAACTGTTTCTGAAGCAATCTACACTCCACCATCAACTAATATTGAAATGGAAGGTGCTCATCAAAATGAAACTGCTCCAGTTAAACTTTCAAAGGATTATCCAACCTCTGCAGAGTCAACTCCAAATGAAGAAGCTTCACCATTAGTCTCAAGAACTTCATCAGTAGGTGCTGGTGATAGTACAACTCCAATCCCACACAACAATGTAAATAAACCCACTCAAGTTGGTAGAGGATGGCAAATCGTAAGACAAACACACAAAAAATTAGTTGTAATCAATGCTCTCAAAGAATTTAATAAGGATGGTGAAACCAACTTGGTAGATGTCGTCAGAGGTCCACAAAGAGGTTCAATCTCACTCCCAGCTCCATCAAATTATGCAAATTTAAATATATAATAGTTTTTAAAATAATCTTTTAAAAATACGAATATCTTTTTTTTTAGAAAAAAAAAAAAAAAAAAAAAACAAACAAAAAAAAGTGCAATGTTAAAATATAAATATAAAATTACTTTAAAATAATATTTATTTAAAATAAATAAACAATAAATAAAAACCGATACAGTTATCTTTTTTTTTATAATATATATAAAATTTTAATTTGTGATTGTTTAAAATTTATTTGTTTCTTTTTTATATCTATTTTTAATTGCAGATAAAGGTAACACTTTGTTCTGGGTTTCCATCTTGGCAATCTGGTGTTGGGTCGCTGCTAATAAGATAAGGTTGGTCGCAGTTAAGACCAGCTACATATGTAGTTTCGATTAAATCAGTTCCATTACATGTTAACATCATAGCATGCTCATATGGTACGGTATCGCACATGTTCATATAGTTGATGGTTAACAGTTTAATATTGGTATTATCGGCTATTCCAGATTTCCAGTCACAAGAGTAATCTACGGTTTGAATTGATATTAAAGAATTTGAATTTGGGAGACTACCTATTACATCAACACAGAGATATTTTCTATTATCGGAACAGTTAGAAAATGGTTGTATAAATTGCTCTGTAATTTGTCCTGTACAGTCTAAATTTTGAAAGTTTTGAATAATAAATGTATTATTATCCAAGCATGTTAACATTTCACCAAATGATGAACATGATCCACTTAAAACATATGATATAGTTGTTATATTGGATTCGTTTAAACATTCAGTGTCTAATTCTTGATATACTTCTGTATAAATATATTTAGTAGTTTCTGCGCTATTACTGCTGGAACTGTAGTAGTTATTTGTCGCAATGCATAATTTAATTAAAAAAATAAATAAAACAAGTTGTTTTAATACTTTCATTTTGGAACTATGGTTAAATAATCGGTATAATAAAATAAAAAAAATAAACAAAAAAAAACAAAAAGAAAATAAATAAAAAAAATATAAAATCTAGATATTTAAAAAAAAATATTTAATATTTTAAAAAATAAAAAAATAAAATATATAAAAAATAATACAATAAAATTATTTATTATATTATTTATATTTATTTTTTTTATTATAAACATTATTATTATTGTTTCTGTAATGGTTTATTTGGTGTAGTATTAAATTGTATTATCATATTAAATAAATATCAAGATTATTGATCACCGCGTTACTTTCTTCATTATTTATAAAAAAAAATTTTAATTTTAAAAAAATTATAATTTTTGATGTTGAGTTTTAAATTTATTTTTATTGTAAAAAAAAAAAAAAAATGGTATTTATCTTCTTTTTGGTAATTTAAAAAAAAAAAGATTTCTTTTTTAAATTGAAAAATATCCCAGATATAAAAAACCCATCAAAACAAACCAAAATTTTATGGAAATTTATTATGTAAATAATTATATTATGAAAAATTTTTAAACTTTTCACTTGAATTTATTTAAAAATCTGAATCATTTTAAAGGTGATCGGTATTTAAAAAAATATATTTCTTATTTTTTAAAAATTTAATGAAAGGGTGAGTGAAGTTAACAGTTCCCAAATGATTTTTTTTAATTTTTTTTATTTTTATTTACATTTTATTCCGACCGTTTTCCGCCAATGACTAGAAATTTTCAAAGTAAAAGTTATAGGAAAAGTATAAATTTTTAGATATTTTTTTCAAAAAAAAAAAAAAAAAAAAAAAAAAAAAGGTAAATAAAAAATTATTTAAATAGTTTTTTTTTTTATTTTTTTATTCACATATTTAAATATAATTTTTTATTTTTTTTTTTTTATTCTTTTTTAAATTTTTAATTTTATAATTATTCATAGATAAATATAAAAATGTAAGGTATCACAAAATAAAAAGAAAACTAGTTTTTATTATTTTTTTTATGTTAATAAAAATTTGAAACCTAAGCGCCTCAACCTCCTACAACTTTTCCTATACGAAGATTTTTAGAAAATATAAAAATTTATTTTTTATTTTTTTTATTTTTTATTTTTTATTTTTTGTTTTTTTTTTTTTTTTACCCAAGCCGATTATTTTTTTATTTTTTTATTTTGTTTTTATTATTAAACATATAATTCTTAATATATATATTTATAAAAATGTATAAAATTTTAAATTTTAATTAAAATTTTAAATTTTAAAAAATATAAATATTAATTTTAAATTTTTATTATTTTCAATCAAAAATCTATAGGATGAAATATTTATTTGTTTTAATTTTAGCTTTATTAGCTATTTCAAGCGTTAGTGCCAGAACTAACAACGAAGAATGTACTTTCTGTGGTTTCATTGTCAATTATGTTGAAGGTCAACTCTTAAACAACCAAACCGAAACTTATATTGTTGGTGAATTAGAAAAAGTCTGCACTTTTGTTCCAGCCTCATTACAACCAACCTGCAAATCATTAGTCTCAGTCTATGGTGAAGAAGTCATCCAAATGGTCGTTGCTAAAGAAAACTCAACTGTTATCTGTGAACAAGTTGGTAAGTAGTCATATAATTTATAATTTATAATATCAATATATAATTAACATAAGTGTTTTTTATTTATTTTAGGTTTATGCCCAAAACCAACCAAAAAAGTCCAAAAAGTCCAAGTTGGTGATGCTAAATGCACCATCTGTGATTTCGTTGTTGGTGAAGTCGAAAAATACGTCAGTGGTAATGCCACTGAAGCTCAAATCATTACTTTCTTAAACAAAGACTGTAAAATTTTCGGTGCTTTCGAAACCACTTGCCAATCATTAGTTCAAGCTTACGTCCCAACCATCATTAACTTACTCGAAAACAAACAATCACCAGACACTGTTTGTGCTGAAATTAAATTATGCACTTCAAGACTCTCAAAAAAAGTTGGTGGTGCCACTTCATGTGCTGTTTGTGAAATTATTGCTCAAGACGTTGAAACCTTAGTTTCTCTTAACTCAACCGAATCTCAAATCGTTGATGCCATCGAAACCGTTTGTGCTGATCTCCCAGTCAAATTCTTCCAACAAACCTGTGACAGCATGGTTCAACAATACTTACCATCAATCATCAAATACATTGAAAACCAAGAAAGCCCAGCCACCGTCTGTGCTCAAATTGGTCTCTGTGGTGGTTCATCATCAGAACAAGGTTCATCATCAGAACAAGGCTCATCATCAGAACAAGGCTCATCATCAGAACAAGGTTCATCATCAGAACAAAACTCTGGTTCATCATCAAACGATAGCTCATACACTGGTTCATTCACTGGTACCTCAGGTTCATCAGTCTCATCAGGTTCTGGTTCATCATACAGCAGCGGTAGCGGCAGTTCCTTAAGAATTACCATCCAATAAATGAATAATTCTCTTTTTTTTTAATATTGCTCGAATCGATTTAAATATTAAATATTAAATATATATAAAAAAAATAAAAATTTTTTCAAAAAAAATTATAAAATTTAAATTAAATATCTGTATGTTGTATTTACTTTTTTATTTTTTAAACTAAAATATTCAAAAAAATTATAGTTTATAATTTTATATAAATATTTTGATATCCAATAATTTTACTTTAGTTTTTTTTTTTTTTTTTTTTTTGTTTTTTTATTGGCCACATAATCTAATTTCATTGCAAATGGCTTGTGGTGGTTGACCTTCTTTAAGGAGATAAACTATTACTGGAAAGTATTGGGAAACCAAGGTTTGACAAATTGTGCTAGATCTGCCATATCTTGCACAATCATTGTCTAGCATTTCCATGATTTGGGTGTCATTGTCGTATTTTTGAAGGAGTTCTTCAGTTTCCCCACTTATAAAGTTACAAATAGTACAATAAACTTCATCTGAAATGGGTTTCTTTAAATTTTGATATTTGTTTGAAGACTTTGGGCACATATCTTAAATATTATAAATATTATTATTTATCTCCGATTAGTTTAAATTCCGATAGATCCTAAAAATATAATTTTTTTTAATTTTTATAACATACCTATTTGTTCACAAATTACCGTTGAGTTTTCTTTTGCAAAAACCATTTTGATGAGATCTTCACCATCAACCATAACTAGTGAATCGCAAGTACTTTGTAAAGAATTTGGTACAAATGAGCAAACTTTTTCCAATTCACCTAAAATTTCATTTTCTGTTTTGTTTGTTTCTACTTGACCCTCAATATAGTTGATAATAAAGCCACAAAATGTGCATTCTTCATTATTGGTTCTTGCATTAATAACAATTAAATTTGACAATAAAGCCAAAATCAAAATTAACAAAAATTTCATTCTATAAATAATTAAAAAAATAATAATTATTATTATTATAACTATTATAAATTGTATTATTATATTATTATATTATTATATTATTGTATTGATTATTAATATAATTGATTTTTTTTTTTTGAATTGAGAAAAAAAAAAAAAAAAAAAAGATATTAATAAAAATTTCAATAAAAATTAAAAAATTATTTGATCATTGAACAAAAAAAAAAAAATTATAAAAAAAAGTAGTTTGCAAAAAAAAAAAATTTGATTAGAAAATTGTGTTTTTTATTTTTATTTTTTTTTCAAATATATATAGGTAAATATATGGTCGAAAAAAAAAAAAAAAATTATTATAATTATATATATATAAAAGTACACATCATAGATATTTAAAAAATTAAAAAAAAAAAATAAAATAATTTTTAAAAAATAAATTTTTTTTTTTTAATTTTTTTTTTTAATTTTTATAAAAAAAAAAAAAAAAAAAAAAAAAAAAATTCTTTCCTTTTTGTTTTTTTTTATATTTTTTATATTATTTTTTTTTAGATATTTATATTAACTAATAATAATAACATCAGATATAGTTTCTTTAAACTATAAGTTATCAAAGTTAATAATTGGTTTCTTTTTTTTCTCAATAAAAAAAACTAATAAAGAATAATATCCAATCATTTAATTGTAACATTGCAACAATATTTGTTTTTAAAAAAAGATAATAACATTAAAATATAAAATAATAGTAAATAAAAATAACCAATAATAAGAATAGATAATAAACTTGTATAATTATATTAAAGATGTCAAATAGATATATTGATGAAAATGGTATAGAATATGAATACGAAGAAGTCGAAGTAGAGGTTGATGAGGATGGTAATGAAATTGATCCACCACAATATGGAAGTGAAACTATAGTAATACCCAATGGCACAAATTTTCTAGATTTACCAACGACAACTAAAACATATACAAATAATTATAGTTATAATAATACACACAATATCGAACCAGAGGAAGAAGAAGTAGAAGAGGAGGAGGAAGAAGAGGAAGAGGTGGAGGAGGAAGAAGAAGAAGGGGAAGAGGAAGAGCCTAATGGAGAGGAAAATGGTAATAATCAACAAAACTATCACAATAAACAACATAAACAGCATCATAGAAATAGTGACGATGATGACGATGAAGTCGAGTTTGAAGAAGACGAAAGTAGAGTCGATGAAATCGAGCCAATTCTTAAATATAATAGATTAGGTCATGGTATTACAGAAATTTTAAAGAAGGATTCAGCTAGTTGTATGGCAATTCATCCAAAGTTTTTAGTTTTAGGTACACATTGGGGTTCAGTTACCATCCACGATTTTGATGGCAATGAAATTAAAAGATATGATACCCAAAATTCAACTATAACAGAAATTGTCATTGATCCAAAAGGAGATTATATTGCATCATGTTCAGAAGATGGTAATGTTATTTTAAATCATTAAAATTGTTTTTTAAATTAAAATTAATAAGCGGCCATTCTAATACTTTTTTTTTATAATTAATAAAAAATTAAAATTTTTTAGGTAAAGTTGTTATAAATCCATTTGATAAATCTGGTGAACAATTTATTTATAATTATACTAGACCAATTACAGCAATTGCATTGGATCCAGAATTTGCATCAAAAAATACAAGACAATTTGTATCAGGTGGTAAACAAGGTCAATTAATATTAAATTCAAAAGGTTGGTTTAGATCAAAAGAAACTATTATACATTCTGGAGAGGGACCAATTTATGCAATTAAATGGTGTGGAATCTTTATTGCATGGGCAAATGATCAAGGTGTTAAAATTTATGATACAAGTACAAATACACGTATAGCACATATACCAAGAAAAGATGGAAGTCCTAGAGGTGAGTTATATCGTTGTTGTCTTTGTTGGGAAAAGCCAAATCAATTAATCATTGGTTGGGCAAAGAATGTCGAGGTTATTCAAATTACAGAAAAGGTAGATATGTCAACAGGTAGCACAATTAAAATTGCACAAATTATGAATCAATTCCAAACTAAATATTGGATTAGTGGTATCGCACCTTTTGCAGAGGAATTGGTTATTTTAGGTTATAATGACGCCACAACTATTGAGGGTTCAGATGATCCAACATCTTCATCTGCCACACCAAAAGTTTTGAACACTAGTGGTAGTACCTCACCAAATAATATTACAGGAGCATGGAACCAAGGTCGTGTTGATAGTGCATCAAAACCTTCAATTCACATTGTATCTAGAAAAACAAATAGTTCAATCACTACTGATAACCTTAATGTTAATGGTTATCAACACTATAAAGCAACTGATTATCGTTTAGACTATAACACCGACGAATCAATCTTTTATATAGTTTGTCCAAAGGATGTAGTTGCTGCCAAACCAAGAAATTTAGACGATCATTTAACATGGCTTATGGAGAAATTAAAATACGACGAAGCATTGGACATTGTAGAAAAAGATATGAAGACCATTAAATCATTACCAGCAGCACGTGTTAGAGAGGTGGGTGAAAAATACATAGATTACCTTTTAGAGAAAAAAGACATTAGAAAAGCAGCTTCTTTGTGTCCAAAAATTTGTCAACGTGACCCAGAGCTTTGGGAAAAATGGATTTTTAGATTCCTTAAATTGGGTGGTCTCCAACCATTATGTCCTTATATCCCAATTGGCAATCCATCATTAAGTTGTGCAATTTACGAAATGTTCTTAAATCATTTCCTTCAAAACGATCCAGATAGTTTCTTAAAAACTGTAACAGAATGGCCATCAAGTCTTTACAATATCCAAGCAATTATAGCAGCAGTCGAAGATAAACACTCTAGACAACCAAACGATACTATTATGATTGCTTTAGCTCAACTCTACACCTATGACAATAACATGGAAAAAACTTTAGATATTTACTTAAAACTAAAGAGAGGCAATGTTTTCGAATTACTTAATCGTTTCCCAAATCTTTATAACAGTATCCAAAACAAGATTTCATTATTCATCGACTATAATCAACAAGAGGCTATTAAATTATTAGTTGCAAATACCGACAAGATCCCAATCCCAATTGTTGTAAATCAGTTAAATGACAAAAGAGAGTACTTGCATCGTTATCTTCATACACTTTTCCTTAAGGATGCTCATATAGCTCATGACCATCATGAAAAACAAATTCAATTATACGCAGAATTCGAACCAACACTTTTATTATCATTCTTAAAGAATAGTGGTCATTACTCATTGGAACGTGCCTTGGAAGAGTGTTCAAAGAAGCAATTGTACGAAGAAATGGTTTATCTTTTAGGTCGTATTGGTAACTCTAAAGAGGCATTAAATTTAATTTTAGACAAACTTCATAGAATTAAAGACGCAGTAGAATTTGTAGAGCAACAAAAAGATGAAGAGCTCTGGGAATACCTCATCAAGAAATCAATGAACAATTCATCATATATCAGTGAACTTTTAGAAAATATCGGTTCAAATGTAGATCCAATCAAATTAATTCGTTTAATCCCTGAAAAAATGGAAATTGAAGACCTTCGTGATCGTCTTGTTAAAATTTTATCAGATTATAATCTTCAAATGTCACTCAGAGAAGGTTGTAGAGAAATTTTAAAGAGTGATTGTGTAAATTTAGAAGAGGCTCTTGTAGACTCATTGAGAATGGGAAGAGTTGTAGAAGAACAAACTAAATGTGCTACTTGTAGCCAACCAATTATTCTTCCACGTCCAGATAGCCCAATTGTTTTATATTTCTGTAGTCACACCTATCATAGTAGATGTCTTAAAACCAATAATGATCTTAATACAAGCTCACCCAATTCAATTCAAGCTCAGAAGCAATTACCACAAGGTCAACAATCATCTTCACATCACCATTCAAATTTAGAAATATCATTTGGTAACTGTCCAATTTGTGTACAATCAACTCAAATTAAATTAGCAAAAAATTCAAGAAAACTTGGTCAATAATAACAACAATAATATTAATATATAAAATTTAAAACTAATAGATTATATATTTTAAAATAAAATAAAATTTATTATAATTATCTTTTTCTTTTCTTTTTTTTTTTTTATAAGTGTATTTAATCAGTTTTGTATGTTTTTAATTTTTTTAAAAAAAAAAACTTTTGATATAATTTTATTTATATAGATTATCAAAACTTTTTTTTTTATTTCATTAAAAAAGTTATTTGAATAATAATAATCAAGATTAATAATCTTTTGTATTAAAAAATACTTAGGTTTAAAGTTTATTATTATTATTTAATGTGTGTAGTTAAATTTAAATTTTTGTTTTCCCCCACATTGTGGTATTTAAATGTGGGTGTGATGTATATTTTCTCTTGCTTTTTGTGTTTATGTGTGTGTCGGGTGATTATTTGTGTGTTAGAATGATATGTGTTTATGTGTTAATGATTGCATTAAGATGATAATACATTAAAGATATTATTAAAATTAAAAAAAAATAATATAATTAAATAATTTTAATTTTTAAAATTTAATAAACAAAAAAAAAAACAAAAAAATTAACATTTTTTAAATTTCCTACAAATAATAAAATTTATTTTTTATATTAGTAGTTTAATAATATTTTTTAATAGTTAATATGATAAAATCAGAGAATAAAATTTCACAACTAAAACAAAAATTTGAACAATTATCAATACAACAAAACAATAATGAATCATTAAAAAAAACAAATAGTTCATATATTGAAATTCAAAGAGTAGTTGTAAAAAATAAAAATAATATAGCTACATTCCCATCACCATCACCATCCCCATCACCAACAACATCAATAACATCAAAAACACCCACAACTTCTACAACATCAAAAACATCACCTCATAGAATATCAAATATAATAAATTCATTTGAAAATAAAATAGATAATCAAAAAAAAAACCCTATTAAAAATGATGTTTTAAAAAACACACACCCTATATTGAAAAATCAAAATAATAACACTCAGCTACAACCAAATTCTATAAATAAAATGAATACAATCACTGATACAAATAATATTCAAACTACAGTGCCACAGTCCCCAATGAATAAACCCAGTTCAATAGTTAACAATCATACTCCATCAGCTACAGTGACCACTACAAATACATCACATTCCAATTCTGAAATAAACAGCTCAAAAAAAGTAACCCAATTAATTAATAAATTTAATAACTTTTCCAATATAAATAATACATCTATACATAATAGAATAAATAATAATAGTAATAGCAATAGTAATAGTATTAGTATTAGTAATAGTAATAGTAATAGTAATAGTAATAGTAATAGTAATAGTAATAGTAATAGTAATAGTAATAGTAATAGTAATAGTAATAGTAATAGTAATAGTAATAGTATTAATAGTATTGGTAATAGTAATAGCAATAGCATTAGTAATAGTAATAGTAACAGTAATAATATTAGTAATAGAATGATTAATAGAATAAATAACAATCATAGTATTAATAATAGAAATAATATTGTTTGTATAAACAAAGATCATACACAATTATTTAAAAATATATGTAGTTATAATAATAATGTAAATATGGAAAAAAAGGAAATCATTAAAATAGAAAAGGAGGAGATTGTAGATGAGTTTGAAAATGATTGTGTAATATGTTTTAATGAAATGACAAATCAAGTAGAAATAGGAATCTTAGAATGTCAACATTCTTATTGTTATAAGTGTATCAAAGAATGGATGGATAATGGTAAAAAAGTATGTCCAATGTGCAGAGCTCCATTCTCTACAATTAATAAAAAGAACATAGAACAACCAGAAACTTCATTAAATAAAGAAGAACCAAACACAAATTCAAATTCAAATTCAAAACCAAAGAGATCATTTTTTGAACAAATGCCCCCTCGTTTAAATAGCTTTCGAGATTTTTTAAACTTTATGGAAGTTTTTAGAAACAATCGTAGCGTAAACAGCAATTAATTATCTCGAAATGTTGTATTTTATGTATTCTATTTTAAATATTTAAAAAACTAAAAACTAAAAAATTAAAATAAAAATCAATGATTTATTTTTTTTTTCCAATAAATAAACCATTATTTCTCTTATTATATTCTAGAATATTTATATAATATATTTCTTTTATTTAATATTTTCTAATTTTTTTTGATTGTCGAGTATCTGATTTTATCTTTTCAGTTTTATCATCGATATATTTTAATGCACGTTCGTTATTTAAAATATCACCCAATGCACCACGCTTCTTTTCTTTATTTGTAAATCTGTTAAAGTAATCGACATGACTGTTTTCAAAAGTACCAATTTCGAAATGCTCTGGTAAATCTTTAACAGCGTCTCTATTAAATCTTCTTGTTGGGTCAATAAATTGTTGTAATTTGATTAAGTTGGCTTCTTGTTTCATCTCGTCTGTTATTTCACCCTCTCCAAAACCATACCATCTCTTTTTATTTTCGTGATTAACTTTCTTCTTTTGTTTGGTTTCTAAAACTGATGCATTTTCTTTAACTGGTTTCATATTCTTTTTTAATAACTCTAATTTACTTGGTATTGAATCTTTAAATTCTTTTTTTAATATCTTTTTAGTTTCACTTAATTCACTATTTTCTTTTATACTAAATTTAATAAATTTAATTTTATTAATATAATTCTAAAACTATATAGTTATTATAACTATAGTTATCAATTACTATAGCTGTTATTATTATTATTATTAATTATCTAATTAAAAATTGATTGTAATTTACATTTGTTTTTGATTTACAAGTTTATTTAAATGTACAGCTGCATTTTTGGCTAATTGGTCAATTAATAAAAATTCCTCTATATTATAAGTTAAGAAAATATTGTTAATATAAATGCTGTATTTAATCTATTTATATAAAGATGTTTACCCTCTAATAATTCATTTTTTTTATCTGTATTTGTTGCTGTTGGTTTTGTTATAGTACCACCTGATAATGATACACCATTTAAATTTATAACATCATAGTTTTGATCTATTTTTTTGGTTTTTACACTCATTATTTGTATTTATATGCTTTCGTTTTTTTAAAATTAAAAAATATTTTTAATTTTTTTTAATTTTTTTTAAAAAAAAAAAAAAAAAAAAAAACGAATATTTAAATTTTTTTTTTTTTTTTTTTTTTTTATAAATATTAAAAAAAAGATTAATTAACTAAATTTGGTTATATATTACCTTTTTCTAATTATCCTCAATCATTAAATTTAAATAAAATCATTTGAATACATTTTATAAAACAGGTAACTCTATCAATAAAAATCAAAACTGGGATAAATACATTGCTTTGCACCATAGATATCTAATATTATAATTTTAGTGGGAAAATCAATTAAATATCTGCCTGTTTATTTCATTTTTTTCTATAATAATTCAATATTATTTGTATATTTCTTGAAAAAAAAAATACAAAATAAAATAAAATTTTCAATGATTGATTACCAAAATGATAATTGAGTGTTTTTAATTTAACTATATTGATAAATCAAACAAATAAAATAAAAAAAATAATAATTATTTTATGTTTTGATTTTTATTTTAATTTTTTTTTTAAATTTTTTTAAAATTTTTTTTATTTTTTTTTTTATATTTTTTAATTTTTTTTTTTATTTTTTTTTTTCAATAATTCGTTTTTGCTTTGTACTATATAATATTTCTTTTTTTTTTATTTTTTTTATTTTTATCTTCTTTTTTTATTTATTTTCTATATTTATTAATCCTATTTGTACAATAATTACAATCAAAAATCATTTGGTTGTTTATCAAAAAAAAAAAAAATTTCTTTTTTTTTTTTTTTTTAATTATATTAAAAAATAATAATAAATAGAAAAATAAAAAAGATAAATAACACTCCCTCACATTAATAAAATACACAATAACACACACCAATAACAAAACTCAAACACACACATACACACACACACACACAAATTATCTCACATAGAAACACCCATTATTAAATCATAAAAAAAAAAAATTTATAGTTTGGGTTATTAAAGAAAAAAATATTTATAAATACAAATTTCTTTTAAATTATTGTTATATAATTTAATTTAATTTTAATAAAAATGTCAAATCCTATGTCAGTAAGTATTGTAATATAGTTTTTGGGATAATATCTAAAAAATAAAATATTAATTATAAATAATAAAATTTAGATTAGTAATAGTACAAGTGTTAGTAGTAATGGTTTAAACGGGGAATGTGTATCACCTTCAAGTAGATTAAGTTCCTCACCAAATTCAAAATCATGTAAGTGTTTAGTTGAAATAAAAAAATCCAATTAATAATTTCAAAATGTGTTAATTCATTAATTTATTTTTTAGCATTCGATTTACACGGTAAAAAAACATTAAAAAGCAATGTTGTCAAATCATTATTAAATAGATCAAACTCAGGTACAAGTTTAATGAATAGTGGAGGTATTAGAAGAACACCAATTTCATCACCATCCAACTTTCAAAATATATATACATCACAGGATTTAGAGAATGATAATGATATGGCACCAGATTCACCAAAATCATATCGTGAATCTAAAGACCATAGTAATAGTATTGGTAGCAGTAGCGGCGGTAATATAGCAGCAGCACAAGCAGCAGCAGCAACCCAGGATAATGGTGCAAATAAAATTGATAAATCATTGTGGACTGTTAGATCATTAAAAGAGCACCCAGAGGTTTTGGATTTAATGGAAAGAGTAAAACCAATTAACAGAGCAATCTCTTTTGGTCAAACTTATGCCTCTGAAGAGACCCAGTTTGATTTCGACCCTTTAATTGGTCGTGACACAATGTTACAATTAATTCTTCAACATTTACAATTCGAAGGTTTAAATACCTCAAGAAAGCTTTTGGAAGAAGAAGCAGGTGTAAAATATCCAGAGTACGCAATTAGTGAAAGTAGACTTTTAACATTATTAAGAGCATCAATTAAAGATTCTGACAGAGTTTTCCAATTAGCATTAGATGATAAAAATAGAGATTCACAACAACAATTAGAAGAGCATTTAGCATTTCTCAATTTATTTAAAGATGGTAAGAGAGAATTATTAATTTATCATATTATTATTTGTTTTATAGTCACTAATATATTTTTTTTTTTTTTTCTAGAATCACAATCAACTGATATGAGCGAAGATGTAAATATTTACGAAGAACCAGAATCAAATATTATATATGTTGAAGAAAAAGATAAAGAAAAAACGACTGGAGCAACAACAGGCACAAATATAGACTCGCCAAATCTTAACCAATCTATGAGCTCCTTATCTTTATCATCATTTTCAATCTCACAACCAAAATCAATCGAACCAAATAAACCTCAAGTTAAAGCGGCATCATTAAACAAATTAGTAATTTTATTAACACCAGAAAACAACCACGATCTAGAATATACCAAAACTTTTCTTCTCACCTATCAATCATTTACAACTCCAGAAATTCTTTTAGAAAAATTAATCCAACGTTATCATGTACCACAAAAGCCTGGCCAATCAATCGAGGAATGGAAAAAGAGTGCTGTACCAATTCAACTTCGTGTTGCTAATGTAATTAGAACTTGGATCAAGGATTATTTCTCTGATTTCAATGATAGATTAATTCAAAATGTAAAATCACTTTATGAAAATATGAGACAATCTGGTAATATGTCACATGCTAAAATTTTATCTGAAGCATTAAATTCAAAGGTAACTATTAATAATTATTAATAATATTAATTGTAATATAAATATTAATTTTTTATTTCTTCATTTTTAAATTTGCAGATTAAAGGTATTCCATCAACAGCAGATGAAAGAAAAGCTCCAACAGCAGTATTCACATTACCAGCACCAGAGCCAAAGGTACCAAAGAATATTTGGTCAGCAAGTTTAGATATTTTCTCAGTTGAAGAAGAAGAGATTGCAAGACAATTAACACTTATGGACTTTGAAATCTTTTCAAATATTAAATCTACAGAATTGTTAAATCAATCATGGAATAAACCAAAATTGCGTTATCGTTCACCAAATGTATTAACTCTTATTAACCGTTTCAATGAAATTTCACAATGGACAGCAACATCAATTCTTTCATATGAGAGAGTTAAAGATAGAGCTAGAATTATGGCAAAATTCATTAGAATAGCAGAGTATTCCATGAAATTATTAAATAATTTTAACACTTCTATGGCCATTCTCTCTGGTTTAAACGCCTCATCAGTTCACAGATTAAAATTCACCAAAGAAGAAATGCCAAAACATACCCAACAAGTCTACGCAGAATTACAACAACAACTTTCAAGTTCTCAATCATATAAAGAATACCGTGCTCTTTTAGCTAAAGCCAATCCACCATGTTTACCATATCTTGGTGTTTATTTAACCGATTTAACTTTCTTTGAAGAAGGTAATCCAGATTTCATTCAAGGTTATATTAATTTCGGTAAAAGAAAATTAATTTATGGTTCAATCTCAAATGTTCAAAGTTTCCAAAATGCAAAATATAATTTACAACCAGTATATCAAATTACAAAATTATTAAAAGACTTTAAATTATCAACCGAAAATGAATTATATAAACAATCAATGAAAGTTGAACCAAGAAATACAGAGCGTAACGAAATTCAATAATACAAATTAATAATAAAAATTCTATTTATAAATAATAATAATAATAATAATAATAATAATAATAATAATAATAATAATAATAATAATAATAATAATTTAATACACCATATTTATATAGCAATAATAATGCTTTTAATTAATATTTATTAGTTTCTATTATTCGATTTTAAATTTTAAAAGTAATAATATAAAAATTTAATTTATATAAAAAAAATAAAAAAATTTATTGTATCTCTATTAAAACTATTTTTTTTTTTTTTAATTTACAAACGATAAATAAAATTGAATTTATTTATTTTTTATTTTATTTTTTTGGTTTTGAACTTTGTCTATTTGATTGATTGAAAACAGTTCTATGGACTTTTGAAACACCATCAATAAATTTAGTTTCGAATAAAACATTTGCATTATTAAACATACCTTCTTTGAGTGATACAACAATAAATTGGGAGGAGGTAAAATGTTGTTTTAACATCATACCAATGTTTTGAGTGTGGGAAAGATCTAAAGCAGCATCGATTTCGTCTAAAATATACATTGGGGCAGGTTTAAATAAGAGGAGTGAGAGAATAAGAGAAAGTGCTAACAAGGATTTTTGACCACCACTTAATTCTGATAAAGATTCCTTCCAAACATCACCGAAAGCAACTTTAACTTCTAAACCATCTAATTCTGTTTTACCTTCGGGTGGTTCTAATTTAGCGGATGTACCTGGTAAGAGAGTAGAGAAAATTGATCCAAAATCTTTATTTACTTTTTTCCATGTGCTACGAAGTGATTCGTTCTTTTTTTCATCCAATTCTTTGATAACTTGTTCGATCTTTCTTTTATCATTTTCAATAATTTTCTTTTTTTCCATTAATTCTTGATACTCTTGTTCAGCTTTATCAAACATGCTCATTACCTTACGATTGATGGATTTTGAAAGTTTTTCTTGTTCTTCTTGAAGTTTAATAAGTTCAGCATTGGCTCTTTCTGGGTTGATAGCTTTGAAATCAAAATCACCATTTGGTTTACCAAATAGTTTTTTTTCATTAGCGATCCATGGATTCTTTTTAAGTGTAGCCTCTAACCATTTGGCAGCGTCTGTACGGTCTTTGTTGTATCTGGTAATCTTTGCATTATATGATGTATATTTAATTTCAATATCGGTAAGTTCTAATTGAGCTTTTTCTGCCTCGTGATTATATGAACGAATAGTTTCATTTTTATCGGCCATCTCTCTTCTCTTTTCCGAAAGGGTTTCTCTGATGTGATCCAATTGTTTATTGAGTTCTACAATTTCACGATTAATCTTTTCGCAATCTTTTCTCATCTTTAAAATTTCACCTTCATTTCCTTGAGCATCTTTAGAGAGTAATTCCAATTCGTTTTCCATTTGTTGAATTTCGATATCAAGATTTTCAATAACAACACTTTCACTCTTTACTAATTTATTTGATTTATTGCATTTTTCTTTAAGAGCTTGAATCTTCTTTTCAACTTCTTTAAGTTGCTTTTCTCTAATCGATTGAAAATTATTAACATTTGCTTCTAACTCTTCAACTTTTTCTAATGATTCGGTTTCTTTTTGCTTTGAGGTTTCAATTAAAAGAGTATCGGTTTTAATTGAGTTTTCCATTTCTTTAATATTTTCTAAAAGTTGGTGATGTGGATTTAATTCTAAACGTTGTTTTGTAAGATGAAGTTGATGTTTTTTGATTGAAATTTGTTGTTCTAATTGATTGAAATTATCGACCAATGATCTAATTTTTGAAAGTTCGGTATTTACAGATTCTAATTCATGTTGACAGTCACGAAGTTTTCTATTGTTTTCATTTAAACGTTGGATATGAGTTAAAATTGAACCACTTGATGGTCTGCTACCACCAGTTAAAGAACCAGATGGATTATATTCGTCACCCTCTAATGAAATTGTACGAACTCTGATGTTTGGATCGAATGCAGTCTTTTGAGCATATTTTTTATCATTGGCAACAAATGTTGAACCAAATACATAGTTGATTGCTGGATAAAGTTCTTTGTCGAATTGCACAAGGTCAATGGCTGGCTTTATACCATCAGCACCACCAATCTTTTGGGCTAATTTAACTTTGGCTGGGTCGATTGAACGACTTTCAACTTTGTTCAATGGTAAAAGTGTAACTCTTCTCTTGAGCTGGCCTTTTGAAAGTAAAGCTTTACCGGTATTGTCATCTTCAACCACAATGTTATAAAGTTTGCCACCAGCACAAATTTCTAAAGCAGTTGCAGTTTCAGAATCTTTGAGTGAAACTAAATTGGCGACAATACCTTTAACTTTTCTTCTATCGAAATCTTTTGATGGATCGGTATATGAAAATTCTAAGCCACTTAATTGTGCAGATAAATTACCAACGTCTTCACGAAGTTTAGAGCATTGTGGTTCTAGTTGACGTTTCTTTTCAACAAGCTCTTGTTGTTTATTATTATTACCAGAGAGTGATTCAAGTTGTTTTAAAAGTGCTTGGATTTCTTTATCAACATTATCATATTCTTGTTGAAGTTTTTTGTGATCAGATTGCTCTTGGGTGACCAACTTTCTTTTTGTAATTAATTCACTATTTAAATGCTTGATACGGAATTCAGCTTGCTTTATGGTGGTTGAGGCATTTACAGCATTCTTTTTGGCCTCCATTAGTTGTTCAGTGTATGAGCCATCTTCACCGGCACCCTCACCTCCACTTGTGATACCAGTAGTCATTGCTTGTTGTCTGCTTTGTAACTGTTTTAACTCGTTATTAAGTTGTTGATTTTCATTCACAATTGATTCAATCTTTTTTTCAAATTGTTCTTTTTCTACACGCTTTTGTTGAATACCTTGTTTGACTTCTTCACGATTACTAGCGATATTTGTAATAGTATTTTCCTCCTTATCTAATAATTCTTTTTGATTTTTGTATGCTGTTTGAAGCTTAACCAATTCTTTAACGAGCTTTTGTTCCTTTTGATCCATTTCATCCAATCCAGACTCTCTCTCTCTTTCTTTAACCATCTCTGAAATCTTTTGTTTTAATTCACTTAAACGTGATGTTAATTCTTTCTTTCTCTTTTGACTATTTTCTAAATTTGTTTTAACTTCCTCTAAATCTGAGCTTTCCATTTTCTTTTCATTACTATAGTATTCATAAGCGGTAATAAAACGTTGAAGACGATCGATATTGGTTTGATTGTTTGTAAATTTCATATATGAGGTACGCTCGGCACGGAGTTTTTCTAATGTTGGTGTGATTTCTTCTGCTAAAATTTTGTTGATATCATCGACTTTGGTTTGTTTCTTTTCAATTGTAACTAATGCCTGTCTTTTTTTAACCTCAAACATTCTAGTACCTGCTGCCTCTTCAATCATTGACAAAATTTCGGGTGGCTTCATATTTAATACTTTAGTAATACGACCTTGCATAATTAAAAAGTGTGGATTATTAACGTTTAATTGTACAGAGTGAAATAAATCTTGAACTCTTGATAGTTGTGCAGTATGACCATTAATTAAATATTTATTACGACCTGCAATTGCAACCTAAAAATAAATAACTTATTTGTTAATATAAATTAAAAAATGAAAAAAAAAAAAAAAAATTAAAACTTACTTGTCTAGTAACAGTAATAACATCATAGTGTTCATAACCAGCAGGTGATTGCTTTTTATCAGAGTTATTAAATGTAATTGTAACACTTGCTTTAACTATACCAGCTTGACCTTTTTTATAAACTAATTCTTGTAGTGAATCAACTCTAACTTGTGATAAATTTGAAATACCCAATACAAAACAAATTGAATCTAAAATATTACTTTTACCACTACCATTTAAACCTGTGATAGCATTAAACGTTGGGTCGAATCCCTCTATAACTGTTCTATTTGCATATGATTTAAAACCATCTATAACAATATCTTGAATATACATTTTATTTTATTACTTTGTTATTATTTTTTTATTATTGTTATTATTATTATTATTATTTAATATAAATATATAAGCTTAATTAAATGAATAAATAGGTAATAAACAATAAAAACTATGATAAAAAATTAAAAAAAAAAAAAAAATTAAAATTAAAATTTAAAAAATAATTTAAAAAAAAAAAAAAATAAAAAAAAAAAAAATTGGCGCATAAAAAAAGTGTGTGTTTTTATTAGAATTTACATATTTAGGTTAAAAAGGATATTAAATTTAATTAAATTTAGCATTTGAAAAATCCATATTTGGGTGTTGACTCTTAAAGTCTTCCAAAATTTTCTCTCTTTCTAACTCGTCGGTTGTTGGAAGATTTTGAGCTTTTCTAGTTTGATTATACATCATCTTTTCGACCATTGCTTTAGTTTCGCCATCTAAATCTGATAATGTAGAGTTTTGTGGTTTTATTTGAGTAACATCAATTTCATTTTCACCCTCAATAATGGAGGCCCACCATTCTTGTCCTTTTAATTTACATAATTCGATTTCAATATTTTTACCAGATTCTAAAAATGTATATAAATCATTATTATTATTAATATTGTTTAATTTATTTTTTACATTATTAACTTGATATCTTACCTAAAGTCCAATTGCAATCATTTTTTTTAACATTTTTGTGTAATTTACCATTGATAATGGTATCGTTATTTGTGTTGTTTTTTACTGTTAAATGGTCATTGTCAATTTTAATTAATAAATCTTTGGATTTAACTGGATTATCTAATTTTATTGAAATGGTACAATCATTTAATGTTTGTGTCCATGTATATCTTTCACATTTATTAATTTGGGTCATTTTATTTGAAATAAATTAAATATGTATAAATATGTAATTAGTTTTTAAATAAAAAATAAAAAAAATTTAAAAAATAATTTCAAAATAAAAAAAAATAAAAAAAAAAAGAAAAAATAAAATATTTTTTTTAATTTTAAAAAAATACAATGGAAATGCAAATAATATATATTTTATTGAACTAGTTTTTTAAATAATAATGAAAATAATAATAGGACTATAGTTTAAAAGCATAATAAACAACATGGATTACTTGGATCTTTGATAATAATATGTGGGAAAGAACATTTTGATATTTTTTCACAAATAATTTCTGTGCAATCTATAATAAAATAATAGTCAATATATTATAATACTACAAAAAAATATAATAGTAGAAATAAATACATACTTAAAGGAGTTGTGGTTGAGGAAATAGTAGCAGGATTAGTTGGACCCTCATTAAGACTAGCAAAGGCAAAAGGTATTAAATAGCAGAAGACCATAGAAATAATTAAATGTAATAGGTAAATTTTGTTATATTTCATTTTTATTTGGAGAATTAATATTTTTATTTATCTATTTGTTTGTTTGTTTGTTTATTTTTGTTAATTTTTTTTTTTTGTTTTTGAATTTAAACTTTTTTTACAACCAAAAATATATATATTTATTTTTTTTTTTAATAAAAAATAAATATTATCTCCTTTTAGATTCTAAAATTAATAATAACCATTCTATAAAATAATCATCCTCTTTAGGCAATTCCTAAAATTCCTATCACCAAGTAATCAATTTAATTAATTTGTGATTCGGTTAAAATAAAATAAAATAAAATAAAAATGGGCCTTTGAATAGCACAGGATAAAACCACCCTAAAACCAACAAAGTTTTTAAAAAAACATTCAATGGTTTTAAAATAAAAAAATAGTAGTATTTCTATACATGTGTCTTTATTCTTTAAATCTAAATTATAATAATAATAATAATAATAACACTTCAAAGTTAGATAACTTTTTTTTTTGTATCTATAGTTCGTTAGTGCTTACTATTTTTACATTTTTCAATTTTTTTTTTAAATTTTATCTAATAATTTACAGTTATAGTTTCATACCACAATATATTTATAAAATTGGTTCGTCACCAGATTATATTTCATAGGTCGTTAAAATAAAAAATAATAAATTAGTAAACTATGTTGCTATTAAAAAGGTTTATGGGGATATACACAAAATACAATACTTATCTTCTTTATTATTTTCTAAACATTGACATTTCATTCATCCCTTAAACTTTATTTATTTATTTTTTCTATCTTTATTGTTATTTTGTTTACCAACTGAATCATTTAAAATGTAATTTAGCTCTATTTTATTTTTTATTTCTATTTATAATTATAACCAATTTAATATAATGTCATTAATATCAAAATAAAAGAAGATATTTTATTTGGCCATTAAAATAATAATAAAAACTTCATTAAAAAAGCTTAATTAAAATTAATTAATTTTTCTTTTTATAATAATATTTTTTTTACAATAATAATAAACCAATAATATTTTTAAATTAAAAAATTTTTATTTATTTTTAATTATTTTTTTATTGTGGTAATTATTTATTTCTTAATTTATTTTTATTGTTTATAAAAAATGAAACTAATTTTTATATTATTTTTTTATCTTTTATTTAGCCAAATTAATCTTTTAAATGGAGAGGAAGAAAACTATCAAATTAAAGAACATATTTGCAAAAAAGGTCAAATTTCGAAATTTATAGAAGAATCGCCATCAGTTTATGAAAAAAGCAAAAAGAATAGAGGCAACGAAAAAAATGTTCAAAGTAAAAAAGAAATTGAAATACACGAATCATTTATGAAAATAGTTATAGATTTAGCAATAGAAAGGAATAATAAATATGCAACTATTATTGTATCGCCTGAAGGAAGTGTGTTATGTTCTGGCGTTGACTCTACAAAAGATAACCCAATATTAAGAAGTGAACTGTTGGCAATTACAAACTGTAGTGCTTCATACTCAATGTCTACATTTGAAGACCATTCAATTTACTCTACCTCCGAACCCGATCCTTTAGCAGCCTCTTCAATAGTGTGGGCCAAATTTAAAACAGCAGTTTGGGGTTCATCTATTAATGACCTATATTGCAGAGCTTGTATTCCTCACCTACCTGTGGAATCCTCATTCATTTTTTCAAAAGCCTTTGGTGTTGGAACGAAAAAACCAATTGAACAAATTAGCGGTATACTAAAAGATAAAACTGATCAACTTTTTAATTCAGAATGTTCAAATGGTATTATTAAACCACAATGCAAATGTATAAATAATAATATTAACAATAACTATAATAATATTAATAGCAATAATAATATTACAGACCAAAAAGAAAATAACAAAAAACTATTTAAAAAAAATAAATCTAAAACATATCAAAAAAAACAAATAAAAAAATCAAAAAAATCAATCAAAAAAAAAAAATAAAAGATAATTGTTTCTAATATGCTATAATTTATTTTAAAATATTAAATTTATTATAAAACTATAATTTAATTTTATATTTTAATTCTTTTAAAGAAAAATTTTCTTTTTTAATATTTAATTTTGTATTTTGAAAACCACTTTTAATTAAATATGAATGTGACGAATTTATAACAGCAGCATCTGAAAAACCATTTACATATATTTCTATATTTGTATATATTATAATATTTTTAAAATTTTCAACACGACATTTAATTAATAGGTTTGAATCAACTGAAATTGGAGACTTTACCTTAAGGTCATTTTCCACATTAGTTAAAACACATTTATAATTTTTTTCTATAAACTTTAAAGAAACAATTTCAAGAATTAATAGTAAATTGTCAACTGTTAATTGAGATTTTTTATTGCATAGCTTTTTATGGATAATTATTGAATATACATTTTCTTCATTAAATCTAATTTTATTTTCTATATGCTCTTTGTTTAAATTCATTTTTAAAAAAAATGAAAAAATAAATTGAATACTCCAAATAAATAAAAAAATTATAAAAAAAAAAAAAAAATTAATTATTAATAATCCCCTAAAAGTTATTTATTTAGTGGAGAAATTTAAAAAAAAAGAAATTAATTACGAATAAAAAAATTTTATAAAAAAATAATCTATAAAAGAAATTTTATAAAATAATATAATAGATAATACACATGAATTAATCTTATGTTTAATAAAAAAAAAAAAAAAATATTATTAATATTATTAATAATTTTTTTTTTAAATAAATAATTTTTATTAAAAAATATAAACTATAATATATTTTTTTTTTTTTTTAAATATTTAAAACCTTTACATTTGATGGAATTATTCCTTGATTAATTTTACTTTTAACACCTCTAAAAATATAAAGCTCTTTTAATGTTTTTGGAATTGAACCATATGTTAAATTTGGTTCAATAGAGGTGATTACAAGTCTTTCAATGGAAGATGGAATTGAATTTGGTTGTATTTCGTGATTAAAGCCAGTACCAAGTTGTAACTCTTTGACCGATGAGGGTAAAGAGCTAAAAAGGACTGGATTGCTGACATTATAAACAAAAATCGATGAAACTGAGTTTGGAATGATATCTGGGGTTAAATTTTGTGAAAAACCATTTCCTACATGGAGCTCCTTAACACCATATGGAATACATCCTGGTTTAAGTGTTTGCTTTATATCCCCTATATAGAGAAGGTCGATGAAATGAGGAATGATGGTTGGATTAATCTCAAGATTGAATCCATTTCTTAAATACATTTGCTTAACTGATGATGGTATGCAACCACTGAGCACTTGTTGTTTGATATCATAAAGATAAAGTTTTTCTAATGAGTGTGGTAGTATGTTTGGAAGAATAAATTGATCAAAGCCGTTATTTAAATGAAGCTCTTTGACGGTATTTGGTATTGATTTTTTGGTTAATGGAACTTTGATGTCATATAAAACAACTTTTTGCACAGTAGGTGGAATGGAACCCTCGTATATTTCATGGTTATAACCCTTGCAGAAATAAACTTCTCTAACATTAGCTGGAATGGAGCCTTGAACCACTGGTGCACCAATGTCGTAAAATAAAACTTTTTGAACACTCGATGGTATCATTTCTTGTCTAATGGAACCATTGTATCCATTAAGGAAATGTAACTCTTTAATTTTATTTGGGATAACAAGCTTATTATTTTCTGATGACAATGCAAGTGATGTTATATGGTCTGGTACTGGTTCACCATGTGTTAAATAAAAATTAAAAGATCCCACTAAAAATTAAAATTAGAAAATAAAATTAGTAAATGAAACCATGATAATTGTAAATTAGTATAAAATAATATTGACTTACATTTTGATAATTTATTAATCATTAAATATTGATTATCTTTATCTTTAAAATCTTTTGAATTGATTAAATAAAAATTATTAATAGATTCAGTAAAAACACTTTCTAGTTCGGAATCGAAATCTACATGGTTTTCAACAAAATTTGGAAAATGGTTTGATTTTTTTCTAATTAATAAATCTGAGCATATTTGAGAATCCCTAATTAAAGTTTGTAATGATTTTTGCTGATCTTGGTCAAATAATTCAAAGGTATCATATTCTTTTAATTTATTGTGATGCTTTTGAATGATTGAATCCATAATTTCGCCGTCATTTTGTAATTGGGACGTTATTTTAGTATAAATCTCTTCATTATTATTATGATGTGCTTCTAATATTACAGTTATATTTGATTCTAATTCATTTAAAATATCATGTAAATGTTTGAATTTTTCGTGAACTTTAATTAAATTTGATTGATGTCTACTTTCTATTATATTAAAGCAATGGTCTAATGCTTGATTTACTACTCTATCACTTTCTTTATATGCTAAAATGGTTGGATATTCGGTTTCTTTAAAATTTTCTAATAATTTGTAAACGTTTATTTTATTTAATTCTGAAAATGAATGGCCATCATGTAACTCTGACATGCAAACTGTACAAACACCTTGATTACAATTACTACATATTGATGTAACATCATATTTTGAATGATGTAAACATTTAATTTCTAATTTATTAAAATTTATATTTATATTATTACCATTATTACTTATATTATTAATACTACTATTAGTTGTGGTTGTTGTGGTGGTAGTTGGAAAATTTAAATTAAATTTAAAAATTTCATTATTTAAGTTATTGTTTTGATTGGTAACAGCAGTTGTTGTGGTTGTTGTTGTTGTTGTTGCCGAATTATTACCATTATTACCATAGCAATAACTAAAATTAAAACTATTATTACTGCTATTATTGTTACTATTTTGATTATAAAAACCGTTATTATTGTTATTATTATTATTGTTATTGTTCATTGAATAAAAATTATTTTGTTGGTTATAATAACCATTTTGACTATTATTTAAATTACTAGTTAAAATTATATTATTGTTACCACAATTATCGTTATTATCGTTATTATTATTATTATTATTCATACTTGTACTATTACTACTCGAACTATTATTTAAAATATAATTGTTATTATGATATTGATAATTTTGATGTATATATGGAGAGCAAATATTTGGTATCATTTTTATATATATATTTTATTAATGCTTCAAAAAAAATTTTAAAATTTTAAATAAATAAAAAAAAAAACAATATTTAAAATTTTATAGTTATAATTATATTATTTTTTTTTTTACTAAATATGATATTATTTTTTTTTTTTTTAGTATTAAATTTTAACATCAAAAAAATTTTAAGTTTAAAAAAAAAAAAAATTTTGGTATTTGATTGAAATTTGATGGGTTGTATTTACAGATATAGATTTGTGTATGTGTTTGATTGTTTTGAATAAAATTAAAAAAATTTAAAAAAAAAAAAAAATATTAAATCAAAATAAAAAAAAAATTTTAAAAAAAAAAACAATAATAAAATATAAATGTAAAATAGTGGGAGAATAACACATTTATATGAGAAAGTGTATCTTTATTCTTTAAGGTTTGAGTGACACCTTGGAAATTGGGAATATTTTAAAAAAAAAATTTTAAATATTTTTTTTTAAATTTTTTTTTCTTATAAATTTTAAACATCATTCCTAAATATCAAAAAAAAAAACTATGTAATTTTTTTAAACAATTTTTTTTTAAATAAATATTTTAAAAAATAAAAAAATTATTTTAAGAAATATGATTTTATTAAGTTTTTTTTAAGTTTATAAAATATTGTGTTTGTTGAGAAAAAATTGGATTTTTTTCAATAGTTTTCCTAAATTCCGAAGAATTATATTTACAATTAATTATTTATTAAATTATTTTCTCTTTAATTCCTTTCTAGTTTCGTAATTATAATTTATTATTCTTAACTTTACAAAATAAAATTATCAAAAATATAAAATTTTTTATAAACTTTTTTTTTTTTTTAGATTAAAATATAAAATTAATATTAAATAAAATTAAAAACTTAGGGTTTTTATCGTTACAAAATTCCAATTATTGGTTTGAAACAGTTTTCTTATCAGTTGGTTTAACTCAAACCAATAACAAATTGCACCTAAGACTTTTGCAACATATTAAAAATATTTTCAAATATCAAGACCTGCCATAGTTTTTATTTATATTTATAGGTTTTTTTAGGAGGGAAGAGAATGTTTAAAATAAAAAGCTTTTGAATATTTGATAATATTTTTAAAAAAAAAAAATTAAAAAAAAATATATTTTAAATCAAATTCACATTTTAAAAATATCTTTTTTTTTTTTTTTTTTTTTTTTTTTTATTTATAATATCAATATATTTTTCAATGAAAAATTCTGATTTTGCTCGTATATCAAATACAACCACTTTTTGAAAAAATGGTTTTTTTTTTTTTTTGGATTTATATATTTTTTTTAGGGGGGGGGTATTTTGGATAACGCCATATTACCAAAAGGGAAATATTACTAATTAGTATTATTTGAATATTTTTCTTTTTGCACAAGGAATAGGAGGGGAGGAAAAGAAGATATTTAAAACGACCAATAATTATTTGTATTTTTTGAGGTTTTTTTTAAAAAAAAAAAAATGTTATTATAGTTTTTTATTTAAAATTTTTATCGTGAATAATAATGTACATTATATAATTGTTATAATTATTATTGATGTATTTTTTTTTTTTTTATAATTTTGATTTCTTTTGAATTGGTAAAAATTTGGTATGTGAACCTTTAGCAACTATTTGACCTTCTTCTGAATCTAAACGAATGGTTGTATCTGTAAAAGCAAGACTTCTGCCTGTTTTGTAAACATTTGAAATAAAGTAAATCTTTCTGTCTACTGGTGCGCTTGAGCTATAATTTACACTAATTTCAACTGAAACACTTGGTGAAACTTTATCTAAATTTAATGAAATAATTGCTAATGAAGAAATAATATCAATGTATGTTGCTATAGCACTATATATAATTATAATTATAATAGATAAATTAGTATTATTTTATTTCTTTATTTTTAATATCATATGTAATAGATGCATACCCTCCGTGAAGTGTTGATAAAACATTACATTGTTTTTGTTGAACAACAGTTGAAAAAACAACTTTACCATGTTCAACTCTTTCGCATTTAATTGGCTCAATGAAACCTGAATCAAAACCTTCAACTTGAACCCACTTTTGAAGTAAATCTAATAATTTTTCTTTTCTTTCTTCGTTTGTTGCCATTTTTTTCTTTTTCTTTTATACTAATACAATAAATTTACAAATCTACATTGATTTTTTTTTTTTTTTGTTTATATGAACAAATTTTAAAAAATTTAAAAAATTTAAATAAAAAAAAATAAAAATAATTAATTTAAAAATAAAAAAAAAAAAAAAAATAAAAAAACTTTTTATGGCGTATTTGGTTACCAAAAAAAAAAAAAAATTTCCTCGTTTTAATTGCAATTTAATTAAAACAAAATTTCGATTTTAATAAAATAAAACAATTTATATAAAAGAGATATTATTGGATCGGTTTTTTTTTTTTTTTTTAATTTTATTTTATTTTATTTTATTTTATTTTTTTTTTATTTTTATTTATCGTTTTATCTTAATCCACCTTGTAAATAGGATAACAATAAAAATACTTTATTTGGTTGATAGTAATGTTCATTTTTATTATAAAAAAATAAAAAAATAATTAAATTAGTATATGAATGATACATAAAAAAATAGTTTTTTTTTTAATATTTTACCTTTATCTAATAAAACAACAGCTTCATAAATTGAATTTTGATAAACTGATGGATCTTTATTTTTTTTACAAATACAAATTAATGATGCAGGTCCAACTCTAGATATTATTACATTGCTATTATTGGTATCTAAAATTATTTCTTTTGGTCTATCACCTTTTGATAACACTAGAAAATTATATAAAATAAATAAGTATAACCTAATAATGGGAAAAGGAAAGAGAAAAAGAAAAAGAACATGAACGTGAAAAAAAAAAAGAGCGTGAACGTGAAAGAGAAAAAGAACGTGAACTTACATAAATCATTTGAAAAGGATAACATTGCTTGAAGATTTGCTGTCATACCTAATTGATCTTCTGCTCCACCTGATGAAATTGATTTACCATCATTATAAACGACGATCGAGTTTTGAATACCTCTATTTAATCTTACTAATTGATAATAAAGAAAAAAAAAGAAAATTTTTTAATTTTTGTTCCTAAATATTGCTTTTTTTTTTTTTTTTTTTTTTTTTTAAAAAAACATACATTGTAAAACGATTGATTTGGGTGAATTTGAAATTGCGTCATAAATTTTATTTGAAAAACTACTAAATTTTGAAGCATTATGTACAGTTGTATGAATAAAATCAACATCGCTAAATAATTCTATAAATCCTCTTAATAATGAATTTGCAATAAGTTTACCAAACTCTGATCCATCTGCAACATCGTGGAATAAACAACATCTTAAAAGTGTTTTTTCATCATAAACAATTGTAATTGCAGCTATTTATAAACAATAACAATTAGTATACAGTTACCACCACATAAATGTTATTGTTGATTTACCTACATTCACCAAATTCAATATATGATACAAACATACCGGTACTTTGTTTTGAAAATTCTTGTACAGTAGTTAAAAGTGATGAAAACATATTTCCTTTACCTACCATTTGGGTACTTGATACCCATATTTTTTCAAATAACAAAGTACCTTTACCTGTAATAATAATAACACTTCTTAACATTTTTATTTATATATTTATATATTTGAAATGATTATTATTTATATATGTGTATGTGTATGTGTATGTGTGTATATTTATATATGTATATTATTTATAAATGTTTTATTTTAAAAAAAAAGATATTTAGTCAATGATTTAATATATTTAAATTTAAATATGTGTATAATCGGACAAAAAAAAAAGGTTTTGTTTTTGTTTTTAATTTACAAAAATAATATCTATTTTTTATTTAATAAATGTACAAGATATATATTTAAACAAAACTATCTAAAGAAAAAAATAAAAAGATATACATAAACAAATATATTGGATAAAAAAATAAAAAATAAAAAATATAACAAAATAATTTAAAAAAAATTTAAAAAAATAAAAAAAAAATTTTTAAAAAAATTGTAAAAAAATTATGAAAAAAAAAAATTAAAAAAAATTAAAAAAATAAAGATAGTTATTTATCTTTATTGTTTATTTATTTGTTTTGTTTATTTGTTTTGGGGAGGGATTTTTTATATTAAATAAGGAAAAAGTAAAAAAAAAAAAATAAAAATAGTTTTTTTTTTTTTTTTTTTTTTTTTTTTTTTTTTTTTTTTTTTTGATTAATAGTTGGTACCATCATTGAGTGACCATGAAACAAAAGCTTCCATACCTTCAAATTCTGTTAAACCAAGTTTATCATAAATTTTGGCAGTGGCACGATTACGATCTTCTGCACGCATCCAAAATTCACGTTTATCAGTACCTGGAAAAGCAGGGACATCCTTTTGAGATTGATGTTTAAAGATGGACATACGTTTTCTTTGAAGTTCAAATGGTGACATTGGAACTGCCATTTCAATTCTTTCAGGTTCCCATTCTTGCCAAGCACCACGATATAACCAAACTTGACATTCTTTCATCCAATCATTATTTTTTAAACGTTCAATGGCGGCTAAAATAGCTTTGAGACAAACACGATGAGTTCCGTGTGGATCTGATAAATCACCAGCAGCAAATATAATTTCTGGTTTAACAGATTCTAAAAATTTAACCATAATTTGGATATCTTCTTCGCCCAATGGTTTCTTTTTAACAGCACCAGTTTCGTAGAATGGTAAATCTAAAAAGTGAATTCTATCCGATCTAACACCTGCATAACGAGCACCAGCACGTGCTTCAGTTTGACGAATTAAACCTTTAATTAATTGAATCTCTTTTGAATCAGGTTGACCTGGTTCTTTAGTTTTGATGAAATCTTCGACACCTTGTTCTATTTGTTTGCTCTTGTTTTCGCTGTCTCCACCTAATTTGAAAATACGAGCAAATTCACTTCCGAAATTTGCAAATCTAACTGCATCATCATCCCAAACTGCAATGTTACCACTGGTTTGATAGGCTACATGAACTTGATGACCTTGGTCACATAAACGAATAAAAGTGCCACCCATTGAAATTACATCGTCATCTGGATGTGGTGAAAAAACAATGACTCTTTTTGATGGTGGTTTAATATTTTCATAGGATGGATCCCAAGTATCAAAGTGATCATCATTGTGACTTGGATTGTGACTTGGATTATGGCTACCTAATTTTGGTGAGGTTGCTTGTGATGGTCTGCCGCCTGGCCAACCATTGATGGTTGCTTGTAAGTTTCTGAAAACTTTAAGATTTAAATTGTGGCATGGACCGTAGGCCTTTAAAAGTGATGAAAGATTGTTATCGTGGTATTCCTCTTCTTCTAACTTTAAAATTGGTTTACCTAATTTTAATGATAACCAAATAACAGCTTTACGAGCGAGTAATGGAGTCCATTTAATGGTTAAGGTTGAACTGGTAGATTGAATGGTCCATGGTTGTTTACAACGAGTAATTTCAACAGCTGCTGATTCATCGATTACCAATTGACAGTTTTTATGGTTTTGGAAAATAGATGATGGAACGGAAATAGTAATATCACCCTCGGTGGTTTTTTGTACAATTGAAGCTTTACCTTCAGAGAAAGCCATCAAAATAACTCTTTTACTTGAGAAAATAGTTGAAAGACCCATAGTCAATGCATGGTGTGGTACATGTTCAGTGCCAAAGAAATCACTTGCAGAGTCAATTCTGGTATTTTGTTCTAAATCTACTAAACGTGTTTTGGTATTAAATGGTGAGCCTGCTTCATTAAATCCAATTCTTTTACCAAGTGGAACTAAAATTAAATCTAATCCACCAACCTTTTCGATTTTCTTTTCATATTCCTTTAAATGTTCATCAATTTCTTCTTCTTTAATTTCACCATTTAAAAAGTTAATATTTTCTTTATTGATATCAATTAATTCGAAAAAATTTTCTTGCATAAATCTTTTTTTATTTAAAAAAAAAAAATTAAATTAATACCCTTTTTAATATATATATACATATATATATTATTAAATTAGATATTTACCTATAGTAACTTTGAATTTTACTTCTTTTAATTGGATAATATTCGTCAATGTTAAAAGTTATAACATTTTTAAATGAAACTTTTTTTTCTTGGTAAAGTTTAACCAAATGATCGTAAACTGATGAAGGAGTTGAACCAGCAGCTAAACCCAATACAAATGATTTTCCTTCAGAATTTGATTTTTCTATTGCTTTGACAATTTCTAATGCAATAAATTTACTTGCTTGATCTGGATAATGATAGACAAGTGTTGGTAATTTTTCTTTACTCTTGAACTCTTGTACACATTCGAAATATCCAGTCTCAGAACAAATAGAGTTAATACCCGAAATTTTATTATTCATTTTATAAATTATATGAATATATTTATAAATATAAATTAATTATATGAGTGTGTGGTGAAATTGAAATGAAAAAAAAAAAAATGAAAATTTTTTTTTAAAAAAATAAAAAATAAAAAAATAAAAAATAAAAAAATGGCACAATCTTAATTTTTTTTTATTTCATTTTACTGGTAAACAATAAAATTAAAATAAAATCTATGAAAATTATATGGGAAAAAATTTAACTCCAAAAATTTTTATTTTTTTTATTATTTTTATTATTTTATTTTGGAATTGAAGAAAAATAATTTTCGTAAAATATTATTTTGTAAACAAATGATTGATAATGTTGTTGGGAAAATGAATTTGATAACAATTTATTCTTGGTTTTAAAATCGAGATTTTTTTTTTTTTACAACTGGTTAAAAATCATAAATAAATTGGAATCAAGCTATTCCACACAAGTACAACAACAAGGAGATTCATAAATCGTCAGTTTATTTAAAATAAACATTACAAATAATTTATTAAAATAATAAAAATCTTTTAATTTAGTTTATTAAACATTAATATATATAAACATTAATATATATATAAATATAATAAATTTATTAAAAAATAATCTTTTTTTAATTAATGTAACTTTAATAAATTTATAAATGCAACTGAAGAGATATGTTATATCTCACCTTCTTTTAGTTGATTGCAATATCTACTAAACTTTAGGGTTTTAACTGAGGTCGGTAACGGATGAGGGAATACAATGGCGCACCATGAAAATACTGATGGGGAATTCTGCATGTTTCAAGTGGTTGGTTGATCTAATACTAATACTCTATTATTATTATTACTATTATTATTTGTTTGAGATATAAATAAATAAATTTTTGTGATTTTCATCTTATATTCAATAATCATGCTATTCAAACCCCTATAATAACCATCATATTATATTTTTTTTATAGATTTTCAAAAAAATTTCATGTGGACTTTATTTGGGGTCTGTTGCAAACCATTACCTATATTTATTAAAGAATTAAAATTGGAAAAGGAGTTTATAGATAGATCATTCATTCTTAAATAGAAATAAAAATTAAATAAATATTTTTAAAAGGGAGGGGGTTTGAATTAAATATTTAATTGGAAGTATTAACACTTTATTAATAACAATTTAAATATATTTTGATATATTTATTGGTTTTTTCTCTATTTTTTGGTATTTTAAAAATTAAAATAAAAAATAAATTAAATTTTAAAAAAAAAATATTTTTAAAAAAAAAAAAAAAAAAAAAAACGAAAAAAAATTATTTTTTTAAAAACGAAAAACTTTTAATCAAACTTTTATAAAATTATAACTATTTTTTTTTGTATATAAATAAATTATCTTTTATTATAGTTTTAATATTGGATTAAAAGAAAGAAAAATGAGCAACGAAAGACCAAGAGAAAAACAAATGCCAAAACAAAAATATGGCTTTGCTAAACCCGAATATATACCAACTACAGTTTCAGAAGCATTAAAATTAGAATCAGAAGAACCTAAATTAAATCTTATTGTACAATTTAAAAATAAAGATAGTGAAGACGATACAACTGGTCCACCAATCAGCATTTCACAAAACGTATCAACTGATCAATTACAATTATTAATTAATAGTTTATTAAATAATGTATGTTATAATCATAGTAATAGTAATAATAATAATAATAATAATAATAATAATAATAATATATGTTTTAAATTTTAATATTAATTAATATATTAAATTTATTTATTTATTTATTTATTTAGGATGAACAATTACCATATTCATTTTTTGTTAATGATCAAGAAATTACAAATAATTTAAAAAACCATTTAGAAGATATATCAGATGAAACTACATTAAATATTTATTACCAACCACAAGCAGTATTTCGTGTTCAACCAGTCACAAGATGTCAAAGTTCAATGTCAGGACACACAGAAGCTGTTTTAAATTGTGCATTTAGTCCAGATGGTACAGGATTAGCATCAGTTGGTGGTGATACCACATTAAGAATATGGGATTTAAATACAAATACACCACTTCATACATTAAAAGGACACACCAATTGGGTACTTCAAGTAGCTTGGTCACCAGATTCAAAAAAAATAGCGACAGCAGGTATGGAAGGTGAAATTAGAATTTGGGATCCAAAGACTGGTAAACAAATCGGTCAAACTTTAAGAGGACACACTAAATTCATTACAGGATTAGCATGGGAACCATTTCATTTAAATCCAAATTGTGCACGTTTAGCATCATCATCTAAAGATTCAACAGTTAGAGTTTGGGACACAGAGTTACAACGTTGCACCATGACAATGTCTGGTCATACCATGTCGATTACTTGCATTAAATGGAGTGGTGAAGGTTTAATTTATACAGGTTCTCAAGATAGAACCATTAGAGTTTTCGATGCAAACCAAGGTAAATTAGTTAGAGTTTTAGAGGGTCACGCACATTGGGTCAACACTTTAGCATTAAACACTGATTATGTTTTAAGAACTGGTCCATTCGATCACACCGGTAAACATTATGACACCCTTGAGGAGTCGCAAGCTGCTGCATTAGAGCGTTACAATCAAGTTAAAGCAAAGAATAAAGGCATGGAAATTTTGATATCTGGTTCTGATGATTTTACAGTAATCATGTGGAATCCTTCTGTAACCAAAACTAAACTTAATCGTTTGACCGGTCACCAACAATTAATTAATCTTGTAACCTATTCCCCTGATGGTCGTTACTTTGCAAGTGCTAGTTTTGATAAATCCATCAAACTTTGGGACGGTATAACTGGTAAATTCATCTGTAACTTTAGAAACCATGTTAGCGCTGTTTATCAAATTTGCTGGTCCTCTGACAGCAGATACTTGGTTAGTGGCAGCAAAGATAGTACTCTTAAAACTTGGGATATTAAAACAAAGAAAATGTATAACGAATTACCCGGTCATGCTGATGAAGTTTATACAGTTGATTGGTCTCCAAATGGTGAAAAAATTGCATCAGGTTCAAAAGATCGTTTATTAAAAATGTATGTAACCAAAAAGAAATCTTTTTACTATATTCATAATTATTATAATATTTACTAATTTGTTTTTTTTTTACTTATTTAGTTGGGCTTTATAAAATTTTAAAATAATAATTTTAAAATAATTAAATTAATTATATAAAAATAAAAAAAAAATATAAAATATAAAAATTAAAAGTTAAAATTTTTTTATTTATTTTTTTGTTATTTGTATTTTATTTGTATTTTATTTATTTTTTATATATTAAAAACCATGGATATAATAGGAATATATTGTAATTTTTGTTGGAAAGAGTTAATAGAAAATGATCGAGTATTTATAACATCTTGTTTTCATTTGTTTTGCGATATTTGTATGACCAATAAAATAAATGAAAGAATATGTCCAATATGTGATGGATCCTTAATGTCAAAGGGTTCAATCTATGGTATTACTATAGGATCAACATTCGATAAATCAATACAGTTGTTCGGATTACCCCCAAAAAAAAGTATGTGTTAATTAAATGTAAAAATACTTCAAAAAAAAAAAAAAAAAAAAAATTTTAATTTAATAAACTAAAGTTTCAATGATAGCAGAAAAAGCAATAGAATTTTATAACTATCAGAACAATGTTTATCTTCAAAGTTTAATTTATCAATCTCAGCAATCACTAAGCCAATATAATGTTATTAAAAGAACTAATGACGATTTAAATTTTAAAATTGAATCTTTCGAAAAACAATTAAAATTGCAAAGAATAGAAAATGAAAATGATAAAAAAGAAATTGTAGAACTCACCGAAAAACTTGCAGAAAAAACTCGTCAAAAAAGAAAATTAGAAGAATTATATTTAACTTTAAAAGAAAATATGAATAATTTAAATAATTCAAATTTTAATAATATTCATTTCAATGGTTCAGATAATAACAATAGTAATAACAATAATAATTATATTAGTAACATTAATAGCAATAATAATGGTAATAACATAAATAATGAAACCACCTCCATCGCTATAAAAAACAATGGTTTTAAATTACCATTTTCAGCAAATTTGAAAAACATCAACAATAATAATAACAACAATACTATTAATAACAATAATAGCAGTAATAGTTATATTAATAATAATTTTAGTAATGCAAACAATAGCGCAGCGGGAAATATTTTAAGTCCAAATAAAACTACATACCGTTCACCATCATTTTGTTCATCTCCAATAAATATAAAAAGCACAAATGATGATTTTGTTTTTGTTCCTCCAAACTTATCTGGTATGAATCAACAACCCGTTCCAAAAGGACCTTTTCCTTCTCCTTTTCAAAAAAAATCAAACTCAGACAATAATAATAATAATAATAATAATAATAATAATAATAATAATAATAATAAGAATGATAATAATAACAATAATATTAATAATAATAATAATAATAATAATAATAATAATAATAATAATAATAATAATAATAATAAAAATGATAGTATGTATAATTATTTTAATTTAAAAAATTTGATATTTTGATATAACCCTTATTTATACTAATTGTTTTTTTTTATTCGCCAGAATTTTCTTTTATAAAAAAATCAACCCCCATTCACCCAAAAATAAAATAAAAATAAAATTTATAACTTTGGATTTTAGATTTTTAATAAAAATTATTTTTTTTATTAAAAATAAAAAATGAAATCAATTCTATTATTTTAATAAATACTCAAACCCTAGTTTTATAAAAAAAAAAAATAAATAAATAAATTAAAATAATAAAAGTATTAATTTAAAATTTTTTTTTTTTCGGTATAATTGATTTTTTTTAAATATTATTTTAATCCAAGAAAGAAATACCATCACACCATCACATCATCAACTACTGCATTGTGTATTTGTGTGTAAAAATGGGTCAATAGAGAGGTTCATTATATTTTACTGTTTTAGTTAGCGGTGTGTTTTTGGTCTAAAATATTATTTTATTTGAAAAAAATAAAGGTTATATTCAAAAAAAAAAAAAAAAAAATTATTTTTTAATTTTTTAATTTTTTTTTCAAATTTTCTTTTTTTTAATTTTTTTTTTTTTTTTGATTTATAAAGATATTAATAATTTATAAAATAAAAAAATAAAAATTTTAAATAATTATTTATTTGTACCTGTAACAATAGTAGTTTCAATATTTTGTATAATAAATAAAATAAAATAAAATAAACTAATAAATTAGTTAGATTTATGTATGTTTTAATATATATTTATGGTGTTTTACATATTTTTTTTTGATGATTTATTTTGGTTATTTTTTTATTTTTTTTTTAAAAACCATTTACCTTTTTCGAAAAATACAAAAAAATAACAAATATACACATAATATACCTCTATTAAATACAAAATAATAAATTTACCCACACCACACACTATAAATTATCTATTTTTATTTTATTTATTTTATTTTATTTATTTATTTTTTTTAATAAATTTCAATACTAATATTAAATTTTTTTTTAAAAGTATTATTATCCTCAAGTATTTATTTGATTGATTTTTAAAATAATAATCATATATAATAATTTTTATATAATAATATTATTTGATTATAAAAATAATTTTTAAAAATGTCAAATAATTCTGCTATATTTGGTAGTAGAGTTGGTGGAAATACAAATACAAACAACAACAACAACAACAACAATAATAATAATAATAATAATAGTAATAATAATAATAATAAAATAGTAATAAAAGATATAAAAGAGATTACAGGTAACACTAGCAATAGTGGTACCACTAATAATACCGATTCTATTCCAACAAAAAATGAAGTTTGTGCAGTATGTAAATCTAAAAATGTTCAAATTTGTACAGGTTGTTTATTAGTTTATTATTGTGGAACCGAGCATCAAAACCAAGATTGGCCAAACCATAAAGATTTTTGTTCAGGGTTAAATAGAAGAAATGACTTATTGGATAGAGCAGAGAGATCAAAGGATATAAGAAGAAAGTTTCAGTCAGAGGTATATACAAGCGGGAGTTTATTAAAAGATAACAATAGCCCCTCCTCATCTTCTAGTAATAAAGGTAAAAGTCTTGGTTCAACAACAAATCCCCCAGGAGCCTCTGGTAGTAAATTTTTTTTAAACAATAGTAATAGTAGTGTAAATAATAGTAATGGTGGTAATAGTAATAGTAATAGTAGTAATAATAATAATAATAATAATAATAATAATAATAATAATAATAATAATAATAATAATAATAATAATAATAATAATAATACCTCACCAAACTCAACCAGCCCAAATACCTCACCACCAAATTCTACTTTTTCATCAAACACAAATAGTACAGTAACACCAAACTTTAGAAAATCTGTTGCAATATCGAATGTAAAATCACTTTCACAACAATTAGGTCAGCAACAGCAAAGCCAATCACCAACAGTAACAAGACAAATTAATACAAACACACCACCCTCATCATCAACACCATCACCTCCCACCACCAATAATACACCAAAACCATCACCAATGGTATCTAAAAAAGCATCAGCCCCTTCAGCAGCAACCCAAAACTCTTCATTTAATAAACCAGCACCAAAACAACCAATAGCACAACCCAACACTAACAATGACTCTTCAAATTTTTCACAAAATGGTGGTATTAAAGCTTTACAACAACAACTTCATGAATCATTAAAAAACAAATCAAACTCTAGCAATTCATCACCCTCTAACACATTAAACTCATCAACAAGTTCAACAAGCTCAATTGTATCAAATAATAGCACACCTGAAGTTCAATCACCTACAAACAATCCATCTAGATTTGGTAAATCAAATTTAAATGTTCTCCAACAACCTGTTTTTAAACAATCTCCTGTTACATCAACATACTCTTATAAAAATAATGAAAACAATCCAACCACCACAACAAATATCGATACTACTGAAAATGAAAACTATACAAGTAATAATACTTTAATAGATACAAGCATACCAGAATCGACCGAGGTAAATGAAGAAAAGGAAAATATGAAAAATATAAAGAACAAATTAAGTCAAATTAATTTTGGTGCACCACCGCCATCATTTTTCAAAAAACCTCAACCTCCACCCGTGGTTGAAGAAGATATTAATAACAATATAAACAACAATAATAATAATGATGAATTTAGTGACACTTTTAGCGATAATAATAATATAAATAATATTAATAATTTAAATAACAATAGTAATAGTTTAAATAATAGTGGTAATAATGTTAATATATATAATAACGGATATAATCAATCACCACCAACAAATAGAAAACGTAGTAATGGAAGTACTGGTAGTACTGGTAGTACTGGAAGTGGTAAACATAATGTATTTGTTAGGGAACATAAAAAAAATCAATCATTACCGGATCATATAGCCGATTATTACCAAAATAATAAAAATATAAATAGTGGTTATAGAAATTTAAATGATGACGAACAAAATACTGGTGGCTTCGATGATATAAATGGTAGTGACTATTATGAGGACTATGAAGATGATGATCCCAAATATAAAGATAGAAATAGACCAAAGGGATTAAGAACCAATAACAGTGCCGTATTTGAATGGGAAAGTGGTACTATAGAATATAAGCAAAATAATCCACAACCCAAAAAATTAGGTTTTGGTGTTGGCTCAAGAGGTGGTAATTCATTCTCTAAAGATTCACAATCTGGCGAAGATTCTTCAAACTCAAGTGCATCAACGGCAATACTTACAACTAATAATATTGGCAATTCAAGTTCTCAATCATCTGAAGATTTACAACAACCACAACAACCACAACAAGCACCAACCCAATCAACAAGTGAAAGAGTGGCAGGTAAATTTAGAATGATTGGTGGCGATATTAAAAAGAAAGCTGGTATTATTGGTTCACTCACTAAAAATAAAGTTTCAGAAGTTGCTGCAAAGACTAAAGGTAAAGCAAATAGTGAAAATGATACCAACCCAAATGTAAATAGTAACAATAATAATACCGAATTACCAATAACTGAAGAAACTATAATATTTGGTGTACCATTAGAAGAGGCAATAAGGAAATCTGCAAAACTTCATCCATTGGTACCAGATATTGTTTATAAATCAATTGAATATATTAGAGAAAAAGGTATTCAAGAAGAAGGTATATTTAGATTAAGTGGTTCAGCATCAGCAATTACAGCATTAAAGAATGAATTTGATCGTGGTTTAGATGTCGACCTTAACACTCAATTGGACCAACATGTTGTTGCTGGCATATTAAAACTTTTCCTTAGACAAATTCCAGAAACATTATTTACTCAGGAATTTGGTGACGAGCTTGAAGATCTTCGTGTTGGTGGAAACAGTGCAGAGGCAATATCTAAACGTATAGCTGGATGTATTCATATACTTCGTTGTTTACCAGAAGCCAATAGATGTATCCTTCATCATCTCTGTTCACTATTAAATCAAATATCATTCGAACCAACTACCAAAATGAGTACTGTTAACTTATCAATTGTTTTTGCTCCAACTTTAGGTTGCTCTTTAGAAGTTATGACATGTTTAATTGCATATTATGATGATATATTTGGTGTTCAAACTTATAATTATAATCAATAAAAAAAATAAAAATAAAAACCAGTTAAATATTATTTTTATAACAAGAATAAAATTTAAATAAAAATATACTATTTATTTGTGTTAACACATTTAAAACGACTTTAATTAATTTTCTTTTAAGTTTTTTTTAAAAATCCAATTTTTATAAATTAATTTTTATAATGTTCCCCCAGGAGGATTTTAAAATAAGAATTTCATGTGCTTGCTCGATTAGCTCAGTCGGCAGAGCGTGGTGCTAATAACGCCACGGTCGCAGGTTCGATCCCTGCATCGAGCAATTCTTTTTTGTTCTGGTGGTGTCTAATCTTCCAGCTGATAATCTTTTCGGAGATCTATTTTTCGTAACTTGTTCTCGCAGGGAGTTATGAAAGTATATTTGTAGAAAGAATAGTCAGTAATCTATTTTTATTAATTGTTTGTAAGCTTTTTTATAAAAAAAAAAAAAAAAATAAAAAATTTACTGATTAATTTCAAGCATTTAATTTTAATTATTACTTTTTAAAAAAAAAAAAAAAATTTAAAGCATTAGCTTTGAAAATCTTCACTTTTAAAAAAAAAAAAATTTTTATAAACAATTCGCTAGAGTTATAGTCTTCTATTTTTGATGAGCATTGGATCACCCTTTTTAGGAATAGTTAATCATGATTAACCCTTCTTTATATTGTAAGTCAATTTTGTGGGTTATTTAGGGTGTCATTGAAGGCAGAGTCTAGCATTGGTGCCAGTTTTTCTTTATGTGTGATATAAAATTGATTTATTTTACCCTAAGGAGTCAATATCATTATTTATATAGGGTTTTGATTAATATATATCTTTTTTCTTTATATTTTTTTTTTTATTAACATTTCTCTTTTTTTTATAAACATTTATCAAAAGCCACAATTTTATTAATTTTTTTTTATAAAATTTAATTTTTTTTTTTTTTTTTTATAATATTCCCAAAATCACAATAAACACATTCACATAAATAATTTTAATTTAAAAAATAACAACAATAACATTTTGAAAACATATAGAAAATAGAAACAGAATTAATTTATTAAAGATATCTAGTGGTTTAGAGCCTGTAAGTATTATGTTACCCTTATTATTATGGAGCTTTTTTCATAAAGTGGTTGGGATACAGATCATGTATCATATTGGTAGCCTAGAAGCGGTAACACCAAGTAATGAATCATAAAATAGAATACTCATTGGAAGCATAGCAAGATCATTAGGTTCAGAATTTATCTTGTCAAATTATATAAACTTGGTGTTGAAGAGTTTGTTATTCTAGTTGAAGAATAGGTCTCATTAACCTCTGTTTTTGACCCTGTTGTGTGAAGTGGTTTAAAATCAGAAAAAAAAATAAACAAATCCATCAAGTGATTTGGTTCCTATTTTGTCAAGTGGTATTAGAGTAGAATCTGTTACACCATATATTGTTTAGCTTCATCGAGTGGTAATGTAAATCATGTTTCATCAGGTTTTAGTCAAAAATCTGTGCACCAATTAGTAACAGTTCTTTAAAATTTTAAGAGTCTATTTCATTAAGTGGTAGAACATAACACTTGTTCTATTATAACCTTTCGATCATCGGTTCATTTTGAATCTTAATTTGAACATCTTGAAGCATCCATAATTTTGTATTGAATATTTGTAAAAGTAAAAATAAAAACAAAAAAAAAATAAAAAAAGAAAAAAAAGCAACAAACAACAAAAAAAAAAAAAAAAAATATAAAAAAAAAAAAATTGAGCAACTTAAAAAAAAACAAGTCTTTTTATTTAAAAGTTTTTTAACACACATGTAACACAAAAAAGATAAAATATTTTTTTTTTTTTTTTTTTTTTTTTTTTTTGATCTCTAGCTATCATTCATGATATCTTCTTCCCATGAAAATTTAGATTTTATTTTTATGTAGTTGAACAACAACTTATTTTTAATTGTTGTTTTTTTATAATATGATCCAATTAATGGATATAAAATATATTTTTGTGCCACTGGTATTTTTAAATCTTCAAAATCTTTATCTTCATAATGTAATAATGCTATACCATTGACATGGTTTTTTTCAATTATTTCTTTTAATGTTGATAGGTTACATAGTCCTAACAAATTTGAAACTTGGCCTATTGTTAAATTTAAAATTTCCTCATATTTTAATTTCTCTGTGATTGGATTTTTTTTTCCCAAAGCTCTGTTCATTTCGTATTTGAAATTTTTTTTAAGACCAAAAGTATTGATACCATAATTTTCAAGTTGTTCCTTTTTACCATCGATTTGTAATAGTATTGAACCATCAATATTGATATTTCTAAATATTGGAATAAGAGCTTTAAGTACATTATTTTTTTTTAACCATTTACATACTTCATCAGATTCCCATTCTGACACTGGCTTTTTTATAAGATTTTGTTCATTATTTCCATTTGAATTTTGATTTGAATGTCTTTGGGCATCATGCTCTAATTTAAAAACTTTTTTATATTCACGTTTTTTATGGAATAATGTTGAAATTACTTTATCCCAGATAAACTTGAAAAAAAATATCATATATCTAAGTATTTGCTCAACAGATATATCCATTATTTTGTATTTAATATTTGTAAAAGTAAAAAAAAAAACAAAAAAATAAAAAAAAGCAAAAAACAACAAAAAAAAAAAAAAAAAAATATTAAAAAAAAAAATTAAGAAACTTAAAAAAAAAAAAATCTAAAAATATTATTTTTTTATTTTTTTTAAATATTTCCATAATTATTTTTAATCTGATTATTTTAAAATATAAAATAATTTTAATATTAAACTACTGATTTAATACACAATTTAAAATATTTTTACTTTAAAAAATATATATAGTAAATAAAAAAAATAATTTAATTTTTCGTTAAAACAATCATTTATTAATTTTAATCAAGTTTTGAATAGATTTCATTGATTTCTTTTTGGAAGAATTTTTTAACCTCTGGTCTTTTAACTTTGAACGATGGGGTTAATCTAAGATGAAAAAAAAAATTAATATGAATATATAACTTGGTTAATTCTAAAATTTTAAATTATTCACTTACAAATTATTATCAGTTGAAAAAGCTTCAGAGGTGAGATGAATTGCTTTTGGAATTTCGAAACCAAAAAGACCAGCCTTTTTACATGTTTTGGTGATATCATCTAAAATGGCTTTAGTAAATTCTTTATTTTCACAAACTTGTTTAGCCCCAGTGCTTGATTTATTTGACTTGGCCCATTCTTCGCATGATTCTGGGTGTGGGTGAACGATAGCAATTAAACAAGATTTTTGTGAATCACCATAAACACAAACTTGAGCAACATACTCACTCTTACAAATAACTGATTCAATCTTTTCGACTGCAACATATTCACCTTGTGAAAGTTTAAAAATATTCTTTTTACGATCAATAATTGATAATGAACCATCCTCATTCCATCTACCAATATCACCTGTATGGAACCAACCATCAATAAAATCAGCTTTGCTAAAATAAAAAAGATATTAAAATACTTTTTTTTATTTATTTATAATACTACTATGAAAACTTACGTTTTTTCGTTATCTTTATAATAACCAATTGAAATACTTGGGCCTCTTAAACAAACTTCACCAGTTTGGACTTTACCTTTACTTGAATAATTTAACTCGTCAACATCTACCAATCTAATTTCACAGCACTCAAATGGTGGGCCAACAGTACCAAAGGATTCATCATCCAAACGTTTAACGGCTGTAGCACCAGTACTTTCTGAAGCACCATAACCTTGTAAAACACAGCAACACATAACACTAATCATTAAAATTATTAATATCGGAATAAATAAAATAGTAAATAAAAATAGTAATATAAACTTACACTCTTAAGAAAAGCTCAGTATCTAATGATAATGGAGCACTACCACTTAAAATTACACGAACACGGCCACCTAATTGATTTTTGATTTTTGAAAAAATTGTTTTGTTGAGTGCGGCTTCGATGAGTGGTAATTTAAAACCATGTTGAATTGAAAGATATTTTAAGTTATAAGCACCTTTGAAAAGAGTTTTAACAATAATGGATTTTTTTCCGATTTCTCTGAGTACATTTGCTTTGATTCTTTCGAAAACTCTTGGTACACCAATAAAAAGAGTTGGACGAAGTGATTTAACCTCTGTAAGAATGTTTGAAACATCACCAGAGAAGATACCAACACCACCACCATAGTGAAAAGCTGTCAATACGATTACTCTTTCTAAAATATGGGCATATGGTAAATATGAATAATGTGTATCGGTATCATAAATCTTTACGAAATTATTTACTGAGCAAACTACTGAAGTTAAATTTTTATGAGTGATCATAACCCCTTTTGGATCACCAGTTGTTCCTGATGTATACATGATTGTTGATAATGAATCTTGGGTTGGTGGTACATGTTCATGTTTATTATTTGAATTTTTACCCTACATTTAAAAAGAAGCTATTATTAGTATATTTAATTAAATTTAAAATATATTATAATATTTAATTAGTATTTACCTTTTCAAGAATTTCATCAAATGTATATAATGTAATATTATTTGATTTTGCTATTTCTTTATGTTCATCATCGACTGGGTCAAAACATACAACAGTTTTTAAAACTTTAACACTTTTTGCAATATCAAAAGTTTTCTTTAGAGTTTCGACTGAACAAAAAGCAATACCAATTTCGGCATGTTCTGAAACAAATGCTAAACTTTCAACACCTAATGTTTCATAAAATGAAACAATAATATTTGATTGAAGAAAACTTGCTGCATGAACAACTAACCATTCTAGTCTATTTTTACTAAAAATACCAATTTTACTTTTCTAAATAAAATGAATAAAATTTATATTAATATAAATATAGTTTAATAGTAATTTAAATATATATATTTAGTAATATCATACTGCCTTGACTCCTATTTCGCATAAACCTTGTTCTAAATATTGACATTTTTCAAAGAACTGATTATATGTGACCCATTCAAAATCACCAAATTGACCATTTGATAATTTCTTTCTTTCTGCAAAACAATTTCTATCACCATATTTCTTTACAGATTTACTATTAGATTTAATAAATTATTAATATTTTTTTTTTTTTTTTTTTTTTTTTTTTTTTTTTTTTTTTTTTAAAAAAAATATACATACATTAATGAATCATAAAGTGTATAAATTTCTTCATCCTCCATATGAGTAACTAAATGAGGATTTGTAGCTGCTCTTCTTGCTTTACCACCATCGGGATAAGATTCACCAACTTCAATTGATTGTTGATATGGATGTTTTCTCTTCCAGTTGAAAGCTAATAATCCACTTACAACAATTAACCCTACTGCTATTAAATTATTTATCATTTTTTTTTTTTTTTTTTTATTTGTAATTTAAATGGATGTGAAATGAATTAAATATAAAAAAAAAAATTAAAAAAATTAAAAAAAAAAAATATAATTTTAAAAAAATTAATTTGAAAAAAAAATAAAAAAAAAAAATAATAAAAATAAAAATAAAAGTAATAACTTTATTATTTCCCATATTTAAATTAAGAAATTTTTGTTTCTTTAATTTCCTTTTTTATAAAATTTTGGTGTCATTATAAACGAAAAGATAAAAAAAAAAATTGAAAAAAAATTGAAAAAAAATAAAAAATAAAAAAAACTTTACGATTAAAGTGATGATGATATTGATGATGGCTTTTTTGATTAAAAAGAAATGTAATAAAAATAGTTTTATAATAAATATAATAATAGTAAAAATAATAATAATAAATATTTATAATAACTATGGTTTTTTTTTTTTACAAATAAAATTTTGTTTTTATTTTTTTTATATTACTATAAAAAATTATTTTTTAAGTTTTAAATTTAAATAAAAACTTTTTAGGGTGGGTTGTTTTATATATTACTATTTGTGCATGGATTGATGTTTAAAATTGATTATTTTTCACATTATTATGGTGTTATTTTATTATTTATTATTATTATTATTTATTATTTATTATTTATTATTATTATTATTATATTATTATTTTATTTTTTGTTATTACTATTGTTTAAAAAGAAAAAAAGTTTATTGTTAATTGTTAATTGTTTTTTTTTTTTTTTCTTTTTTGTTTATTTATGTGTAGTGTTCTTTTTTTATGCTTCATATGGAATAACTTTAATACCATCAGCAGAAACAAATTTGAGAATATATTTTCCAGAGACAAGGAAACGGGTATTTAATTCTTTTGTACATAATTTCATTAATGCAATACCTTCATCTAAAGTGAGGTTAACGTTGTGATGACGATCTAACAAACCTAAAAGGAAGTAACTTGAGTAACCATGACAAGCAAAGGTTAATTTTTGTAATGAACCTAAATAATCCATATAGTAAAGTGATGGTCCAGTTTCTTTGTCGTAACCAGCTAAAATTAAATTGATTTGATATGGATGACTTCTGATGGAGGTAGCTAATTCATTACGGATAAAATTTGCACTGGCTGGTGTTGATAATGAATATCCATTACGAAGTGAATATAATTTAATATTCTTTGATATATACTCTGTGAATTGAACACGATCACCTGCTTCACCAGCTGCTGATAACAATTTATTACCATCGATCTCCATAATTTTATCTTCATCATCTTTCATTTTAACAATTGAATGATTGATTGCAGAATCTGCTAAACTTAAAACACCACCTTGAACAACAAAAGATAATAATGTTTCCATTGTTTTATGATATATATATATAAATATATAACTTTATTAAATAAAAAAAAATAATAAATTGAAAAAATATAAAAAGTATGTAATTATTAATATTAAATAAATAAAAAAAAAAAAAATAAAAAAAGAGAAAAAATTAATTAAAAAAAATTTTGAAAAAAATTAAAAAAAAATTAAAAAAAAAAAAAAAAATTAAAAAAAAATTAAAAAAATTTTGAAGTTAACTTCACCACTCACAATTAAAAAAAAAAAAAAAAAAATTGAATAAAAAAAAAGTGTTAATTTTTTAAAATAATTTTGATCAAAAAAAAAAAAAAAAAAAAAATATTTAATTTAATCAAAAGAAAAAAGGTTATTAAACAAACACATATTTATTGTTATTATTATTTGTTTTTTTTGATTGGTAATTAATTAATTAAATCACGACTTTTTTTTTTTTTAAAAAAAAAAATTTTAATTTTTTTTATTTTTTTTTTTTTCTCGTTGCCAATACTGCAATAATATAATTTTTAGGTGGCATCTTAATCTTATATTTTCTAAATGCGTATTTGAAAAAAAATAAAATAATTCAAAAAAATAAAAAGTTGAGTGTTTTTTCCACTGCACATCAATTTTTTTTTTTTTTTTTTTTTTTAAATTTTTTTTTTAAAATTTTTTTTTCTTTTTTAAAATTTTAAAAAAATTCTTTTTTTTTTTTGTATTGAATAATTTATTAATCATCGATATCGTTCGTTTTTTTTTTTATTATACAACCAAAATTTGATTAATTACAATTTATATTTAAAATAATAAATTGTTTTGTAATATTAGTTTTTTTTTTTTTTAAAAAATAAAACTTACCACACACACACACACATTAACATAATTACCTAATTAAATAATTACCTAATTATTCAATATATATAAAGAAAATGGGCGGTGATCATCATCATCATGGAGACGAAGAAGGTGGAAACTTTTATGTACATTTATTTTCTGGTGCTGCAGCAGGTTTTGCAGAGCATTGTGGAATGTATCCAATTGATACAATCAAAGTAAGTATTGAGTTAATTAAAACATTTATTTTATTTTATTTATTAATTTATTAAATTTTATTTCTCCAGACACATATTCAAGCAATTAAACCAGGCATGAATATCGGAACATCATCAGTCCAAATTACAAAACATATTATTCAACAACACGGTGTTATGGGTTTATTTAGAGGTTTAACTGCAGTTGCTGCTGGTGCTGCTCCATCCCACGCTGTTCATTTTTCAATATACGAAGTGTTAAAATTTAAATTTATTGGCTCAGATGAAGCTCACCACCCAGTTAAAGTTGGTGTTGCAGGTGCTATTGCAACAGTAAGTTATCATCATCATCATCACGATCATCATCATTCATTGGTTTCATCACCATCACTATCAATTATCATTCCATCATCACTATCATTCATTACCACAACTATAGCAAATCTGTTATTGAAATGAAAATAATCAAATCTAATATTTTATTTTTTATTTTTTTTAGATGACAAGTGAAGCAGTTGCATGTCCAATGGATGTCGTCAAACAAAGATTACAATTACAAATGGCAAATTATAAAGGTTTAATCGATTGTACAAAGAGAATTTGGATAAACGAAGGTATTAGAGGTTTTTATTCAGGTTATACAACCACCTTGGTTATGAATGTTCCATACAACATTGTTTATTTTGCAAGTTATGAAAGTTTAAAAAAGATCATTTATCCATTATTTAATAAAGATACAAATACCAATCAAAAATCATATCAATTAATTGATAATTTAGTCGCTGGTGGTGGTGCTGGTATGTTGGCCGCTGCAGTAACCAATCCTTTCGATGTAGTTAAAACTCGTTTACAAACTCAAGCCGATATTGTAGCAACTGCAACCACTGCTTCCGAAGCTGCTAAACATCAAAAATATGGTGGTATGGTAGACGCCTTAAAAGTTATCTGGAGAGAAGAGGGTATGTCTGGTTATTTAAGAGGTATGAAGCCAAGAATGGTTTTCCACTCAATGAGTTCAGCCATTGTTTGGTCCGTATACGAATACTGCAAATTCTTACTTCAATAATTAAATATAAAACAACCACTACCATCAAAAAAAAAAAAAAAAAAAGATAATTGTTTATTTATTCTTGGAGAATAATAATAAACTAAACCACCATCAAAAAAAAAACCACTTATTTAATACTACTAAAATCACATTCTTCCACGCTATACATTTTTTTAGGTTTTTACTTTTTTTTATGTATAAAAAAAAAATAAAAGTAAATAAAAAAATAAATAGAAAATAAAAAAACAATAAAAAAAAAACAAAAAGTTAAAATATATATAAAATAAATATATATATAAATAAATAATTAAAAAAAAAAACACCATATTTTATTATTATTTACCCATTTATTTTAAAAAGTTTTATTTTTATTCATAGTTTTTAATTTTTTTATTTTTGTATATATAAAATTGGTATTGGTTTTTAACTTGGGCTTAAAGAATTTAAATCGTCAAAAAAACTGTTGGTATTATTATTGTTACTGTTATTACTATTACTATTACTATTGTTGCTGTTGTTGATATCGCTATCTTGTAAACTACTATCATTTTCGAAATTTGTATCGATTAAAATATCGTCTTTATTATTTATATTTTCATTATTATCAATTTGGGTTGATGGGGTTGAGTTTGGTGATTTAATTGGCGTATTTATGTTGTTTGTTGTATTATCAGTATTAATATTATTTTCGGTGTTGTTATTGTTATTGTTATTGGTTGAATCTTTACTACTATTATTACCATATGGTAGTTTATATTTATTCTCTGAAAAATAACTATCTTCATCTTCTGAAATACCTTCATCAATAATCATTTTCTTTTGAGTTGCTAACAATTTATCAAACTGTGAGTCCAATTCGTCCAATAGGTCATTTGATTTTGCTACAGTAGGTGTATTTGTGGGTGTGGGTTCAAAAATACCTTTGGTGACACTCTTTATATGTGTAAAATAAATTTTCCAAAACTTTTCATCATCCATATATGAAGGGCAAATTTGATATCTTAAATCATTCAATGGTTTAACAATCTCTAAAATTTTTTCAACATGTCTTTTTTGTAATTTTGTCATTTTAAGTGCTGCAAACAAAAATAGTTAATAATTATTAATTAAAATCAATTGATAAATATATATTATTAATAATTAATGGTAGTGATACATACAAGAGTTTTTTAAAGTGTGAAAGGGGAAATCTTTAAACGACTCTGGGTATTTTGATATATTATCTACCAATTGTAATAGCTCTGGAGTAATACCCAACTCGAGTCTTTCTCTAGTTTCCTCTTCATCGGTGTTTATAGTATTGTTAATTAGTTTTTTAAAGGCATTAAACATTTTGTTTTTATTTTTCCTTTTTTCTCTTTTGTATATAACATTAAAAAGAGACTAATAAAGTTAAAAGAAAAAATAGAAAAAAAATACTTTGCTTTATCTAAACAAAATAATATTATATCAAAAATAATACAATAATGAAAAAAAGAAAAAATTTTAAAAAAATAAAAAAAAAATTTTTAAAAAAAAAAATTAAAATAAAATTTTTTATTATTTTTAATTTATTTTCAAATCTTAATTTATAAAAAAAATAAAAACTGGTTAATTAATTTCAAGTTAATTAAAGTTTAAAGAAATGCTATATTATTTGTGTTTAAATATTTATACTGCATAAAAAAATAAAATTATTTATACTGTATAAAAAAATAAGATTCTACTTTATTACTTTTATTATAAATTTGAAATATCAACATATAATTAGACAATAAATAAGGGTTGTTATAAAATTAAGTTATAATTTAAATTAAAATATTCCTTTGGTTTTACTGATCAAAAAAAAAAAAAAGAAAAAAATTAAATTTAAATTTAAAAAAAAAAATTTTTAAAAATTTGTTTTTTTATAAAAAAAAACGATCATTTCGTTTTTATACATTGTAAATATATACCCTCCATAAAAAAAAATGGTAAATATTATCTCTTTATATTTTAGTATTATTTATAATATGGTTTGACTAACTTTAATTAAATATTTTTAGGCCAAAAAAAATAGTTTAAAAAATCGTAAGAAGCAACACCAAGCTGATTTAGAAAGAGAAAAAAAACAAACAGAAAAAATTGAAGCTAAAGCCCAAAGAAAAATCCAAAAGAGAAAAGTACTATTAAAAAACTTTATTTTAATATTGTAGAAAAGTTATTTAATTAAATATACTAATATTAATATTTATTTTAAAATATTTAGCACGAAGAAGAAAAGAAAAAAGTTATTGCTTATGATGAAATTGAAGATGAAGGTTTAAAGAGAGGTAGAAAGAAGATTAGAAGAGAAGTTATGGAAGAAGATGATTAAATAATTAATAGTAATAATATAATAATAATAAAATTTTTGTAAAAAATAAAGATTTAAAGGTTTTAAATAATGGATTTATATTTTTTTTTGTATAAAAATAAACAGATAACAGGAAAATTAAAAATAAATGTATATAAAGTTTTAATTTTAGAAATTAATAAAATTTTGTTGTATAATAAATTAATACAATTTATTACAATTTTATTTTGGTTTTATTTCTTTATTGTTGTTGTTGTTGTTACTATCATACATATAATTTATGGGTAGTTGTTTATTTATCATCAACTGTTGCCATTGGATTTAGTTCTATTTCATTTAAAAAGTTTGGTAACTCTAAAGGTGCAGGTTGTAAAAATTGATCACTACCAATAATTTCGCCAATGGTTTTATCAATTTCTTTATTTCTTTTTTCCATTTCTTTTATTTTCTTTTTTCTTTTTTTTAGATTTATTATATAAATCGCTATAATTACTAAAAATATTGTTATTGCGCATATTGGTACTAATGCAGATATTAATATTATTTTTAATTTCTCTGAATTATTATTATTATTATTGTTGTTGTTTTTATTTGTGCATTTATAAATTATGCTATTAATTATATTACAAAATGGTTCAGCTAATGATGGGTTGTTTGTACTATTACTTGATACTATCATATTTCTATTTCCATTTATTGTATAGTTGCTTGAGGGTATTATACTATTTGTTATATTTATAACTGAATTATTTGCATTTATTATATTTTTAAATTGATTTTTATTGATACTATCTATATTAACATTATTTAATTTTATATTGTGGTAATAAATTACACTATCGTTGTCGTTATTAATGATATTATTTAAATTATATTTTATAATAGAGTTGGAGGGTGTTTGATTATTTTGAAAATTATTAGATATTAAAATAGTATCAAATAAAAATTTAGAGTCTATATTATCGTTACCAAAATTTAATTCTATAAATGGTTTGTTATAAAGCGTGTTATTGTTAAATGTTGAGTTTGATATTTGTAAAAATTTAAAATCATTTATTATTATATTGTTATTGATATTATTTATAAAGCTAATGTTATTTATATATATATAGTTGAAAAATAGATTGAATACATTGGGATTCATATGTATAAACTGACAGTTATTTAAAGTGATTTGGTAGCAATTATCAATGTGATTTCTATAGATGAAGTTTGAGTCTTTGAAAATACAATTGTCAATTTCTAATGTTGAATACTGAAAGTTTCTAATGATTGCAATATGATTGGATTGCCAATTTACAAACTGAAAGCCATCTATTTTTATACTTTGTGTAAACATGAGTGCATCATTGTGTAGAAAATATGATTTACTATTTGATCCGTCTATTATTATTGATTCTGGGTTCTCCAGCGCATTTAAATTGTAGTCCACAACCGATAAACTTATTGTGAAAAATTTATATAAATTTCCAAAATAAGAATCTTCGTTGATGATTATTGGTGGATCCCTGTCGCTATAGTTCTCCATTTGTAGATATATCTTTAAATCGTGGGGTTCTTTGTTATTGATAAAACTTAGTATCTTTGAATTGGCCTCTGAAAATGATTTGCTTTTGGTGTCGTTGATGTTTTTAAAAACTGATGTGCCATTTAGTGAAATATCAAACACTATAGAAAAACTACTTGACTTTACAACCGTTATAAAATAATTTAATAATATAATATATAATAACAAAAATATAAAATTAAAAAAATTTAATATTTTCATAATATATATCTGTATATACATATAAAAAGTTTATATTAGTGGTGTTGTTGCTGAAACATTATAACTTTTAATAAGAAAAAAAAAGAAATAATATAAATAATTAAAATTAAAAAAAATAAAAAAATAAACCTTGTAAATCAAAAAACAAACCTAAAAATCAAAAAAAAAAAAATTAAAAAATTAAAAAAAAAAATTAAAAAAAATGATATCTGAACGGTTTTTTTGATACATCTAATGTATTTATTTTTTATATTATTTATATTATTTATATCATTTATAAAAAACGAATGATCTAAAAAAAAAAAATAGTCTTATATCTCAATTTTTTTTTTTTTTTTTTTTTTTTTTTTTTTTATATATATTGTAATTTGTTATAAAAGACTTAAAAGTCAACATTTGCAGATTTTTCACTACTATTGATGGTGCTTGGTGAGCTTTGGATTGTAATTGTGTCACATTTGGCAACTCCTATATTGGAGTTTAGCTCGACTGATTGATTGCTTTTAATAATATTTCTTTTAATATATATAATAATGATTGTGGCTATAGTTAATAAAAATAATACACCAAATACTATTGGTAGTGCAATTTTAATTTTTAAATTGTTGTCATTATCTTTTTCGCTATAACTATTTTCTAAACTACTGCTGCTATTAGTAATACTGCTACTACTATCACTGCTATTTGTATAATCGTTCCAATTTTTAATAAAGCTATTTGTAATTGTAAATTTAACATCACTCGAAATGTTGAAATAATCTAAAAAGTTATAATTTGAAAATATAGAATCTAAATTTCCGTATATTTGACCTTTAGAGTTACCAGATATATGTAGTAGGCCACCATTTGGTTCGTTATTGGTGGTGGAGTTTATATGTATATCATTGAAATTGATTTTTGAATTTTCTTCGCAGTTTAAAAATTCAAAGAGATAGTTAACTTGACTAAGGGTTTTGTCCTCTACATCAGGTAAGTAATTGTCTGTGAATGAGCTGTTTGAAAACAATACATTAAAAATTGCACTTGGGAAATACTCGTCACCACCAAGATATATATTCCTAGCGTTGTTTTTTGAAAATGTTGAATCTTTAACCTCTACATTATAAGAGTTGGTTAATGTAATGTGGGTAATCATTCCGTTATACAGTTGATCTAGGGTATTGTTTGTGAATTGGCAGTTGTAGATTTTAATGGTTTCACTTATAGTTTCTATTAATCTATCTGTATTTATAAAGTTAATAAATTTGCAGTTATTAAACTCTGAGAAACGGTAGTATGCAGGAACGTTCCATGTATCATCGAATGTACAATTGACTGCTTTAAAATCATTGGGATTTAAATAAGTATTTGAGAATGGATACGATTGGTAGAAATACACATTGTTTATATACAGGTTGCCAATATACTCGGATGTACGGAAAACTGGTATAACATTAGGGTCATATTGTTTATCCCAACCATTGAATCTAAAAGGACCAGTAATTGTATAGGTTGAAAGTGGATAGCTAACTGAATAGTCTTTCTGGTCTAATAAAATGAATGTCTTGAAACTATTGAATGAGCCATCTGATTTATACACATAACTATAGGTTTTATTAACGGTAATAACTTGTGGTTCTAACTCTACATCGGGGAATGACTCTAAATCTTTATTTACTAGTCTAACATATACATTTGTAAAATAACTAAATTTACCAAAGCTATATAGATCTGTAATTGGCTCATCATTTTGGATGATAAAAAATTCGATGACTGAATAGTCATAGTCATCACCATTTACATTTTTAATTTCCCTTGATCTATTACCTGCAACTTCTATGGACTTGCATGGAGGATATATTGTGTTGTCATCCTTTAAAATTGGACCACCACACTCGCCATTGTTATAATCTATTGTTGATTTATAGTCTATTATAAATCGAAATGATTTTATTAAACTAAAATTTAAAATAATAATTACTAAAATTAATAATAAATTTTTCATATTATTATCTAAATTAATCACAATATAAGAAATTTAATATATAAAATTTAAAATAAATAAAAATATAAAAAATAAAAAAATTTTGATCACACACAAAATCATTAACTGATAAAAAAAACTGCACACAATATTAAAATAAATTATAAATAAATAAATAAATTTAAAATAGCTGAAGGTTTTCTTTTGAGATATTCATAAAATAAAAACGAAAAATTTTTTATATTTTTTTATTTTTTTTTTTGGTTATAATAAAACTGCGAAACTAAAATTTTTTTTTTTTTTTTTTTTTTTTTTTTTTTAAAAAAATTCTAAAACTCTATTATTATTTATTCAATAAGAACAATGTCAGTTTTTGTTCTTCCAAATGAGGCTGGACAATACATTTCTTCGATCTAATAAAGAATAAAAAAAATTTTAGAAAAAATATATTATTATTTAATAAAATTTATATTAAAACTTACTTTGGCTGGTGGTGAAATAAATAAACCTGGTGTTGTAGCGATAACAAAATAATGGTGGTGATAGGTTCCTTTATATAATAAATCACTAAATAATTCTACACCCGTTTCACGATTGTTTATTTGACTTGTCCAAAAGTTTTGGTTATATGTAAAATTGATTGGTTCTAGACCTGCTGGTAATCTATCTTTTATAGCAACAAAGGTGGAATCAGCATCAGCTTTTATGGTTAATACAACTTTAATTTTTGAACCTGCTTTAATTATAATATTTGGTTTCAATTCTTGATTATCGTTATTGATACTATTTGGAAGGAGGATAACATCATCTTTGTTTGATACTGGCACAAATTCTCTTTTAATAAAAAAGCCTCTACTGTTAATGGCTTCTCTGACTGGGTTTAAACTGGCATAGGTGAAATTTAGGGTATAGAATAAATTTCCTCTAGTTTTCTTTTCAATTATAATACTTGATTGATTCTTTAAAATTTGTTTTAAGGGAATAAATATTTCAAATTTCTTTTTGTTGTCTTCAACACTTGTGTCTAATTGTGGATTTGATAATATAATTTCTTCTCTTTCAATATAATGGTTATTTAATTGAATAGATACAGTTGTTGTTGGTGGTAATTCTTTGGTGTAGTCCAAGTAGAATTGGTAACATGCAATTAAATTAAAGGCATTATCCTGAGTTGTATAGAACCAACCATCTTTTGATGCATAGTGAGAGAGACCTTTAACTAATTTGTTTAAAAAATGAGTTTTTTTCTTATCCTCCAAAAGGGAGAGAACCAAGATTGCTTGAATGCCACATGATGAACTAAATCTATTGAATGATGAATTGCTATCGAAATCCAAATGAGCCAATGTACCAGTAATATTAATATAGTTGTGAATTCTTTCATAGTAAGGATTTGAACGAAGGAATTGTGAAAGATAAATGAATAATTGGTGGAATTTATCATCTTTTAAATTCTTTTTGCCCTTTTCTAACAAGGTTTCAATAAATTCGATACTTGGGTGTGTGTCGTAAATTTGACCATAGAAAAAACATAAAAGTGCTTTGGACATAAGATAATTTTCTTTTCCATCTTTTTTATATTGTTTTTTTTTGAAAGAGAAAACTTTTTGGGTATCGATATACCTTTTACAGTAATTATTAACTAATGTTTTTGCTTCTTGTGAAACTTCACTGATTATATTTAATACCCAAAATGTGTACATAATGACATATTCGTATTCTTTTGATTCATGTGAATCCCAATATCTAAAACCATAATTCTTTGTTATACGTTTTTTTAGTGTTGTAATCATTTCGTCAATTGCCTTTAATCCTGATTCTTTGTCCAGTTTTAATTGTTGTAAACTACTAGTTGATAATAATGATGGGCACTTGATGAAAATATATAATGAGACAAGTTTCGAAGAGATTTGCTCCGTGCAAAGATATTCATAATTTAAAAGCTCTAACATCGATGAAGATATCTTTTGTAATGGGTCTGTATTTATTGTGATTGAAAGACCACCAATTTCAGTATCCAAACTAGTCCAGTTATCAAATTTTAATGGGTGAATACCATATTCTGAATCTTTTTTTGGTGCACCAAGGAAGCTAAGGAAATTGGAAAATAGACTATTGTAATCTAATGTGTTGTTGATGGTTGTGGATTCTAATGTTGAGGCTGAATGAATTGGAATTTCAAACGCTACAGCGTCACATAGTTCTGGGTTCATGGAATCTAATACTGTTTTTGCAACAAATTGGAAATGTGATATGCTATTTGGGACTATTGCTTTAATCTTGCATGGGAAAACAATTCGAGAGTTTGCTGGTAATTTACATTTGTAACCTTGATGACCTAATATCTTACAGTTTTCACTTCTAAATGCACCTTCAAATGATAGATCAAAATCCAAAACATTTGAAATTGTAACTGGGAATGTTGCAATATCATTATGGTTCAAGAAACGTGGTGGTGATGGTCTAACTTGAATTGGTAATTTTGATGTAAAGACATCAGAGCATGTACCGAATAATCCACTGTCATAAGAAGCAAATACCATAACTTTATAGAGTGTTAAACTATCTGGAAGTTTGTAGTTAAAGATTGCGTAACCATTTTTATCGGTGGTAAGAGTGGAGAAAAGAACCAATGGATTAAAATTATCACGAAGTCTAATTGCTTGAGTTTCTTGATCTAATTCAATTTCTTTAGCGTCATCACCTCCTCCATATAACCTAATGACCAAATTTAATACAGAGCCTGGTTTGATTAAGTTATCTTTGACTGTACCTTGGTCGAGTTGTTTATTTAAAAAGAATAAACGTTGATTATGATCTGGTAATCCATCTCTTTGCTTGACCATCTCTTTAATCATTGGTATGGTGGTTGAGGGTGAAACTTTACAAGTAATGGTTCTTCCACTAAAGTATCTGATTAAAATTTCAAAATCTTGATCCATTATATCATTTTCTTCAGAGTCTTTATTGCTAATGATATCTTCAGCTAATTTAAATAGTGTATTGTTTAAAGTTGAGCCTGAATTGGGAACAAAGCTATTTGAATTTAAGTAGATGGAAGCCAATGGATTTTCAAAAGAATGGTTTCTAAGATCCAAAATTGCTTTGTCTACAATTGCCATAGTAACTTGAGCATTTGTTAATGGTAAACCGTTTGTTGGGTCGCAAACTTTAACAGTTATTGATGATTCTTGTGATGGGGTTTGGAATTTCTTTAAGTCTAATAGTTCTATCTTTAAATCTTTTATTTCCTTATAGCTAACTTTGAGATCAATGAGTTGGTATCCATTTGATAGTCTTGGAATGGTAACACCATTAGTATTTGTAGAAAGGAAGCCTTGCAAATATACAAAAATAGAAGTATCAAAAAGATATTGTTCTTGTACTTGGAATTTAAATTCAACTTGTCCATTTGAGATTTGAATTGGATATTTTCCTACTGTAATTCCACCTTTAATGAAAAATACAAAACCATTTGCATTTAATAGTTTACTTGTGATTAAGAGCAGAGCCTGTTCATTTAGTTTATATTTTGATTTGTTTAATGTACACTGTAAGTTGATGGGTATTTTTGAGTCGTGAGTCTTTTTTAAAAGATTTGCATCTTTTAATGAATTGGTTCCCAAGTAATCCTTTTCTATTTGAGTTTGGGTTCCCAATACATATATATCAAATGTAAAAAGTTGATCACTTTGAGTCTCCCCATTACTATAAACCAATGTTACTAGGTAATGGCCTTGATTTTTAAATTTATGGTTATAATTGATTAGTGTTTTGTTTTCTGGTAAAATTGTATGGTTGAGAATTCGTTCGCAATTAGAATTATTATCCCATGAAGCTCTTTCAATTGTAATATTAATTGAACCTTCGTTTACCCCTGAGCCTTTTGAATCACATACTATTAAATCCAATGCCAAATCTTCATCAATATTTATAATTGACTTCAAATCTTTTGAAACACCAAAACGTTTATATCCATCTGATTTTATAGTGAAATTATTATTGATCACTTCTCTGTTATTTGTAATATCAATGACGGTTGCTTGGACTCTAACATTGCATGAGTACATTGATTGGAGGATCATATCAAGACGATGTTTACCACTACTATTTCGTTTACCAGTATATTTGAATGGCTCTATATTTTTATCTAAATTGTTGTTGTTAAATCTATAGTTGGAGTACTCTGAGAATGTATCTAAAGTTGGCTCAATTTGGATAGTCCATTCTACCATTGTATCTGGAAGTATTTCACCTGTATATGATTTTGCCAAAACTTCAATTGAAAATGGATCTTCAGTTTCACCAAAACCTATTAAATTTGAGTCACCACTGATAGTATTGGTATAGAGAGATGATTCGAGGAGGAATTGCTTCTTTTTAAATTCTTCTACAGAGAAATGATGTTTGTGTCCAGAATTGTTGAAATTAAGGGCAATGGTAAATGAACCAAGATTGCAGTTAATTGGAATTTCATAGTTTAGTTCGAAGCTTCCATGTGTTGGGTCCATTGGAGCACTACCAGAGAATAACTCTTTTTTACCATCGCTAATCTTATAGTCTACCATGTAAAGTTGTTTTTCTGTTTTGATGTTTGACGATAATAATTTGTTTGATTTTAAATAATTGAACGATGGAATAATTAAAACTTTATTTTCATCATAACAAAGCAAACGGACCAAACCCTTGACGTTTATGACATTTCCTGGTCTATATACGCCTGAACTATTGATAACACTCCACTTATATTCGTACTTGTTGCTTGGTTGATCAATTTGATGTGGGTATACTAAAGATTTACCACATTTTGTTTCTATAATCATATGGTTTGATTGAAAACCCGCACTTTTTTCAAATACATTTTTTTCCTTATAGTTTGCCTTTAATGATCGAGTATTAAATACATTATAAAGAGAAACTGAAAGGTCATTGCCATCGATCGATTTACTTGAATTTATATCTGATACTATTAATGAAAATTCCCTACCAATTTCAAAGTGGCTTACTACTAATGGTGAATACTGTAATAAAACTATAAGTTTTTCTTCGGTGTTATTTTCTGGTTTAAATTTGAACAATAAAATTGAATGTCTTCCTTTATTTGCAGTTGATGTAGTTCCAAAAAAATCTGATAGGTCAATATTTGTTTTGGTTGTGCATTCTTCCTCATATTCGACATGTCCAACCTTTGTTTTTTTTCTAAGTACTGGAACTGTAATGTTATCAACTTTCTTTACTTTGGAAAGTTTAAAGCTATCCACTGTATATGCACTGACAAGAAGTTTTGAAACACCGAATGTATTGATATTAATTGTTGGTCTATTTTAATATAAATTAATGTTAGAATACATTTTTTAAATTATATAATTAAAAATAAAACAACAATACATACCTATATGATGGATCTAAGTTAAAAATGTTTCGACTTACTAAAAAGAACCCAGTTGGAGTATTGGAAATGGAAATTTTTTGTTTATGGTCTGGGAATGAAAAAGTACCAGAAGATGATGCAGTTTGTTTTGAAAGATAATCTTGGAAATTGTAAATATTGACTTTGTAGGTTGTTAATGGTTTAAATTTGGCAAAAATATTAATATATTTATCACCAATTTTAATTTCTTCAATGTTGACTGGTGGTTTAAATGTAATAAAGTCACTTAAAGTATTTGTTTCTTTTGCTTTGATTATATCAAAAAACTTTGCTTTGCATGTTGTATTGAATCTGATATGTGATAAAGCTGATAGCTCATCTTTTTCCATATTGGCAGGAGTAATTTTAAAATGGGCCAAGGTATTGAATTGGAATTTTTCAATTTTATTGCTAAATAATGGGCCTTCAGTTGAACCTACATATGACATATACGAACATAAATGAATTTTTCGGGAATAGTAGCCTTTGATGTTTGATGTTATTTTCATAACTATTGTTTTTTCATTTTCTCGATTTACTTGAATAATCTTTGCAAAAAAGTTTTCAGGATCGTTGTTTGACAATACTTTAAATTGAAGGTCACTTTTTCTATAAAGGGATAATTCTTCTATTTCTGCATTAAAAACATCTTCATAATTTGAGGTTATGAGTTTAAATGGTTGGTTAAAAACGATTCTGATTTGTGGGTTGTCCAATGAGTTATTATACTCTGTATGACAAATTGATTGAGCAGTTGTTCGAAAACTATATGTCTTTTCTTCGATTTCTTGATTATAAAGTGATTTGAATTTTTTTGAGTCAATTGTAACATTAAAGGCTGTCGACAATGGGAATGGTAAAATATTAATGAGTGAAGTTACATCGGGGTTTGGGCACTTATACTCGAATACCAGTCCATCAATGGTAAACCATTTACCGTTTGGCAAGTCTGGTTCAACTTTAATTGGAATTTCATATTTTTCAAGGTTATTTGTTACTGGCAAGAATGGTTTGTTAAAAATAATTTTGATAAACTTGCAATAAGAAACTTCATTAATTGGTGTAAATGTTTGAATATTTAATTTAACTGGCTTTTGCTCGGAAGAGGGGGCATCAGTTTTTTTAGTTGGAATATCATGAAGTGATAATCTATCAAGTGATGTTTCTAATGATTGGATATCCTCTTTTCTATAGTTTTTGTTATTGACATCATCGATTGGAAGTAATAAAACATCTTTGGCAGAGTTAAGTGGATGTTGTTGTTTTTCTTTATCTTCTATTCTATTTAATAATTTAAATGTATCTTGTGGACTAAGGACTTCTAAATTATTATTTTCTTTTTTTTGACGAAGTTGTTGTCTATATGAACGGTCATTAACTGATAATTTGAAAATTGGTTTTTCTTGTTCTTTATCTAAATCGAAAATTGATTTCCTTGGAATACCTAAAAATACAGTATCACTTGACTCTGGACCTCTATTTTTTTCAGCTACCATTTGATCATATTCGAGGGTATAATTAGAGATGATGGGTGAAATTGCGACTAGAATAGTATCTCCATTTTCGATAGAGTTATCAGCCAAAGTGGAAAAGTTTTCTAATTGTTTACCGGAAAAAATTAATCTAATTTGATGTTGATGAATTATTGATGAATATGACTTTTGGTAATAATTATCTTGCTCCTTAATGGTGCCTATGGGGGTATCCGTAGAGGTAGTTATTGATGGATCGGTTTTGTCTTCACTTTCATTTTCAATAAACACATTTGATGGAATTGGTAGTTTATCAGAGTATTCTCTAAATAATTGAATCTTTAAACTATCTATACTGGTGTCTTTACTAATATTTTCTAATTTGATTCTATAGTTATTGGTACATAATAGATTTATACTAAGCATTTTATTATTTATTTAATTTTTTTTATTTTTCTATATTATATATGATTATTAATTTATTAATTTACAATTTTATTTATTTAATTAAATATTTATTTATTGGTTATCTATTTACAATATATATTGTTTATTTAATTAAAAAAATATACAATAAAAATGAGGTTTTTAATTGAAATAATTGGGAAAAATAAATTAAAAAATAAAAAATTGAAAAAATTTAAAAAAAAAAAAATAAACAATTTGGTAATTTTATTTGAAAAACTTAAATACTAATAAAAAAATTAGATAGGCAGTTCATTGACTGTTTTGGGGTTAATATAATAGGGAAAACAGTCAGTATATACATTTTAATACCTTCAGATTCTTTCTATTTGATCCATTTAAAAAAAACAATCACTTTTAGAAAAAAAGAAACTAAAAAATTATTAAACAACTTTATTTGGCCATTTTAATTTTATTATTATTTAACTATTTATATGCATATTTTATCAAAAAAATATGTATTTTTATTAGTTTAAAAATGTACAATGATTTTATTTTATATTTTATTTATATATATGTGTATTTATAGTATTTAGTATTGGATTATTTCTTTTCGTCGACTTTAACAGTGTTATCTTCTACTGGAATAATACTTTTATTACCACTAAATTTATGTCTAAATAGTAAAAATATATTAATAAGAATATTTCTATACAAATAATACTCTAACTATAGTATAATGATTGCTTTTTTTAATTTTGAATCTACTTACAAACCCCATCTTGACAATTGAGTTAATTGAGCAACTTCGTTAGCAGCGTGACAACCTAAAAGCCAATAATTTGGTGGATAGATAGCGATAGCCCATCTCATAAATACTAAACTGTAACTTGCAAGTGCTATAATTATAATAAATTTATATGATTAATATTTCCAAATCATCTTTAACTAAAAAACTATAACCTAAAAACTAAAAACCAAAAACTTACTAGTTGTCATAATTGGATCTATTTTTTCTGGGTCATTTTTTAAATTCATAAAAGACTGTTATTTTAAAATAGCTATAATAAGTACTCTTGTTTATATTTTTTATAAAGAAAAAGAAAAAGAAAAAACTTACAGCAATTGGGATTGTCCAATTTGCGGCAGCACCAAGGAAGCCAACCATTCTAGTCCATCTTTCTATATATAATTATAAAAAAGAAATAATTAATTATTTAGTTAATTAATTAATAATTAATTAATTAATTAATTAATTACATACCCGACATTTTAATATTATTTTAAATTCGGTTAAATTTTAACGGAAGGGAAAAAAAAAAAAAAAAAAAAAAAAAAAAAAAAAAAAAGTCTAAGTATTTTTAAAAATTTAAAATTTTAAAAAAATAAAAAAAAAAATATTTTCACAATTTTATTTTTTTTTTATTTTATTTTTTTAAAAACAATTGGTGTTTTTGAATTTAAAAAAAAAAAAAAAAAAAATATTTTTTTACAATTTCGGACATTAACCTCTCGAATAACAAATACAATAATACACAAACAGTTTAATAATTATTGTCATATTATATAATAATAATAAACATATACAGTATTTTTTTTTTTTCTAAAATATACATAAATAAATATATAAATACTGTTTTAAACAAGAGAGAATGAACTTTTTCAAAAGATTTTTAGATAAATACACTGGTAACCAAACTGTCTTTAGCAATAAATACGCAACACAATTTTTTACCGCTTTTCCAAGATTAGCCTTTTTAAATAATGGTATTTATCATATTATATATAATCTAAATAACCTTTTATTTATTTTTAACTAATATATTTTTTTATAATATAGTCACAAATTTAGCACCAGTAAGATTATATTTATGTAGTTTTAAATATAACAAATATAGATAACTAACTTGTTTAATATTAAAAAATGAAATTTAGATGATGAAATGGTCACTTTCAGTAGTACCAATCACACAAATTGTTTCAGGTACTAAACCACCACAATCAATCGACGTATATCAAGCATCATGTATGTTTTATTTTTGTTTAATTAATTTGGACCTTTCATATATTATTAATACATAGACAGTCACACACATCAGCATTGACACAAGCAATAGCACCTTTCAGTAACAACCTCAGCAAAATATTATAATATAAAGCCAACAACAACAACAACAACCTCCACAAAACATTAAATTATTTTAGGATATTTTTAGCTAATATAATAATTAATTTTATTTATATATTATATATTATATTATATATTATATTGTTTTGTTTTTATATTATAGCATTATGTGCAACAGGTAGTATTTGGACATATTATGCAACTTTAATTCAACCACAAAATACAGGTACAAGAATGCTTGCCATGTGTAACGCAGCAATGGCAGCTTGTCATGGTTATAATATTTATAGAAGAGTTCAATATGATAAAGGAGTAGCTTCTGGTGAAATAGCAGCAGCCCCTGCCAAATAAAACAAATATAATTTTAGCAATATAATAATAATTTATACATTAAATAAACCACAAAAAAACTTTAAAATGTATTTATTTTAGTTCTAATAATAATTTTAACAGTTATTATTATTTTGTTTTATTTTGTTTTAACGATATAATTTAATTATATTGTTTTGTTTTGTATACAAATTATTTTATTTATATATTTTATTTTATTTTATTATATTTATTTTTATTTTTATTTTTATTTTATTTACAATCTTCTTTTTTCTTTTTTAGTTGTTTTTTTCTTTTCTTCATCTCTTCTTTGTTTCTCGAGTAATTCTTTATCTCTTAATACTTTTTTTTGATGTTCAAATTTTGATTTTTCTCTTTTTGCTTTTTCTTCGTCTGCGATTCTTTTAGCATTTAAATTTTCACCTAAACCATATTCCATCTTTTGATCCTCAATCTTTTTCTTTTCAACATGATCAGATAATAAAATATCACCATGTGAATCTACATCCTCTTCATCATAACCATATTTTGATAATAATGCATCTCTTTTCTTTTGTTCTTCTCTTGATAATTTATAATATGGACTATAGTAAAAAAAAAGTTAGTATTTCATTATATAATAATATTTATTATTACTATGATCATTACTTTTCATAAGCTTCCTCTTCAACAATTTCGGATTGTGTGGTTTCTTTAATTTTTAATTCTTGTTCTAATTTTAAATTGGTAAGTTTAATTTGCTCTTCGACTTGTTTATCTTCCATAATTTCTTTATATCTTTTTATTAATTCATCACAAAAATGTGTAGAGTCTTTCTCAGTCATCGATGAAAGGAATTCGCTTATTGATTCTTTTTTTTCGTCTAATGATGAACTGTCATCTGAAATAATACCAAATATATAATCGACTACCGGCTCAGAGTCGTCTGTTTCAAATTCATTTAATGAAATTTGAATATATTTTTTTAATTCCTCTTCTTTAATATTTGCCATTATATATATATGATTTTATTATATTGATATATGTTATTGGTGTGTTGCTGTTGTTATTACAATTGTGATTGAAAAATAAATAAAAAAAAATTAAAAAAAAAAAATTAAAATTTAAAAAAAAACAAAAAAAAAAAAAATTTAAAATAATTAACCGAAAAATTATGAAAAAATGTATAAATAAATAAATAAATATGAAAATAAATTTATAGATTATTTATTTATATATTTGAGTTTGGTTTGTTGGTTTGTTTGTTTTATTTGTTTTTATTTAAATGGTTTTTTATTTATCTCCAAGTTACATCAACTTGATCAGTTCTGAATCTTTGAGTTGTTGTAGTTTCGCTGATGGGTGTTGAACCACCATTTTTAAAAATTAAATAACCGGCCCATGCAATCATTGCTCCATTATCAATGCAATATCTTTCGTCAAATCCAAATGATTTACCACCACGTTGAGAGATCATTTGATGAATCATTTCTTGAAGACGTTGATTACATCCTACACCACCAACTGCTAAAATTTCACTTTGACCACAATGAGCTAATGCTCTTTCGGCAGTTTCGACCAACATTGAGAATAAATGTTCTTGTAAACTGTAGCACAAATCTTCAACAGAGTATTGATTTGCTTTTTGTTTGTTCTTTACAAAAGATTCCATTTGTGAGAGAATACCACTAAATGAAACATCCATGCCTTTGGTTAAATATGGAAGCTCGATTAAATTCTTACCCTTTTTAGCTAATTGTTCAATGTTGTAACCTGGAGATGGGTCGTTTGGAATTTGAATTACACGTGCAAATCTATCTAAACAATTACCAACCGCTATATCAATAGTTTCGCCAAAAATACGATATTTATTTAATGAATAGGAGATTACTTGAGTATTGCCACCACTAACATATAGAATAGTTGGATCCTGTGCGCCGGTAATAAGACGACCAATTTCAATATGTGCTATACAATGATTTACAGCAACAATTGGTTTATTCCAAAGCTGTGATAACATTCTAACGCATACTGCTACCGATCTTAATGGTGGGCCCATACCTGGTCCTTTGGTATATGCTAAACAATCTATATCCTGTGGTGTTAATTTTGATTCTTTTAATGATTGTTGAACTAGTGATAATATATAACTTCTATGATGTTTTGCTGTATCTTTTGGTAAAAATCCTTCGCCAGGTGGTGTTATGAATGTATGTCTAATGTTCGATATAATAGTACCATCGTCTTTAACAATCCCAATTCCCAACTTATTGGCACTACCTTCAAATCCCATAACATATACCATTTTTATAAATAACTTTTAAAATATATTCTATATATTTATATAAAACAAATTAATTAATGAAAAATAAAAAAAATAAAAAAATTTTCAAAAAAAAAATAAAAAAATTTTTAAAAAAAATTAAAAAATTAAAATTTTTTTTTATTTTTAATATTATAAAATAACTGTATAAATTCAAATTTTGTAATTATAAAAAAAGAAAATAAATCAAAGAATTTTTACAGGTACTTTGATGTAATAATTTTTTTTTTTCTCTCATAAGTGCAATTGTTAAAAAAATAATTTAATAATAGAGTTTATAATTTTAAAATTTTTTTTATTATTTTTTTCAAATGTTTTCCCAATTATAATTAAATTTATAAAATGAAAAAACAATAATTAAATAAAATAAAATATTAGAAAAAATAAAATATATAAAAACGATAAAAAACCTAAAAATTAAAAAAACTATATAAGGTTTTATAGTGTAATTGGTTAGCACCCGGGACTTTGAATCCCGTAATCTGAGTTCGAGTCTCAGTAGAACCAGGATTTTTATTTATAATTATTTTATCTTCCCAGTGATTTAGAAAAATTAGCAATGTAGTTTTTGTAATGTAGATGGAGCTACTTTAGTTAACTCTGTAATACTTCAATATACTAGTTCCATTGCTATACATTTATACGTTGGACACTCTAGCTCCTTTTGAATATTAACTGATTCTACCTTCATAACTGCAATATATTTGATTCCCGAATCAGCTCGAACAATTGATATTAATTAATTAATAAATTATTTTTTTTACTATCACTATAACCACCATAGCTTTACTACTCTTACCGAATTAACGCAGACCCAAAGGTTTTTGTTAAGAACAGAAAGATCGTAAAAAAAAAAGTGTAATGTAGATGGAGCTACTTTAGTTATAAATAATAAATATAAATAATTCTAATAATCAAATAAATATACAATTATTTGTTTGTGAAAACTAAAACCGAAAACTGAAAACTAAAAAATAAAATTTTATTTTTTAAATTTTTTTATTTTTATTTTATTTTTAATTTTTAATTTTAAATAATAAATTATTTAAAATAAAGGAAAATATAAATATATTATTTAGTTGAGATATAATTATAACTGTAATATTCATTTAATTCTAAAATGCATATGAATACATTACATTTTTTTAATTGGTTTTATTTTAAGTATTATTATTAAAAATAACCATAAACATTATTTTATTATAAACTAAATAAAAATAAAAATAAAAATAAAAATAAAAATAAAATAACAATATTATGTCATTCATTAATAATTACAAACACATCAGTTAAGATAAGTGTTTACATTACTATTTCTAAATATAATGTTATACTAATTAAAAATAATATAAAATACAATTCTATATATACAGTACTTACCTTTAGATTACTAAATGAAAAAATTTCTATGCAATAATTTAGTAATTGAATAAAGACGTAAATTAGTTACTAAGAAAATAAGTGATTATTTAATAGAGTTTAAACCAAATGGTACTGTCATTCGTTTTATATTCTAAAGAATTTAGGGAATATTGTCAAGAAGGTTTCCATTTATCAACTTTTAATTATTTGATTTAAATTATAAATTTTATAAAAATTGTGGGGTTTTTAAAATTTAAAAAAATAAAATTAAATAATTCAAAAATAAACTATTTTATCATAACATAAATAAATAGATAGTTTGTTATTTGCTTAAATCCTTAATATATATCTGCATTATAAAACGAAAACTATATTTTAATTTTTAAATTTTTTTATTTTTATTTTATTTTTAATTTTTAATTTTAATATATCTGGATATCATTTGAACCATACTTTAATCTTTAGCTCTTAACCTAGATAGATTGAGATTTATTAATTGGATGATATTTTAACTTTGTTATTACTATTTTGTGGTGGAGGGGTATATCATTGCTGTTCACCTGTTCTATTCATTTTTAGTTGTGGTGCTTTTTAAAAAATGATTGTGGGTGAAGAAATAATTGATTTTTGAGCACAATGGTTATATATGATTGTTTGGTGGGGAATAAGGTGGTTTGTGGTTATACAATCAATAGTATATTTAAAATTTTTTTTTTTAAATAATTATTTAATTAATATGTATATTTTTATAAAATATAATACTAAATAAATAACAATAAAATAAAATAATTTATTTTTTTTTATAATAAAATTTTAAACCTTTTGTTTTTAAAAAAAAAAAAAATTTCTAGATAGAAAATATAAAATTAAATTTCAAGATAAAAATATTAATCTATTTATTATATTTATTTTATTTGTTTATTGGTTGATTGAAAATTGTTCTTTTTGTTGTTTGAATTAGTATAAAATGAAAACCTTCTTTTATGAGTTTACCAGTTAGTCTATTCAATTCTTTTAATCTTTACATATATCAACTGAGGCACAAGTGGCATGAGTGGCTGGAGTATCTCTTTTGGGCTACTTCCTAAAGCTTCTATTTTTTTCATACCAATCACTGTGTCCAATAATCTCTTTTAATTTCTAACCCGATTGGAGGTATGCTTGTGTTGCTTTAATGGCTCTTCCATATAATCTCCACCTTTAATAAGTTTTTTTTTTTTAATAATTTTTTTTTTTTAATTATTATTATTTGTTTCTGTTATTTTGAAATTATAAAGAATGATTGGAAAAAAAAAAAAAAAAAAAAAAATTTTGAAAAAAATTTTTTTAAAAAAATTAAATTAAAACCCCACCACACACAATTTTTCTTTTTTATAAAAAAATTAATTAAAAAATAGCTAGAACTGTTTAGTTATTCCCATAAAATATTTACATTTCATTGCTGCATATAAAAAAAATTTTAAAAAAATATTAATTAAGAAATATTAAGCTATCAGGAATTCGATAGCCTAGCAGATGCTCGGCTTTTTATTTTCTTCAATAAAAAACTTGTTAAGAGTTTTTTATTTTTGTTGTGTTATATATATTTGGTTTGTGTTTTCATTTGGTATACAAATATTTAAACTTTTCAGTAAGTTTTTATTTGTTTTTGTGTTATTGTGTTTTGGTTTGTGTTTTAAAAAACCTGTTGGGGGTTTTTTATTTGTATTGTGTATTCGTTTTTACCTGGTTTATCTTTCCGGTGATTATAATACAAATATCAACTTATATTAATAAATAAAAAATATATTTTATATTAATATATTTTATATTAATATATTAATATATTAATATATTTTTTATTTATTTATATTTTTATATAAAAATAAATAAAATTTTTTTTTTTTTTAAAAAAATTATCGTTATCTTCATTTTTACCGATTATAGCTCGTTTTCATTATCCATTTTTTAAAAAAAATATTATCTCTTTTTAATCTTTTTTTTAAAAAAAATTCATTTTTATCCACTTTTAAAATTTGCCATAGATCCAAAATAACAGTCAAATACGCAAATATAAAAATATATAATAATAAAATACTATATATGAATAATAAATATTTCTATAATTTAAAAAAAAAAAAAATTATAGTTATTTAAAAACAAATATTATAGAGAATGAAAAGAAAAAAAAATAAAAAAAATATAGATTTATATATATTATTTTTATTTAATGATTAAAAAAATGAATTAAAATGAAAATTAATAAAGGAAATAGTGAATGGTAGCGGGTAGAGCTCTTTATTTTAGTTAGGCTAATAGTTACATTCCCTAATTACTTATTATTTTTTTATTTATTTAGTATAGTTTTTATAATCATTTTTTTTATTTTTGTTTCTGTTGCTGTATTTGAATAAAAATTATGATTCTTTGTTGTTTAAAACGAACCTATAATTTCTATTTCAGGAGGTAAAAATTCATACGTTAAAACTTTTTTGGTATAACTATTTGGTAATGAGCGGGGTGGAAATACATTTTCAAATGAATGATCCAATGTCAGTTTTGTGAGACTATTTGGTAATGTACTGGGTGAAACTACCTGTTTAAAACCATAACCGAACCTGAGTGTTGTGAGTCTATTTGGTAATGTGTTGGGTAGAACCACTTGGTTATAACCATCACCGAATGTGAGTGTTGTGAGTGTTGTGAGACTGTTTGATAATGTGCCAGGTGGAACTATTTGGTTAAAAAGATAACCGAATGTGAGTGTTGTAAGACTATTTGGTAATGTGCCGGGTGGAACTATTTGGTTAAAACTATGACCGAATGTGAGTGTTGTGAGACTATTTGGTAATGTGCCAGGTGGAACTATTTGGTTAAAACTATGATCGAATGTGAGTGTTGTGAGACTATTTGGTAATGTACCAGGTGGAATTGTTTGATTAAAATGACTACCGAATGTGAGTGTTGTAAGACTATTTGGTAATGTGCCGGGTGTAAGTACTTGGTTAAAATAAGAACCGAATGTGAGTGTTGTGAGACTGTTTGATAATGTGCCGGGTGTAAATACTTGGTTAAAATTATGACCGAATGTGAGTGTTGTGAGATTATTTGGTAATGTGTTGGGTAGAACCACTTGGTTATAACCATTACCGAATGTGAGTGTTGTAAGACTATTTGGTAATGTGCCGGGTAGAACTACTTGGTTAAAATCATAACTGAGTGTGAGTGTTGTGAGACTATTTGGTAATGTACCAGGTGGAATTGTTTGGTTAAAATAAATACCGAATGTGAGAGTTGTGAGACTATTTGGTAATGTGTCAGGTAGAATTGCTTGATTAAAATATTTACCGAGTGTGAGTGTTGTGAGACTATTTGGTAATGTACCAGGTGGAATTGTTTGATTAAAATGACTACCGAATGTGAGTGTTGTGAGACTATTTGGTAGTGTGCCGGGTAGAACCACTTGGTTAAAATAACTACCGAATGTGAGTGTTGTGAGACTATTTGATAATGTGCCAGGTGGAACTATTTGGTTAAAAAGATAACCGAATGTGAGTGTTGTAATACTATTTGGTAATGTGCCCGGTAGAACCACTTGTTTAAAATCATTACCGAATGTGAGTGTTGTAAGACTGTTTGATAATGTGCCGGGTGGAACTATTTGGTTAAAAAAACAACCGAATGTGAGTGTTGTGAGACTATTTGGTAGTGTGTTGGGTAGAACCACTTGGTTAAAACAATCACCGAATTTGAGTGTTGTGAGATTATTTGGTAATGTGCCGGGTAGAACCACTTGGTTAAAACAATCACCGAATATGAGTGTTGTAAGACTATTTGGTAATGTGTCGGGTAGAACCACTTGGTTAAAATCATTGAGTGTGAGTGTTGTAATTGTATTTGGTAAAGATGATGGGGCCAATATTTTAAAAAAACTGTATAAATATAAATTTGTCAAAAATGGTGGTAATTCATTTTTATCTGGCAGTCGACCATACCACGCAAGTGTTGTTATATATGATTTATCTTTAAACATGCCATAACGGTAATTATCAAGATCTACAAAACTATGTTCAATAAACATTAAAATATGGTTATGAATTTCGGTTCTTAAAAATATATTATTCCAAACTTTATATAATAATCTATAATAAATAGTTAAAAAGAGAAAACACCAATTAATATGCTTTTAATTAATCTATTATTTACATTAATTGTATTGTATTGTTCTTACCTATCACTAATATTATTGCTGTTTTTAAACTTTTCATTTACGCGATAGTTAATTAGAGATGATAGTAGCTCATCCATTGTCAATATGAAAATATAAAAATAAAAAAATATTTTCCCAAAATTTTGAAAAAATTTAAAAAAAAAAAAAAAAAAATAAAATAAAATAAAATAAAAAAATTTAAAAAAAAAAATAAAAGGGGGGAAACAACCACACATTACTATATATTAATTGATTATGATTTAACTGTTTTTTTATTGATTTTTAAACACCTTTTAAATTAAAAACTAGTACTTTTAATTTTAAAATTCCTTATTAATGTTAATTTATTTGCTTAAGTGTTAAATAACAGATTACTTAATATATTACCAATAGAAATCAAAAAGGAATTACACAATAATCCCATTCACACTCTTCTTTACCTAGGATACCCCAAAACGGATTTGAACAATAATACCTTTGCTTAATAATTTCTTTAAATGTTTTCTCTTTTACTCTGGTGATTTAATTGGCTTACTATCTGTTTTAACTTTAATATACATATCATAACCACTTCGACTTTATTTATTTGTTTTATGATTTGTATATAGTTTTGTAGAAAATTAAATTGTTGTGTATCAGGTGTATTATTTTTGATTAATTAAAAAAATAAAAAAATAAAAAAAATAGAAAAAATAATTTTAGAGAAATTAAATCTATTATTGCTTGTAAATATTTTATTTATATTATACATAAGATATATGATTTTATTTATAATTATTTGTTATATAAAGATGAAATCGAAATATAAATTAAAAAAAACTATATAAAAATTAAAAAAAAAAAAAAAAAAAAATAAATTAATGTATCTTTTGTAGACATTAATGAAAAACCGATATTCTTTTCAATATTTTTGGACCCAATCAGCGATACAGAAACACCAGATCAAACCTTTGATATTTATCAAAAAACAAATAAAAGTGTAGACCCCTCAATATTTTTACCTTAATTTTCAGTACCAAAAGATAACTCATTTTTGGAAAATAAAAAGCAAAATGTAAATAGAAATGTTTTGAAAATGGTTCATTTTTTTATAGCTTTGGTAGTAAACTCGAAGAAAAAATCAATAAAGATAAAGAAGCCATAAATTTAGATATTAAAAATCCCAAACAATCAACTCTGTATCTACTGTATTAGCACCTGCTTCATTTTCGGCTCCAAATGGGATCTCATCTCCTAAACCTGGCTTCAGACATAATAAAATAAAAAACGAAGAGATTATAGATATTAGAGAAGATACCAAATCAATCAAATCACTCCCATTCAACATAACAACTTACAAAATAACATTATTATTATTTGTTTTTTTATTTGCATTCTTTTACCATTTCTATTTTAATTTTGATGGTAAAAAATGGTTCTATATTTAAACTATTTAAATAAAAAAATTAAAACCTTATTTATTTATTTAATTTTTTTTGAAAACAGATAAACCTTTACTCAGTTAATAATACTGGGCTATGTTCTAATTTTTCTGTTTTGTTACCACAAGTATAAGTCCATGAGAAGTCACCGTAATATAAATAAGTTCCAACCCCATGTTCACATTTTGTTTGATATGCTTGGTGATGATGATAATGTCTATCATGGCTCCCCCCAAAGAATGTTTCTGAAGGGCCTTGAATACCACATTTACAAAAATTATTTGTTTTATGGTTGCATTCACATTTAACAAACCTTTTTAAAGGCCCATGCCATTGGACTCTAAGGTTTCTATGACCACAACATGGACATTTAGAATCTCTAATATACCCACCAAAAAGAAAGGCAAAACCATCACTGATAGAATAAAATTTTGAGAAAAATGTTACTATTTTCTGTTGTCCAGAGATATCAGCTAGTTCTCCATCTATATTTTTACTTTTGTAAAAATCTTTTGGTATTGTGATATAATGTTTACTATCAACAATTTTGGCTTCTAATGGCTCCATTACAAATACTTTTTTTATATTAACATATGGTGGTTCAGATTTTGGAATATTTATTCTACCAATGAAAATATAAAAACAAATTAAAAGCAAAATTAAAGATACAGTAGAGATAAAAATATTTCTCTTTCTATTAGAAACTATGGGTGTGTCTGGGTGTGGTGGTAGCTGTGGGTGTGTTTGTGTTTGTATTTGTGTATGTGTTTGTGTATGTGTATGTGTTTGTATTTGTGTATGTGTTTGTGTTTGTGTTTGTGTTTGTGTTTGTGTTTGTGGGTGTGGGTGTGGGTGTGGGTGTGAGGTAACATGGTCAGGTTTGCTTAATACTTCAACTCTAAGTTTTCTATTTACAAGGAAATTTTCTAAGCCATATAATGTTATATTACTATCCAAACATCTCGAAGGAAATTCACTAAAAACATTCAAATCTTCACGATCTATGATAGAATTTTGAAATAAAATCCCTAAATCTTCTATATCTCGTCTAATAGTTATAGTTCTACCATTTATAAGAGTTTGATCATTAATTTCATTGAAACCACGAACACATCCAAAATCAATTAATTTCATTTCATTCTGGTCATTTACTAAAATATTTCTGGGATTTATATCGCAATGTATAATTTTTCTTTCTTTGAATACCATTAATAAATCAATAATTTGATTTATTATTGTTTTTACAAAATTTAAATCAAACCCTTCTAAAATACGATCTTCAAGTGTTCTACCATTAAAAAACTCTATGACAACACAATAATATTCTATCCCTTCTATTGTAATTTCTTTTGCCTTTTTAAACTCTAACATACCTGGGGGTCGTGGATTTAGGTTAGCATAAGTCTTTTCTCTAATATACTTTTTTTTTTTTTATGGTTAATAAATTGTATTTAAATTTTAAAATTTTGTTATTAACAATTTATAAATACCTCCTCTCGATCAACCATTGCTTTGACCATTATTTTCTTATTTGCAAAAAATCTTTTGTTTTTATTTTCATTATTTTTATTTATTTCTTCAAAGTTACCTCCCCCAAACTTTTTTTTTAAATTCTCCATTTTAGTTATATAAAAAATACCAGAAATAAAAATAAAAAAATTTTTTTTTAAATTTTATTATTACTCTATAAAACTTAAAAAAAAAAATTTTCAAAAAAAAAATAAAAAATTATCTTTAAAATTTCGAAAAAAAAAAACATTTTTGTAAATTATTTACAAGCTCTTATTATAAAAATATAAAACCCAAAATCTATAACAATACAACCACAAATTTAACTTCCCTCATTCTTTTTTTTAAAATTAAATACATCTACTATTAAATAAATTAAAATGTTTATAGTTCCTATTAACCCTTAAAGTCTCCCAATTTTTTGACTTGGCAAAAAAAAAAAAAATTTTTAAAAAAAATTAAAAAATTCAAAAAAATAAAAAAAATAAAATAAAAGAAAAGTAAAAGGAGTGGTTCTTTTGCCTTTTTTTTTTTTAATTTATATTATATTACCCGAAAAAAGAATATTTTTATTTTATTTTTTACTTTTTAGATTATTATTATTAATATTACTATCCTTGATTTTAAAATCAAAATGAGGATTATGAAAGACCATACTACAGTCTTTATATAAACAGATTTTATGACACACACTCGTTATATACACCCATATCATTATAAAAACCTTTAACTTTGAGGGGATGATATCTCCAATTATGTGCATTCCTCGTGCCGATTTATTATCTTGAATATATTTCTCTTTGAATCTGAATCTAAGGGTGCAAACTTTAATTCCTTCTACCAAATCATAACTAATATCACTCATTTCACCTGCATTTCTTTTAATTTGATCATCTGTAAATTTGGTTGTTGATTGAACCTAATAGAATCTGTCTCTTTCATTTTTTTATTACTATGATTTATAATTTCCATAATTGTTTTAAAAACACCCAAATCTAACATTAAGGTAATAGATCAATATTCAAAAAGCTCTTCCTTGGTAATCTTTGAAATGGGTTTGAATTTATACTTTTTGGAACCTCCTTCAATTTCTCTTTTAAAAATGTCATCTTTTTTTGGGAAAATTTAAATTGAGATTTTTTAGGTCCAAAAACCCATTTTCAAATTTTTTTTTGAAAAACAAACTAATAACCTCTTCTAATGATATTCCATAATGTTTATTTTCAAGTTTTGCCTGGGTACCCCTTTCAACCAAAAAGAGTTCTTCGGGTTCAAATTGTCCCCGAATTTCAATTAATTCATTGAATGCTTTTCTTTTATTGAAAGTATTAAACTTTGGGTTATAAATAATTATTTATTTTTATGGTTAAATTTTAATTGGCCTTAAAAAATTTTTTTTTTTTTTAAAAAATTTTTTTTTTTTTTCAAAAAAAAAAATAAAAAAAAAAAAAAAAAAAAAATTGATTTAATATAAAAATTATTTTATTTTTTTCTTTATTTAAAATTAATTTTCTTATATATTGTGATTTTATTAATTTATTATATTAAAAGTAAAAAAATATAAAAAATAAAACAAAAAATTAAATGCATCTGTATGCTCTTTTGTAAAAAGTGTTGATGAATTTTTATTTAAATATTGTAAAACCAGATATGGCACCTTTTTTTTTTTTTTCAAAATTAGAAATTTTTTAAAAAGATGAAAGTTTTACTTTATATAGTTGATTAAAGGGTGATCTGTATAAAAGTCAAGTTCCCAATTTAGATTAATTTTCCAAAAATAATTAAAAATAATAATAATTTGCAAATCAACTTTCACATCACCATAATTTAATAATCATAATTTAATATAAATGGATTATATATTAATTTTTTGTGGCTTATCTAGTGTTGTCCTCGGTTTTATATTAGGTTTTTTTGAGCATAGATTACCAACCAACAAAAACAAAAACAATAAAAAGAACAATTATAACAATTATAACAAAAACAGTATGGTTTAATCAGCAGCAATAGAAATAACAACACCTACCCACAACAAAATACACCAATCAATTTTACTGCTCCAATAAATAAACAACAATTTTAAAAAATTCAACAAATTCAACAAAATCAACAACAACAACCGTTCAACATCAACAACCGTTCAACATCAACAACACCCACAACACATTCAACTTCAAGTGCTCAAAACTACCCAACATTTAATAGAGCACACTCTCGTCATTCCACTACCTGTGATCCTATATCAACTGTTAATACTCCAACGAAGAAGAGACATTAGTGCATGTTCTACAATAAAAAAGATTCCTTAAAAAAAATAAAAATTAAAAAATAAAATAAAGAAAAAAAAATAAAATTATCCAATTAGATTTTATAATATTAAAATTAATATTTAATTTATAATAATAATTTGATTGGTTTTATTGATTTAAAATAATTTGAATGATATAATAGTTTTTGTTGTTTTTTTGTATAGTTTTTTTTTTTTATGAAGTATCCATACCTGAACCAGATTTTGAATCATCATTTTCATAGACTTTACTAACAGAAATAGTGTGGCCTTTAGATGCAGTATCTGAATCATTAATTTCTAATTCTATAGCCTTTCCACTATTTGTTTTATTTTTACCAGATGTCATTGACTTTGAATTGGTTGCTGCCATACCACTACCAAATACAGTAACACTATTATAATTTACGGTAACATTTCGCATTGAATTGGATAAGAGCCGTTGTTTGCTGTGAACCCATAGGCTGATGCATTATATAAATCTGGAAATTCATTATCATTGGTACAATTAAAATAGGTTGATAAAATTGGACACTCCTCTACAAAAGCTGAACATGTTGATTTACAAATTCTCTTTTGGAAAGAAACGTTTCCTGCTGGTTATTGAACTGTTTCCCATGCATGGTGATAATAATAAATTACAAAAACCTGCTGCTCTAATGTTAATAAACTAACTTTCTGTGATAATCCACTATCTGTATAAATATTATCCCAAATATAAATTTTTCACAATTTGGTTTTTGTAATTTATTATTATCACAGAGGAGTTATTAATTTTTTTTTATTTATCAATTTTTTTTTTAAAATTTTTTTTATTTTTTAATTTTTTTTTATTAAATTTTTGGTTTTAATCATGGAAGCAAACAATGTAGATTTTTTAATTCAACAACAAAAGGAATATGAAAGATGGGTAGATTTAAAATTCTATGGTGTTTTGTTAGTAATAATACCAACCACAGTTTATTTATTAAGAAGATCAAAGACGTTCTACACAATAATACTATTTTATTTTTTTTACCGTACATCGGAAGATAATAACTTTTATTTATGTTTAAAGAAAGAAAATAAAATAGTACCACAATGTATACATTCATCTCAATTAAATACAACCCGTATTATTCCTCATCCAAATTTCAGTTTCAATATCCCAATAAATAAAGAAATATTAGAATCAAAATTTAATAATATTAATAAAAATAATAATAATAATAATAATAAATATGATAAATGCAATGATATTATTTTCTATAAAAGAAGGAATAGTGCAGGATTAAATAAACTGGTGCCATTATTTTATAATCAATGTTATATTAAATTAGAGATATCAGATACAGATAATATATATATAGTTCCAACTTCACAAACCACCAAGGATAAAGAGATATTGTATTTAACAAAACCAGTTATTGATGGAGCAGATACCGATGTATATTATTTATTTTTGATCCTCTTTCAAATATTTTATGACAAAGTTTTAAACGAAATTGGTAAACCTAATAGAAACCTAAAAAAAGCAATTATATCATATTTTATATTCTTTTTATTCTTTCCAATAATACCAGTTTTATTCATCGCAGCTAAATCCATTTTCGATCTATACCCTAAACCCACCGAATCAGAACTTTTGGATTTTTATTATAAAAATTCTAAATAAAACTTTAAAAGATTAAATTTTTTTTTTTAACTATATTTTATTTAAACACAAATTATTAAACTATTTTTATGCTATTATATTTTTCATTTATGCTTATTTGTTCATGGAACAAAGAAGTTTGACGATTTCTATTGGTTTTGAGGTTGATTGTAATAGTAATTTGAATATTTCTTTTGCTAAATCTCTGTGATTACTAATCATTTCAATAACAAATTCATATTAACTATCTACATAAATATATTCTTTATATTCCAACTTGCATTTTAATAAATAATATAATTTTTTGTCTAATAGGAAATTAAATGATGTTATATTTTTAAAAATGATTTTATTGTCTTAAATATCCTCTATATTATTATATTTAATTAAATCAACTGAACAAAATGAAATATTTTAAATAAATATTTATTATCTACTAGATAAAATAATTATTATTCATTGGTGTTAAGCTCAAAATGATGGTTCAAGTAATAGGTAAAATGGTGATCCAAACAATATTTCGAGTAGTGGTTCAAATGGTGGTCCGAGCAATATTTCAAGTAGTGGTTCTAATGGTGTCCAAGCAATATTTCAAATCGTGGTTAAAATGGTGGCCCAAGTAATGTTTCAAGTAGTGGTTCAATTGGTCAAATATTGATTAAAGTGGTAGTTGGCGTAGTGATTTCAATGTAGGTACGAGCAATATTTTAAGTAGTAGTTCAAATGGCAGCCCAATGTTTCATGTAGTGGTTTAAATGGTGGTCAAATGTCATTCAAATGGTTCAAGCAATTTTTAAGTATGGTTCAAGCTATTGTATAAATATTGAATTTAATGTGGCTGGTTCAAACGGTGGTTGTAATTTTGTTTCAAGCAGTGTTTCAAAATAGGTTAGGTAGAGAATCAAATGCAGTTTCTACATCTAATAGTGATTCATATGGTACTTCAAGTGTTAAATATCCATTTGTCCAAACAATTTAAATGATATCGGTTTAAAAAGTATTAAACCAAATCAGATAAACAACCTAAAATTTAAATGAATTAGGGAAGTGAATAGATATATTTTATTTTAAAAAATTAATTACCAGAAAGATCAGAATTAGTTATTTTATTTCAAGTGCTTGTAATACACAACATTTTCTAGAAGTAGAATTGAAAAATAATATTTAGTATCCATAGATTTATAAGTAGCTGTCACCCTGTTGCCTTTTCCTTTTTAGTAGAAATTATAACTTAGGTATGGTATCTTTATTTAAAATTTTATTTAATATTAAATTATATATTAATAATCTTTTTATTTCATTTTTTCTATAACACAGTCTAGTCGATTTATTGTACCAATTTCAGATTGTCATTTTTTTATAAAATTTCTTTCAATTTTTTCATATTGTTTTTTGCACAACACAATAAATACACATAAATAGTTCAAACAAATGACAGCTCAATTATAAGAATCTTTTACACCGGGAAGGGAATCATTTTTTTTGTAAAAGGTAGAAGAACCGAATCTGTCCCATCAAGCTGTGCATAATCTCTGGTCAAAGAAGAGTCTATTGTTTCCGATTATGTACAATCATTTTACAACTAATCAAATAAGAACCAATCAATCTTTTCAACTATTTTATGAATATCAATAATTAGCTCTGGCCAAGTAACTTTGATAGAAATAAATAGTTTTTGAAAAGGTAAAGCTACAGAGTTCGTAACTATTGATCAAATTAGGGGTAATAAAAAATTTGTGGTTATACAAAACATAAAAAAATAGCAATTAAAAAAAAAAAAAAAATAATAATATAATATAATAATAAATATATAATAAAATAAAAATTAAAATTAAAATTAAAATATTATAAAAATAAAGAAATGCGTATTGTGATTTTATTTATCTAATATAAAAATAAATAATTAAAGAAAGTAAAAATAATAAATCAAATAGTATTAAAAATAGTAAAATTTAAAAATAATAAATAATAATAATAATAGTAATAGTAATAATATAATTTCAAAGATTGATCAGGTACTTCAATGAAGGAAACTAAAATTATTTATAAAAATAAATAATTCAAAAAAAAAGATAATAAAGTTTTTTAAAATATAATAACTTTTTTTTCATGGAGAATCTGAATACTTTCCTTTCACCTTTTTTTTTATTTATTTTTTTTTATTAAATTTATAAAATATTTAAGTTTTTGGGAAAATATATAAAATAAATATCAAAAAAAACAAGTTTTCAGGTAGTTTTAGGAAAAAAAAAAAAGGTTTTAATAATTTAATTTTTTTTAATTATTTTTTAATTTTTTTTAATTATTTTTTAATTTTTTTTTTTTTTTTTTTTAAAAATTTATAATTTTTTTTTTTTTTATTATTATTTATCGATTATTCAACATTAAAATATATATTAACCTACATACATATAATATAGTTAATTATTTTTTTATATCGAGTAATAATAATATAATAACAATAATATAATAATACACATAAATAATAAAGAAAAAAAAAATGAATTCATTAAATTTAGAAATTAATAAAGAACAAGAAGTTTTAGTTATTTCAGATATTGACAATTCTTCAAGTATTTTAGATGAAATTAAAAGTCAATGCAAAGCTTTAACAGATTCATTACAAAAGAGCCAACAACAAAATCAATATGACAGCATTGTTATCATTTCAAATAAAGATTTTAATAAGAGTTTAATTTCAATGTATTCAGGATTATTAAAAAAGGGTGGAAAACTTTCAATCTATCAAACCGGTGAAAATAAAGATTTAATTAATTCAAGTTTAGACTTCATGATGGCAGGTTTAGTTGATTTTGAAAGTAAACCAAGTGTTAACCAATTTAAAACAATTATTCAAATTTCAAAACCATCATGGGATACCAATGAATCAGAATCCATCAATATTCCAACAGATAGTGTTAATCCATGGGCTTCAATCGAACAATCATCATCAGAACGTATTAATGAAAACGATTTAGTCAATGAAACCGATAAAAACTCTAAACCAGCCACCACTTTAGACGATTGTGAAGTTGGCAAAACAAAAAAAGCTTGCAAAAACTGTACATGTGGTAGAGCCGAAGAAGAAGAAAAAGAATCAAAACCAAAACTTACCAAAGAAATGATAGAAAACCCAGGTGTCAATAGTTCATGTGGTAATTGTTCATTAGGTGATGCATTTAGATGTGGTGGTTGTCCATATAGAGGTTTACCAACTTTCAAAGTAGGCGAAAAAATCGCTTTACCAGATGATTTCTTAGTCGATGATATCTAAATAAATAACAATAAAAATAAATAAATTAAATTGGTTTTTTTTTTTTTTGTAATAAAAAAATAAAATAAATAAAAAAATAATAATAATAGTTTTTAAAAAAATAAACAGTTTTTATAAACAAGGGTATGGTTAAATTTAACTATAAACTTATTATTATTTATTATAAAAAAATATTTTTATGTTTTAATTTTATTTGGTTAGTTTATTATTTTTTAATTTCATGTTTGGTTTCGATCATTTCAATCTTTTCTGATTTTAATTTTTCTAAAATTGGTAAATAGAATTCTGGTGTAACTGGACCCATAACACCACGTGAAGTTGTTTTATCGTCGAGGATGAGTTCGGCGGCAATACCAACTGGGACACCAACAGTGAGTGAGGTAGCAGAGCTACCATTTGGAATACCAAAGCAAACAAGTGATGAAAATTCTTTTTCGACACGACCAGTTTCTGGATATTCGATAACGAATTCGTGTTGAAGAACGACGATATCACGTTCACCAGCGACATATGAAAGTTTTTTTTCTAAAAGAACACAGAGACTGTCAATTGGAGTACCTTTGTTTGTAACTTTTTCTTCACCATTTAAAAGTCCTAACCATTTGAAACCTTCAATGGCATGTTTGGTATCAGCGGCAACATCTCTATCGACGATTGGGAAGTGGAAGCCTTTTGAGTTACCTTCTTGTTTTTGTTTGGTGAATCTTTCTTTAATAGTTGATTCTAAGCAATAGAGAAGATCGTCATCATTATCATTACAACCTAATAATTGAACTAAATAGCTACGCCATGTGAGGTCGGAAGCATTAAGACGCTCATCACGTTCAGTGGAGAAAAGACCAACAGTTGATAAGGCACGGATCATAACACCAAAACCAACTTTCCAACGAAGGGTGCCTCTGAACATTGTAGTAACATCTTTTTCATTTAAGTTATATGATTCGATGTATGGTAATGAGTTACGATTTGGTACACCTTCGAATTCGAGTTTAGTTCCGTTGTATTCGATTTCAATTGGTTGAAGAACATCCCATTTAATATCGGCTGGTACATCTTCTAAATGAGTGTTCCATAAAAAGGTGGCAGCAAGACCGGCTGATGATAAAACTCCTCTTGGTGACCATGAGAATTTATATCCAAATGGGTTATTGGCACACTCCATTGATGGGAGGGCACCACACCATGATACAAATGATACAACTTTACCATTGTTTGCTTTAGCGTGATCGATAATTTTCATTGATGACATATGATCAATTCCTGGATCTAAACCTAATTCGTTTAATAATAAAACTCCTGCTGCTTTTGCTTCTTCATTTAATGCTTTCATTTCTGGTGATGTATAACTTGCAGTAATTAAATGTACTTTATTTTGGATACATTTTTTTGCGATTAATGGGTGCATAGTTGCTGGAATTAAACTATGGGTATTTTATAGTTATATTAGTTACTGTATTATTATTATTTTCTTTAATGAAATAAAATAAATATTTACCTAATAGTGACTTGAGATTTTGCAATATATTCGTCTAAACCATCAACATTGTTCATTATATCTAATTGAACAGTTGTGATTTTTGAACTGTCATAATCTTTTGAAATTGATTCTAATTCGTTTTTAAATAAACTGACTAATAAATTGTGTAAATTAAAATTATTAATATTATTTCTTTAAAGAAAATACTAATATATAAATAAATAATTACCAACAGTAACATGGATGTCATCTCTCTTTAAGAGGTAATCAAGAGCTGGCTAGATATGAAATAAAAAATAATTATTTTAGTAAAAAAAAGAAATAATTTGGAGGGAATAGTGCATTAAATATATTTGTATATTTAATATTTTTTATTAAATATTGTATAGAATTTAATTTTTTAAATATCTTACTTTTGCTACAAAACCTGAACCTAATAATAATACTTGTTTCATTATATTGTGTTTGTGTGTATAAAATGTAATAATATGAAAAAAAAATAAAAAAATTGTGGAGAAATTTTAATTTATTTTATTTTTTTATATTATTTTTTTAAATTTTAAAATTTTTTTTTTTAATTTTTTTTATATTTTTGTTTTTTTTTTAGAGATATTATGGTTTTCATAATAAAATTATTTTTTCAGATAATGAACAAACAAAAATTAAATTAAATTAATTTGTTTTTAAAAAAAGACGAAAAAGTTACAGAAAATTCATTTTAAAATAAAATATTTATGTTTATTTATGTATTTAAAATAAAAAAAATATTAAAAATAAAAAAGATTGATGACGCAATCAATCATTTTTTAACCCAAAAGGAAATTTTTATTTTTTGATTTAATTAAATTTGGAAAAACGATTATGAAGATTTGATGAAAGATAGTCTTCGTAATCCTCATATTCATTGTACCCATCCTCATTTTCTTCAATGAATTGATCTTGATGTTGATATGGTTCATTATTTAATTTAAATAATTCTTTTTCTTTTTGTTGTGATTGTAATGTTTTTTTTTGTTTCTTTTCTTCTTGTTTTAAATATTTATTGAATATCCAGGATTTTGCTTTATCTAAGTTGTATTTGTTGCATTGTAATGAACGATCAATAATTGTATGTGAAACATTTGGATAATAGTCTATGAGGATTTCTTTAAATAATAAATGGGTTTGATTAAATTTGTATTGATTTGAATAAACATGTTCATCTAAATATTTGTTCATTAAATTAATTGCATGTGAAAGATTTCTGGCAGAGTAGCAAACTTCAAAAGCTTTTTCAAAATCCAAACCATTATTTTGTTCATCCTTGAATATTTCTAAAATTTTCATTACCATTTCTATTTGTTTTTGTTCTTTTTCAACCTGTAAGAGGTCTTCAGTTTCGCCAATACTTGATTCTAAATCAGATTCGAAGTCTGAAGAGCTATTACATGAGTCTATTTGAACAAAATCTAACATTTCATCTTCGCTAATACCATCATATGTTGAGCTATCATTGGTATTGTTGTCTTGACATTCATCAGGAATATTATCATTTTCAAAGTCGTAGTTCTGATAGTATAGGTCTTCTTTATTATCTACATTTGTTTTGTAATAAAATTCATATAAATCATTTGTTGGGGTATTTTGATTATTTGAGTTATTGGTGGATTGATCTTGTTGTTTTGATTGATGATCTATTTTTAATTGTTGTTGTAGTTTTAATTGATTAACTTCATTTTCTAAAATTTTTAATTTATCATTTTTTCTTTTATCCTTTTGGTGTAGCTTTTTAAAAAGATTAATTGTATTATTGTATGAAAGCTTAACATCTTCTTCATTGTCTTGATTTGCTTTTTCTATTTCTTCAGGGGTTAAAGCTGGGATTTCTGGTTCGATGAATTGTTCATTGGCTGATTTGGTTATAAATAGTGCTTCACCATCTAAAATTTCTTGAGAGTTCTTGATTTGACCACCATGTTGATTAAAAATTCTAATTTTTTTTGGATCGTATAATTCTATATCAGTACCATTATTACATTTGATAATTTTATTTAAATGGTTTGAAATTTCTTGTTTAAAGTCAAAGAATTGAGTATTTACAAATAATTTAGCTACTGACTTCTTAACACCATTCATACAAATATTGGCTGATAAGGAAATTACCTTTTGAATATTATTGGTTTTAATTAGATCGAAATAGTTTGAACCAAAATTTAGTTTGAGGGTAATATCGGGACGTAGTAATTTTTTTAGCATATTTTGACAACTTGAAACTGTAAAATCGAATTTTGAGGTGTGTTTTAAATTCATATCAGCAAGGTTTCTAAGTAAGATAATTGATTCTTCTAATAAGCTTTGGTTTGATTTATCTGATGATTCACTAAGCAAATTAAAAAAGGAGTTGATTAAATATAAAATGATGGGGTCATTAGACTTAATTTTTTTTGAAGCGAAAAATCCATCTAAAAATTTATCACTAAAGCCAACGTTTTTCTTTTTTATATCATTAATAACTCTTAAATTTCTTTTAGCGCTTTGGCAGATGGAATGTTCTCTCCAGTTGCTACTGCAGATGTAACAAAATTCAAATGAACACTTGCATGTAATATGGGAACAACCCATGGTACGTTGTACAGGAATTTCACACTTTGGACAAACGGTGGTGTTTTCTAGAATCCATTTATAGCTGTAGAGGTCATCAACAATTTTATGTTGAAAATTGACACACGAATAGGGCCAATGATATCCACTTTTTTTACAGAATATACAAAAATTGTGTCCGTAACAATGAACATATGGAGCATACTTGGAGGTCGAGGTTATACCTAAAAGTAAACGGCCACATCCTCTTTGAGGGCAACTGAAAGAACCAGGGACATGGAATATATAATCTCTGATTAAATTTTTGGTGTTTAATTTGGAAAATGAAGAATCTTGAACCATTGTTTCAATTGTTACTTCATCAATACATTTATTTTGACAATCGGTTGTGGGGCATGATATTGACATTTTGTTACCATTACCATTATTAATTGATTCTTTAAAATAAAAATTTAAACAATTATTGCAAAATTTATGACCACAGATTAATTCGACCATTTCATTTTGAGAGTAATCACAATAGCAAATTGAACATTCTTGATCTTGACTACTTTTTTTCATAAGGTTATTAAATTTAATTAGTGAGATTTGGCAAGTTCTATGTGATGGATTTAGTGATATGAGTGATGAATGGTTGCTTTCTTTATCATTGTTTAATAGTGATTTAGTATCGAAACTATTAATAAATAAAAGCTTTTTTGCTAATGATTCTGGGATGTTATTGTGCTTTGAAACTTGTTCAACTTCATTATATATTTTTAAAAGTAGTTGGTTTTCTGAGATTGTTTGGCCATGCTTTAAATCTGGAAAGAGGAGTTCTGTGGTCTTTTCTCCAGAATATGAAGCATAAAAAAAACTATTATCTCTATAGTATTGAGTGGCCACAAAAAGAATGCTTCTTATATTGGTTTTTGAAATATTGATTTTTGTTCTAATTAGTTCTTCAAGTTCAGAAACAATCAATTTAGGGCATCGTGAGTTATTTGCAAAAACTACTTTAAAACTATAGTCTAATTCTCTATTTTCATTTGGGATTTCTGTAAAATATATATTCACCCTTGATCTAATTGATGGATTTGAAATTAAAAATTTACAACGATATGGATATGATTCCCCGATAATCACCCTAACATTTTCCATTGGTCCTTTAATAATGGGTTTGATGATGGTTTTAAAAAATAAATTTTTATTATCCTTTTGTTCTTTGAATAAGGGCAAATATTTTTCTTTTTCTTCAACCTGTGGAGAAATTGATACTGATTTTTTATCATCTTCATCATAATCTTCATCTATTAAGTCACTTATTGAAATATATAAAATTTGATTGTTAAATGTTCCTTCTAAGGTTTTGATTCTACGACCACAGTCAGTTTTTACAATAATTTTTTTTCTAGTATTTGAATCTAACTGGAATCTATTGATTACAAGTCCAAGAAATGGTGAAAATTTTAATTCGTTTGAAATCATTAAAACAATGCTTTGTTTATTAATTTCATTCTTAAAAATAAAAATTTATAAGTATTCTTTTAAATTAAGGTAAAATAACTATTATTATAATATATAAAAATATTTACAATTATTGTGAAACGTTTTCTATTATCAGGACTGGGTATAGATAAATATAATTCTTCATTTTTGTTAGAATGGGAATAATTGGACATTTTTAAAAAATAAAAATAAAAATAAAAATAAAAATAAAAATAAAAATAAAAATAAAAATAATATAATTCAAATTAAATAAATATAGATAAATTTTACAGAAATAATTTGGTTATTAAATTGATTTTAAAAAAAAAATTGATTTTATACAACAACAAATTTAAATTTAAATTTTTATTAAAAGAAAAAGATAAGAAAAAAAAATTTTTTAAATTCCCATTTTTTTTTTATTTTTTTTTAGAAATATTTAATAAAAACAAGGGTAATTTTAATTTATGCAAAATTTAATTTTTTTATTAAAAATTTCTTAAAAACATTATAATGAAAGAAAAAGTTTGGTATATTACGGGTATATCAACTAAAATAAAATCCATTTGGTCCAAAAAGTTTATTAATTTTATCATTTTATTTTTTTAGGTACAAGTACTGGTATTGGATTAGATTTAATAGAGTTATTATTAAACAATGGTCATAGAGTATCAGCAATAACTCGTTATCCAGATGAAACGGTTGACGAATTAAAGAAAAAGAATGTCCAAAATTTGGATAAACTATTAGCAATAAAAACAGATATTACAAATGATGAAAGTGTCAAAGAGAGTGTAAAAAAAACAGTTGAAACCTTTGGTAAAATAGATGTTGTGGTAAATAACAGTGGTTATGGAGTCATAGGAGCTGTTGAAGAGTTAACTGCAGAAGATATTCATAATATATATTCAGTAAATGTATTTGGTGTTTATAATGTGTTAAGACATACAACTCCTCTATTAAGAAATCAACGTTCAGGATTAATTTTAAATATTTCATCGATATTAGGCTCAACTAATATTGGTACTGGAAAATATTCAGCTTACGAGTCAACAAAACATGCTGTTAACTCGATCACTATATCATTGCAGCTAGAGCTAAAACCATTCAATGTTGATGTTGTATTGGTGTGTCCAGGAGGTATTCGAACAAGTTTTATAAATGGAAAGAACTTCACTTTACCAAAGAATCAAATAAAAGAATATGACACTCAGTTTTTAATTAATGCCATCAAAGCTCGTTCACCAAACTCAACAAGTTCACCAAGTAAAGTAGTAAATGTTCTTTATGAACTCTCAAACACCCCATCAGATAAACTACCAAAACAACTCTATTTAGGATCTGATGCATATCAAATGATCAAAGAAACACTAGATGATGAAATTAAAGAACTTGAAAAAAACAAGCAATTAACACTATCTACAAACTTTGAATAAAATAAAATAAAAAAAAATAAAAAAGTTTAGTTATTTAATATTGGTACAATTGTTTTTATTTGTTTTCTTTTTTTTAATTTAAAACCAAAATAAGTAGTATTAAAATAAATAGTAGATAAATATGGTTATTGTTGATTAGTTTATAAGAGTTGTTGGAGTTTGCTGGTAATGTAATTGAATTATCACTGAAATCATTTGGTACAACGGTGTTTACAAGATTTTCAGTTGAATAGATGGAGATTTCATTCTCACCCCCACAGAATTCTTTGTCTGAGCCTGAACATTTAATAGAACATTTGTTTGTAGCTTCGGTGTATAGGTTTTTAGTTGATGATTGTGGTGATTCTTCAGTTTCAACAAATGTATTGTTTCCACAAAGACAAACGTTACCACGAGCCAAACCTGCATTTGAAAAGTGTTTAGAGTAACAATAAGATTTGCATGATTCAATAGTCATTTTATCTGATGTTGCTGAAATTGAAAAATGAGCAATTAAAGGCTCATATGAATGACATCCATTGTAGCTTGTTTTATAAACTGTTATTTTATCATTACCACCACAAAATTCATTTTTATCTCCACCACATTTGAATGAACAGTCTGATTGTCTCTTTGCTTTACCATATGAACCATATTTATTACCACAGTAACATTGAGTACCTAATTCTGTACCAGAGTATTTGAAATTGTTTCTTGCACAATAAGCTTCGCATTTTTCATTAGTCATGTTTAATGAAAAAATTTCATTAAATGGTAAGTCATGGGCAAGTTCGTCATTAAAACAACCAAGGAACTTGTAATGAGCATTATATGTTTCGAATGATGAAGTTTCTAATGATGAATCAAATGCTGTATAAGTTGATGACAATGAGGATGATGAAGATAATGATGAGGATGATGAAGTTGTAGTAGTGGTGGTTGAGGATGAAGATACCGAACCATGGCTACCATTTTGATTATTGCTTTCTGGTTGTTTAGTTGGTGTGTTATTGTTTGGAGTATCACTTGGGCTATCAGTTGGACTATTGTTGCTTTCTGGTTGTTTAGTTGGATTGTTGCTACTTTCTGGTTGTTTGGTTGGGTTGTTATTGTTTGGAATAACACTTGGACTGTTGGTTGGAGTATGACCTTTTGGACTATTGGTTGGATTATGATTTTTATTCTCTGTTGAACCGTGAATTGGTAAAAGGGATGGAATGGATGGAATAAATGGCTGATATTCGGTGCCATTGATTGAATATGACTTTCTGCAACCACCTTCACCAAAAGTTTGAAGATAGCCAAAATGTGGATATCTAAATATTTCAGTTGAAGTTGAGAATGAATATGAGGTTAAAGTTATATTTCCTTTATCGGTTACTTGAATTGTGGTATTGGTGGTGTTGGTAGTAATTGATTTTTCAAAATAGAAATAGTAATCTCTGCATTTCTTTTCCATTGGGAGAGTAGTGGTGTAGATTCCTTTGGCTTTAGTTCCCATATCAAGAGATAATGGATATTTTTTTCCTTCGATAATAACAAAGCTGGCAGTTGGTTCTTTTTCATCATACCAATCGACCATAAATGTAATTTTACCTGATTGTAAATAGAGATGTGAACCAGAATGGATGGATTGGCTAATATTGTTACATTTCTCTTGGCCAAAATCTTGAGTCCAGTATGAATGATAGGTACTATCAGGTGTAAATGAATAACCAATACCAATAACACTATAATCTGGTGACATTATATTCTTTCTATGACCATCACTACCACTGGCATCTCCTGCACAATAACGATCTGATGCATATGGATCATTTGAACCATCATCGCAAACCCATTGATTATTTGTAATTAATGGTGAATCATAACCTGCTGCAATATTTTCCCCATGAATATCTGAGCATTGATAATATTGGTATATTCTTGAATCACAATCTGTACCATCACATGAATCATGTGAAAAACAACCTATAAATTAAAAAATATTAGAATTTTTTCCTTTGTTTTTATTATTGATGTTTTTTTTAAATTTACCATTAAATGACATATCACGAGAATGGCTTAAAGCAGAAGCACCCAAAGTAAATTCGAAATATAATGGGTGTACTGATGGATAGATTGATGGTGAGAGAATATCTTGATCGGCAAAGTTGGTATACTTTCTAAGATATTGTCTTGGTGCAATTCTTACTGCATTAACTAAAACTAAATTACTTCTTTCAAACCATGTTGGGAATCCTCTTAAATTTGGTTCTCCATAAGATTCGACAAATTTATAATTAAAACCTATTGATACAAATAAAATTAATAATAATTTTAAAATTTTCATTTTTTAAATAAAATGTGTATGTGAATTTATTTATTTAGATATAATGATAC